GAAATCCTTCGAAAGGCATCTCCCTACAACACCGATCCTCATCTTAATTCACACTCCAGACAAGGCCCAGACGCAAGGAACACTAAAGCAAATCAAACCAAACTAAATCTATAATTAGACCATGCGAGCCCTTCAAAGCAATCCCATCAACCAAACCTTAAGCAGACCCCATGTCAGAGCAGCGCAGAACATGTAACAAACCTCGGCATGAATCTACATGCAGGTGGGTTTTATCTGCGATGTGTCCCTTGCAGAGCAGGTAATTATTAATCTAATATGATGAGTTCTAACCGCGTCTTGGGGACTTGAAACATTCATTTCGTGAGAGGCGATCTACAGGCTAGTGGCATTGTTGGACGTCTCTTGTGATTTGGGTGGAGTGGGTGTATTATATGGCTTGGGTTATTGGTTGGTGGATTGTGGGCAGGTTGTTGATGTTGATTATGGTTATCCCTTGCGTTGGGTGGGGGAGGTATGTATCCCTGTTTTTTGTTGGGGTTTGGGATTTGGTGGGGGAGTGGTTCATATGGTATGTAGTCATTATAGGAGCTCTATAGGAGTTTGATGGGTATCATATGAATATCACTAGTAGAGTCGAAGACGGTTGAAGACCGAGGAACAATCAGTACCACTCCGTGGGTAAGTGATATAGGTGCCAAGAATTCCCAAGTACTCCGTATGGTAGGAACATATTTTGACTAGGCGACCGGAAGCAATAGACAATGGCGATCATCATCCACTCGAATGATGATTGACAGATTCTGGAACCATCATTATTTTGCCTATTGTCGAGAGACCAATTCCGTGCAGGGCCCCTCATGCATACTCCAGCACGAACCGTCTGAACTGTACAATTCCTGGTTGCAATCTATGACATGCATCCTCTCAGTCCAGATTCATGCAATAATTGCATATTAATGCCAGATGAAACAACCAGCATGGCAAGTGAAATGAACCTGAGAAGGATGACGTCTGTTTTTATCCCTGTGCAAGGCATGTCTCGCGCCAAATTAGACCGAGGATTGTCTGTCATTTGGACTATCTCCGTACGTCATTTCGCTATCTGAAGTAACCCCTGTAGACAGGCAGGACTGATTCAACATTTCTATCCCAAAAACAATCAAGCCAGTGGGGCGGAGAACACATCCATCCTCGTAGGGCAGACTGAGGACAAATCACATCGAGCATCCCGGTCGAACTAGGATAGCTACCTACCTGATCATCAGGCAGCCATATACCCCAGACTGAAGGCCAGCATGCATCTAAAGTTTATTCGTGATGTAACTGCCATGTAAGTAGGCCAGGATCCGGGCAGGAATCAACCGGTCTTCCAAGATTTCCCCGCCGAGTGCCTGTGCAGGCACTAGGTACAGCTGTTGATGTGGGCCAAGCCAGCGGGAGGCGAATTTCCAGATTTCAGGCAGAACGGTTTTGATCTCTTTGGTTTGACAGACAGAACTACGTCGTATGAGCTCCGTAGTAGGTTAATAAATTCGTCCTAAGTCGACAACCGGATAGACTCGACACTCGATAGTTGATTTAGATCAGGAAGATCGGGGATCGCCGACTGATGACGTCGTCAAACAACAAAGAAGCGAGTCGGCCAATCAGCGCGCGTCGACCTCGGAGTGCGACCGGCCGTCCGAAGAGGCAACGATCGGCGCACCGCCACAAGTCAAGCCGACGCCTGCGGGATGCACGCTGGACAGGAAAGCCAAACGTCGCTGCATTGGTCGCTGATCGCTCGTGTCTCCGCTCGTCCATTGCCGCGGCTGGTAAATCCGCTGGCCTGGACTCGTATGCCATCCCCTCTTGGGAAGTCATCCCCTACGGAGTAACGTAATTCACAAGCGGGCCGGACACACAAACGGGCCGGACACCTCACGCGTTTTAACCGCAATTAAAAACCTCGCTTAATTTAACCACCAACCATACCTCCAAAAGCGCATCAAAAGTCAAGAAATTTAACTAAGTAGGAGGAGAGAATCCTATTTGCTATTTCTGCTTTAAAAAAGCAAGAAATTCGCAGTATTCGCAAAGCTACAGAGATTTTTAATATACCTCGTTCAACCCTTCATGGATGATTACATAGAATTATCTATCGCGATGAAGTACGCGCCAATAATTATAAAATGACTCAAAATAAAGAGGAATCGCTTGTACAGTAGATTCTTTCACTAGATTGATGTGGAGCGCCTCCCCGACCTTTATATATACGAGAAATGGCCAATATTCTATTTTCTTAACGCGGTACTACTCTAGTTTAATCAGTTGAGGAGAACTAGGTCTCCAACTTCATTAAACGACAAGATCGCTTGAAATCTCGCTATACTTGACGCTATAATTATCGACGTGCTAAATGCGAAGACCCTAAGATTATACAAGAATAATTTAACAGTGTACAAATTATGATAATATAACACGGGATTGCACAAGAAGATATCTACAACTTTGACAAGACTGGCTTTATTATAGGCCTAGTAGCTACTGCTCAGGTAGTTACTAGAGCTGATTACTACGGAAAGGTATCCCTTGTATAGCTAGATAATCGCGAATGGGTTACCTTGATTAAGTGTATCAACTCTACTGGCTGGGCGCTTCCTCCATGTGTGATCTTTAAAGGGAAGGTCCATATAGAGGGTTAGTATCAAGATATTAAGCTCCCACACGATAGTAGGATTGAAGTTAGTCCTAATGGATGGACTACAGATGAGATAGGCCTTCACTGGCTTAAGAATCTCTTTATTCTTATTATTATAAGCCGTATAACTGGGAAATATCGCCTTCTAGTTCTAGATAGCCATGGTAGTTATCTAACACCTCAGTTTGATTAAATATACAGCGAGAATAATATTATTCCTATCTGCATGCCTGCACATTTATTGTATTTATTACAGCCTCTAGATGTGGGCTGCTTTGTGTCTTTAAAAAAGATATATGGAGGCTTAGTAGAGAAGCAAGCTCGCTTAGGAATTAATTATATCGACAAACTTGATTTCCTAGAGGCCTTTCCACAAGCTCGCGAAAGCACTTTTTAAGCAGATACTATTCGGAATAGTTTCGCAGGTGCAGGCTTGATTCTATTTAATCCAGATAGGGTACTCAGTCAGTTAAAAATTTAACTAAAGACCCCTATATTATTATCTAGTTGATTAACCAATTCAGCCCTAAAAATGCTTTATATAACAAGGCAGCTTGAAAAGCAGGCATCTACCGTGAAGCAGCTACTTAAAAAGCGTATACATAAGTGTACGCAGAGCCCTTCATCTTCGCTAGAGACGCGATTTAATAAGCTTATTAAAGATCATGAATTGCATCTTAATAAGCTTATTCTTGCATGCGAAGAAATCCACGAATTACGCGCTTCTTATGAAAAAAAGCTTTAAAAGAAAAAGCGCTCTACTAAGCAGCTAGCTATTACAGAGGGATCAGCTATTCAAGAGGGCCTAGAGTAGTTCCAGTGTGAGAATGAGGTTAATAAAGCTCAAAACACGCTTCCTCCAGATCCTGTAGTGCCTACAGATAAGCCACGCGTACGAGCGCCCCTGCGGTGCAGTGATTGTTATATTCTAGGACATAGACGATTATAATGTCCTAATCGAGTTCCTAATTAATTTATAGATAGAAATATAATTGTTTTGTTAATAAAGCCCCTAGTATTTAGCCCGCGGGCAGGAATGGAGCGGAGGTGTCCGGCCCGTTTGTGTGTCCGGCCCGCTTGTGAATTACGTTACATACCAGACCTGTCTGAAATTGCAGAGGCTGGGAGGTAGGACAGGTTTTTCCTGTGTACGACACTACGGAGTACTCCGTAGCACGGCGTCCGACAGACTCAAATACTCCGTCGGACCAACGGTGTCGGACAAGACTGGCATATCGGTCACCATATCAACCAGCCATTATCTAATGAATGGAAAAATCTGAGCGGATGGAGTCAGATGGAGTATACGCACCCGATTAAGTGGGTGGCGGGATGCATCTGGCCGCGCTAAGCCTTAACCGGGAATCCCTGTGGCTGGCACGGCGCGTTCAGCCACCCGAGCGGTGGCATTTCTTCGGCTGGCGATTGGCCGCTCTTCGTTGGGCACGCAGTCGATGCGTCATTGACGTACAACCAAAGCACAACAACTGTTTCACCTGCCCTTCTTGTTGATACTTCCTACATGTTCCCCTCCTCGTTTGAATTGTGCATTGTGCATTGTGCATGCCTCCTCTGTATCTGTAGTTCAGTACAGGTCCCAGGTCTGCCGCCTCCTTTCCGCAGATCGGAAATCTCAGTGCCCTAAAAAACCCAACCATGGATGTACCCATCTACCAGGACACCGATCTCCAGCTCCCAAAACTATTACCCACTAGCCCCAATAAAGCCATTTAAGCCCGTGGGGGAAACAAGCTCTCCGCCAATCACGCCGGCAACGCAAGGCGCGGTGGATCGGCATGGAGTCCGCGCGGCTGGGCCGATAGGGTCAATGGGTCAATGGGTCAATGGGTCATGGAATTCAGGGATCCGTCTCGCAGAGCTTTACCTTGCAGGCTAAGATGATCCAGGAAGTGATCGATGACTTCACCCGGCATTGAGACCTGGCCCGTGGCGTTTCCCTTCGCTCCCTGGCCAGTTAGCCACGTTGGCTGGGTACCAGAGCTTGGAAACTCTCGCCGCGAGCCAGTGACGATCCCCATTTTGTTGAGGAAAATTGGAGAAATTAGAAAAGTAAAACAGAACAGAAAAAAAAAAAAAAGAAAAAGAAAGGCAAACAATCACACGGCCATGGAACCACCGAGAGCTTGGTTTGTTCGCCGAAGGGTCTCTGAATGGTGACCTGTGCAGTGGTTCCTGCCCTTTTTAAATCCTGTCTCGTCCCCCCCGAAGATCCATCCAGCCTTTTACTTTTTTCTTCTCAACCTCCATCCATATTCTTGTTGTCTTTCTGCCGTCCCAGCCCGGATTAAATCATCTCGACATCACTTGCTCCTCTTTACACGCAATTACCACGATCATCATGAAGACCTTCTCGCTCTCTATGGCTCTGCTGGCCGCCGCCAGCATGGTCTCTGCCGAGATCTCGGTTGGCCAGTGCGCGGTATGTCGATGGCTGGATTACATGTCTTGTTGATCACTTCTAATTCTTCTAGCGCATGTGCATCAACAACATGAACGACAAGGCTTCCGAATTAGGCTGCGACAAGGGTGACCTGGCCTGTCTCTGCAACGCCGACAACTACAAGTTCGGTATCCGCGACTGCACCTCCCAGGCCTGCCCTGATGACGACTCCAACAAGGTTGTCAACATTGCCTTGAACGCCTGCCCCGACTCCAGTACGTTGTTTTACTCCGATTGGTTGGAATGGAATTGACTCGATACAGGCTCTGCTGGCTCCTCTGGAACTAGCACTGGCACCGCCTCCGACAGCACTGCTACTGGTACCAAGAGCGGTGGTGCTGGCGCCGGCGCGACTGGCACCGATGCTACTGGCACTGCTACCGGCACTGCTACTGGTACTGCTACCGGCACCGCGACTGGAACTGGTGCGACCGGCACTGGCGCCACGGGTACTGGAGCCTCCGGCTCTGGTACTGCCACCGGCACCGCGACTGGCACGAACTCCGGCTCTGTCACCGGCACCAACACCAACTCCGGCGCTTCTTCTACTGCCACTGGCGGCTCCCAGACTGTAAGTCTTCTTATCCAGCCATGCTATACTCATGCTAACTCTACTAGGTCTCCAACACTACCGGCACTGGCGCCACCGGCACGACTATGAGCACTGCCACCAGCACTGGCGGTTCCGGCTCCGGCTCCGGTGATGACAACGGCTCGGGCTCGGGCTCTGACTCTGACTCTACCGGCTCCGGCAGCTCTTCCACCGAGACTGCTCCCTCCAGCTCTGAGACCGCCGACTCTGCTGCTGCTCACAACGTCATCAGCGGCGGTGCCTTGGGCGCTCTGGGCCTGGCTGCTCTCTTGGTTCTCTAAATGCATTATGACCTTTCTGGGACACGGACTGGCGTTACGAGAAGCCACTACGTGATGTTTTGTTATCCACGGTTGATGAACTACGCGGAGGATACCTTTCTGTATTGTATATTCTAATCACGGGTCATGTTTAATGACAAGTAGATAATAGTGCGACTTGGCCGGGGCTAAGTAGCACGGACTAATGAGCATCTAATTCATTCCTTGTGTGCATTTGTCAAGGTAGTAAAAATATTATTTAGCGACCGGCTGGGTTAATCTCGAATCCAGAATGTAAATGGTGCATTTGATGAGCAACACGAGAGCCACCTGTTCTGGCTTTCGTCGAATTCTATTATTAGCCAAGACCAGATTCAGACTGCGACTTCCCTAAACAGTCTTTTGCCTTCTGCTTTGAAATTTAACCTTGAAAAAGACATTCTAGATATGTTTAATGCTCTTCGTTTCTATTCATATCCTCGGTTTATATGCAAAAGATATCCGTACTGTCGAATGGATTTCTGCAGCACCGTGTTAAGATTTGGCTGCGGCAGCCAAGATGTGATGTGATATATATTGCGGTGACATTGAACAACACAAGCACTGCAGGGAGCAACCACCTGAAACTGAGTGCTAGATTATTCTTATGAGTTGTTCAACTCCATTATATCTCCTTTTAAACCCTACTATACCAAATATGGATCTACTTCTCTCCATATTACTCCGTACTCCACGCAAATCTCAAAATAGAGGCGAGGCACGTGGACACCTTCACATGTGATTTCTTGGCACTCACCGCCTGATTTTCATATGAATGCGACCTATGATGTACGAGTACACCTGCCTAATCTCCTAGAGTCGACCTGTCTGACGGACACGGCGAGTGACTGCGCTTCCAGTCGTCCGTGATGGCGACCAGCTGACAGCGACGCATGAGGATTCGGAGGAATGGCTGGGGAAGTGGGCGACCCCTTGTCGATTGGAGTTTGGCGCCCGTTCATCCGGCGGTGGGGTGCGGAGGATTGGATGAAGAGGGGATGATGGGATGATTGGGGTGCGTGAGTGATATACAGTTCTGGGTGATGAGATCGGGTTAGGGATTATGTGCGTGTGTATGTCTGTAATCCTTGCAGTCTGAGGGTCAAGAGTATGCGTACTGCGTAAATCTCGCATCGGGTGGTGACTCGGTGACTTGCCTTCCCCGGTCCCGGACAAACACGTTGATCCGCGCCGAGCCGAGGTCCCCGGCGCATCAGCGCTCGGTTGCGGTCTTCTCCAGGTTGGAGCTGTTCTTCTTACTTGAACTCGACTTCACTTTTTTTCTCTCCTCTTTCTCTTTCTGTCCTTGTGTCTGGTTGCATCCTGTCTTTGGCTTCGGGTTGAGTTTGTCTTCGATCTTTTACTTCCCTTGCTTTGCTAGATCTCTCGTTTCTCCCCTGTCTATTGTTCTATTCTCTCCCCGCTTCTCCCGGTTTCGGCTCCCCGCCATCATGTCTTCCGCTTCTGCTTCCACTCCCGAGACCATTCGCGACGATGTCAAGGTCGCCGAGGCCAAGCCCGTCAACCAGACTATCGCGCAGATTCGCTCTCTCGCGGCCGGCGCTGCTGGTGGTGTCTGTGCCGTCGTTGTCGGCCATCCGTTCGATCTGGTCAAGGTGCGATTGCAGACCGCCGAGAAGGGCGTGTACAAGGGCGCGATGGATGTCGTGAAGAGGACGGTTGCGCGCGAGGGATTGGCTCGTGTAAGTTTTCAGGCTTCGTGTTTAGGAATTGAGTTGACTGGTGGTAGGGATTGTATGCGGGTGTTTCGGCTCCGTTGGTGGGAGTGACTCCGATGTGTAAGTTCTCTCTCTGGGTTGAGTTTGTCGCGATGTCGGTGTTGGAAGAGAACTAACGGAGATCTATAGTCGCCGTCAGCTTTTGGGTATGTGATCCGTAATTGGAACGATTTCCAGGCACTGACCCCAGCAGGGCTATGATCTGGGCAAGCAGCTCGTCAGCAAATTCTCCACCGTGCGCGTGGAGAACAACACCCCCCAGTACACCATCGGTCAGATTTCCTCCGCCGGGTTCTTCTCGGCCATCCCCATGACCCTGATCACGGCCCCCTTCGAGCGAGTCAAGGTGCTGCTGCAGATCCAGGGCCAGAACCCGCCGCCGCCCGGCCAGAAACCCAAGTACTCCGGCGGTGTAGATGTGGTGCGACAGCTGTACAAGGAGGGCGGGATTCGCAGCGTCTTCCGTGGCAGCGCAATGACCCTGGCCCGTGACGGGCCCGGATCCGCCGCCTACTTCGCCGCCTACGAGTACATCAAGCGGTCGCTGACCCCCAAGGACGCCAACGGCAACATCACCGGCGAGCTGTCCATGCCCGCCGTCCTGGCCGCCGGTGGTGCTGCCGGTATCGCCATGTGGATTCCCGTCTTCCCCGTCGACACTATCAAGTCGCGTCTGCAGAGCGCCCCGGGAAAGCCCACGATCAGCGGAACCATTCGCTCCGTGTATGCCAGCGGCGGCTTCAAGGCCTTCTTCCCTGGTTTCGGCCCGGCGTTGGCCCGAGCTGTGCCTGCCAATGCGGCTACCTTGTATGTTCCCTCGCCTTTCATGAATTGAATTGCCATGGCTAATAATCATCAGCGCTGGCGTCGAGGTCGCCCACAAGTTCATGAAGAAGTTTTTCGATGACTAAATAGAAAGCGCGGCGCTGGATTGGTCGTCTTGGTTTGTAAATTTATCGGTTTGGTCTTATCATTTTGGCGTTCCATGTCTTTTGTCTAGACATTTGCGAGCATTTGAATAGCCTGGATACTCCTGTCCATTTTTAGACTGTCTAGATTGGTTTCTAGGAATACCCATGGTGAGCGTTGCTACATTGAGTTGGGTTTATTTGCGATCTAGACGAATTTGTCAGCTTAGGCAGGCTCAAGATCTTCCGGAGATTGTAGACTAAGAACGTGCCTGAATCGTGACGGGGTCGTTTCCGCCTAAATGAGCAGGCTGCGATATGCCGCATGCGGCTAGATCGGGTGACTGGAACTGAGTTTGTTTGGGGCGAAGTCATGGGGCTGAAATACCGGCACTTCGGGAGAAAATGAATTACAGAGATTGGAAGAAGATCAGACACAGAAAAGATACAGAATGGACAAAGGAGAAATCAGAATACATTAGAATAGTGTTCCTATAATACTCCGTACTCCGTACAATGTGGAAACTCTAGACACCAGTCCATCGATGAGATCACGCCGATAAGCCAACGCGGCGCCAACACCGCGCGTCGTGATTGGTGGCTGTGGATCGCTGCCTGCGCTAAGCCGCATTGTTGCCTCGCCGCCCGCCTACTAAATCTGGTCGCTCGCCCTCCTTTATCCTCTCGCCATCCAACTGCCGTCTCTCCCTTCGTTTTCATCACTATTTTCATCGCCGACCGACTCTTTTCATCTATATTCTTGTCGTCCTATATTCGTATATCGCCATACGTCATGGTCGTCCACTCGTTCATGCGACGGGGCGTGGAGCTCATCCAGGAGCAGGCCGCGAACCCCGATAGGCCGTCCGTCGAATTTCAAGGATGGCAGGCCGGCCTGCTGACGTTTACCATCATCGCTTTCATCTTCTCTGTCCTGGCAGTGAGTGTCCCGGAATGATCTCACTGAAGTAGGCTAATGGTGATAGGTGGAATACACCTACGGATTGCTGGTCCCGACGCTGGCTGCCATCGAGGACTCCAACCCCGACATCTTCGTGCGCATCGATACCGACCAAGACCCGACCAAGCCCATCGACCCTGCCGATGCCGACGCCGAGATCGTCGTGACCCCCCCTCGTCCCGTCACCAGTAAGCTGCGCACGACTATCAAGCACCTCCGCGCCCGGGCCGGCTTCTGGTCGCGATTCCGTGGGTTCGCCATGTTCATCGTCATGTTCAACGCCCAGGGTATCCTGTCCTCGATGTTCCCCGTGTCGCTGTCCAACTTCATCGGCCAGTTCTTTGTTCAGATGATTGTCGGAATTCTGCTCGCCAACCTCCAGCTCACGTGGATCCACATTGTCATCTCCGAACCCTCTCCCAAGCGCTTCTACCAGCGCATTCCCGGCTTCAAGGCCTGGAAGAAGATTGTCCCCGTGTATGCTTTTGAACAGGCGGTTGTTGCCGGTGCATTCTTTGTGCCTTTCATGGTGGGTTCGAGGATCCCGGCGCTCGACCGTAGGCCTTCCGACTTCACCGACTTGAACCTTGGAACTGCCGCCCAGATGGCCAGTGTCTTTAGCGTTCCCTGGCTGTGTGCCTTTTTTGCATCGATCCCGGCTCGGGCGATCTTCATCCGGGTGGCTGCGTCCATGCTGCCCGAAGAGGACGAGGCCATCGTGCCTTTTGACCGGTCGTTTGGCGGAAAGGTGGTGCCGGCCATTCTGGGCGGTGCTGGCAAGCTGAGCATCTCGGATGCTTGGAAGACCTTTGACGGCCCTGCTCGGGGGCGTTACTGCAAGGCGATCTTCAAGGGGTTTGCCATCCAGGTTGCTATCTCCACTTTCTTCATCCTGGTGCTTGTGGGTCAGACGTATATGTTCAAGGACAGTCTGAAGGTTGTTTCTCGTGGACTGATCAGCCCTTAAGCAGTCTAAGTTGTCAACTGACCTGCAAACCTCTCCACTGGACACCATGGCCATCTGATGTATTCCCGATTTTGGATAAATTGAACATGTGAATAGTCGTCAATCTGAATATTTAGTCAATATAGTCTCCATTGCTTAAATCCACCTCACGTCTTGTACTCGCCGTAAGAGGCTAAGCGGGTGCCTGAGTCCAGCCCCGCCCCCCACCCGCTCACCGCCCGACTGGCGCTTTCATCAACAGCAATCTTTGTCCCCCACTTTCCCCTCAACTGCGACGCCGACTTCATCTGTCTATTCCAGAATTCCTTCAGTTCTGTATGGGCCTATAATACCGTTCAACTCTCCATACCCCTTTCTCTACTCCCTCCCTCCTCATACTAAACCCTCAACAAACGTCTTCAACCCCTCAACAACCAACACCATGGCCACCACCCCCGCAGGTCGTATGCTGTCCCGACAGCTCTCGCAGATGCAGTCCGATAAGGATATTCCCGGGATCAGCTGCGGTCTGGTCGATAGTAACGTGTTCGAGTGGGAGGTCATGCTTATGATTTCGGACGATGTCAAGCTTTATGGCGGTGAGTTGGTTTGAGCCTGGTTTCGGGTTGCTGTGTTGTGTTGTGTTGTGCTGTGCTTGTGGATCTGAAACGGAACGAATGTGAATGTGAATATGAGTATGGATGATATCTAATAGCCTTGTTCATATAGGAGGCTTCTTTCGTGCCCGTCTCTCCTTCCCCCAGGAGTATCCTCACTTGCCGCCGAAGATGAAATTCGATCCCCCGCTTTTTCATCCGAATAGTACGTCTTCACCCTACTGTATCTGTCTATCCGGAGGAATGACACATCTGGACTCGGATATGATACATTGATACCGATGATATACGGAGATAGTAGAAGATGCTAACCTACCCGATCAGTCTACCCCAACGGCGACGTCTGCATCTCCATCCTGCACCCCCCCGAGGAAGACAAGTGGGGGTACGAATCCGCCTCGGAGCGCTGGAGTCCCGTGCAAACGCCCGAGACTATCCTTCTATCCGTCATTTCGATGCTGTCGAGTCCTAACGACGAGAGCCCTGCGAATGTCGAGGCCGCGCGGCTATGGAGGGAGGATCCGAAGGAGTTTAAGAAGGAGGTGAGGAAGTGCGTGAGGGCGAGTTTGGGCGAGGAGTAGGAGGGCCTATTCTTCTCTTTGTGGGTTTTTTACTCCTTGCGTTGATGGCGCATTTTTGTTTGATGGTTTTGTTATGCATTTCGAGGTCGTTAGATCTTCTTTCATGTTGTGGGGTATTTAGCTATTTTTGTTTTTTTGGCTGTTCTTCCCGTTCTATTGGGAGGGGGTTTTGGCTGGAGTTTTTGTTGAATGTTTTGCGCCATTTCTTCGATTATTTATGGTTAATGCATATTTGATTCATTTGGTCTGGGTGGTCTTGGTTGAGTCCGTTGCATTCTGAAGATTATTATCCGCGTTTTACGTTCTACTGGTAATTTTAATTGGCCATGTCCAAGCAGGACATCCAGATTGATTGGGGGCCTCTTGAAGGGCGTTTTGCTAAGGGACCTGTTCAGTGGGTGTTTAATGTTGGCCTGAGGCACCAACCGAACACGCCATGCAAACGCCGTTGTGCCATAAGTAGACCTCCACCTCGCCTGCCCCTCCATCTTCTGTAAATAATTACCGTTCAGTCAGCTCAGGAACATTTGAAGCCATGAGATTGTATTTCATCAGTTTTCATCGATATATGGTCCCTTGCATCTTGGACTTGATGTATTACGTCTATAGGGACAATCAGACGTGCTAACTCAGTCAGTCAGTCGGTCTTTGTGAGATTCTTTTCACGATGTCCTCTTTATCGGTCATTTTCGCTATTTGTCGAAGAACCTGCGGGTCCTTTCAGATGGTTAATAACTTGTTCCTCCATCTGGCGGAAGGATCCGGTATGCCTCGGCTTTGTTGATATGATATAAACCCCAAAGAACGGTAGTATCTCAAGAGGATAATGCCCTACGGACAAGACCGCTAGGAACACGGAAGTGGAAGCGAATCCATCATGAGCTTTCATAATCTCAGCGTCGAGGTGCTTTGCCTGGCCTTCAAGTACTGCCATATAGATGATCTGATGTCCCTGCGACGTGTCTGCCGACACCTTGACGAGGTCGTCATGTTCAACTTTTTGCACATCACTGACTACACCCCGGCCGATGTAGGAGTGTCCTTTACGTCGCGGTTTCTGGTTGAGCAAATGAAGCGCGATCCAGCCAGCAATGCTCAGATCGCAGATGCGGTTGCCGAGATAAAATCGTTATCGACTGTTACCGAAGTAGCCAGGACCCAGATAACCGCCGCTCGTTGCCGGCAGACAATCAGCGTCGCCTTGATTATGCATAATGGCCAGAGATGGGTTTTCGATAGCCTACGAGATATGAAAAGCGATCATGATCCCTGCTATCTCTTAAAGGGTGAGTTCCTGCTGGTCCTGGTTGCTTGGCTAAACCTGGGCGAGCTTAGTTTCTATGAGCTCGAAAGAGAAAGAGGGTATACTAATCGTAGGCATGAGCGTCTGGGTAGTGCACTATACGCCGCTACGTACAACGACGATGAGAGTCTTACAAGGTGCCTTGTTATGTGGTGTGTGGTGATTCCTAGAGAAGGCGCTTACGGTGATGCATACCAACTCGCGGCCTATCGAGGCTCTGACAAAGTGCTCGAGATGCTACTCGCAAGATATAAGCCAGATGACGGGAGAATGTATCGCTACGGGCCCTTTAAAAGTCCCATTGGTGCGGCCGCAGCGAAAGGACATGTCAACGCTGTTAGACTTCTAATACGGTGGAAACTGACCGGTGTGGTGGTTAGATACCCCTTCAAACAAACCCCCCTGTTTCTCGCGGTAAACCGTGGGCATATTGGTGTTGTCGAGCTACTGCTAAAGGAAGGAATAGAAGACCCTAGGAGCATCGACACCTTTGGATACACGCCTCTTTCACTGGCGGTCAGGAGAGGCCACGAGACCCTCGTCAAGTTTCTACTAAAATTTCACGAGCTCTATCCAGGTTGTAGGAAAATCTGCCCAAACCAAGGAATGCGTGGCCAACTCCCATTGCAGGTTGCTGTTCAGAGAAGGTTGAGCGGGATGGCCAAACTCCTACTGGGACGATATGATACGGACCCGAACTGCCAGAATGAGAAGGGCGGAACCCCATTGATGATTGCGATAGAATCCAACCAGATGGAAATTGTTCGTTGTCTTTTATCTGACCACAGAACAGTACAGGTTTTCCGGAATCATGAGGGGATGACGTACTTGATGCATGCGGCATGGCAGAGAATTTCGAACACCATGCAGCCTAGAGCTGCCATGCCAACAAACCTGAATTTGAAGACGAACGATGGCAGGACCGCGCTCCACATAGCTGTCCAGAAAGGGACTAAAGAATCTATTGATCTTCTCCTCAGCCGGAATGACATTGACCCCAACGCCCAGGATATCTATCTTTCCAGCGCTCTCCATTATGCAGCTTGTTATGGTTGTTTCCCGGCTGTTCAATCGTTGCTTTCGCATCCATCGACCAACCCAAACTTACTTGACAAACAGATGATGACCCCGCTGTATATCGCTGTCGCGGAGGGACATGTTGAAATTGTCAGATTGATGATCAAGCACTCCAACACCAACGTAAACTGCCAATGTAGCACTCGTGCAAGTACTCCATTGATACGCGCAGTTCGCGAAAATAATACCGAGATGATACAGGTTCTTTTAACTTCAAGCAGGGTGGACAAGGATGTGCAAGATTACAGGGGAGACACCGCTCTCACAATAGCAGCTTCCAGCCGCAGGACAATTATCGCGCAACTGCTACTCCAGAGCCCCTTACCGAACCTTGATCTCACCACGCTGGATGGCATGTCAGCATTGCGATTGGCTATCGAGGCAGGAAGTACAGAAATCAGGAGACTTCTCATAAACCATGGAGCGGAGGCAAGGCTGCCTCCCGATGATGTTTAACTGCCTGCAATGACCACGAGAGGGTGGTTCGTCTACTGCTTCCCATGTTGGAGATCCTACCAGGCTGACGACGCATAGAGCGAATTGCTCTGTGCCTCTGCGAGTGACGTTAGCTTATTTGTTATGCTTGAACGAACCATTCTCTTTTTTCTTGCCGAAGATCCCTAGTTTCTGAGTGAGGTAAGCCTATGCATTTAAGTAAACCAGAAGATGTTTGTAAATGAAACTCATGTTTGCCATGTCTATCCACTCTCAATCAAGTTTATATTCTATTATTTGTGCACTGTAGCAGGTATAATTATGTCTTCTTCGAAGCCTTCCGCAACGAGGGTAGGTATAGACCCGGGTGGAAGGCCGTAAATGTGATGCAGGCTATAGCGATCATCCTGCTCTTGTTAATAGTCTGACCGACGCAAGGCGAACGGAATACTCACATTCCATCCAGAACGAGGAACTCGTCCTCGTTGCGCATCAGCTCGTTGCCCCAGCCGCCAGCCATCTCGGGGATTCTATATACGCGTTAGCCTCATAAACCATAACCCTCAACAACCAGACGCAGACGAAGCCAACCAACTCACCGATAAATGCATCGAATCAACACCGTCACATACGCCACAATCTCCGCAATCACCACGATCTTCAACCTCTTCGAAGTAACCCCCTCCCCACCACTCTGCACCCCAACACCCTCACCCTCCACCACCTCACCCCCAGCACTCCCCCCCATCCCATCCAACCTCACCATCTTCTCCCCCCCAACCGCCGCAAACCCTCCCCCCCTGCGAAAGAACCTCCTAAAAAAGTCCACCGCCAAAACCCCACACACCGCCATCGTGACCACCTGGAACACAATGCCCGCAATGATGATATTATTCCCCGTCGTCGTCATATCAATATCATCCTCCGCGCTCGCCGCGACGCCACCCCCGGCAGCCTGCAAAAACAGCGATCCGACATCACACCCGATGAAGATCCACGTGAACAGCCGCGGCTTGAGACGCGAGTACTCGGGCCCCAGGGTGAGGATGATATGTTTCAGTGTGAGATAGATCCCCGCGGCGATGAAGCTGGGGGCGAGGACCAGCGCGACGATTTGGAGTTTGAACGCCCCCGAGTCCCACGGGTTCGAGTTCATGAGGATCCGGCCGATGTAGCCCGCCATTTCGAGGAATGTGCCGATGATGAGGGCTATGGCGAAGGTCCAGGAGCGGAAGCGGAGCGAGAAGTAGACTTGGGCGAGACCGCAGAGGGCGAATATCACGGTGAAGAAGATGTTGCCGCCGAGGTTTGGGTAGTAGCCGTAGGTTGTGGCGGAGACCGGGCAGAGGGGCGTCACGGAGGTGCAGACGGAGCTCATTTTGAGGGAGTCTGGGTGGTGGTGAGATGAGATTTGAGCCAGAGAGGAATCGAATAAAGAGCGTCGATATGCGAGTTTATATGGGTATCAACAAAGAAAAGAAAAGTCGTCGCTATGCAAAGCAGACAGTAGCACAAGAATCGACAAACAAACGAACGACAGGGCCACCGAACCCTTATATCAACCTTGCGCAAAGATGACAAGAAAAGACGACAAGAAACCAAGAAGAAATGAACAGCCCCGGCCAAGAAGCCCATGTAAGCTCCCCCGTATTGGCAGCACAGACAGCCTGATCTGACGCCAGTGCCGGGCTTGGCATTTGCCTAATCAGTTGCGAGAGCGAAGGCGAGAACGAAAACGAGAGCGAGCGCGAGTTTTCCACCACTCAGCGCCCTCAGGGGCATTTCCATCGTGGCGTGGCCCACTTCGCTGACACGCCATGTGGGGACTAAACTGGGGACGGACCCCGAGATCCGATGCTGAAGGCCAATGGGGTTGGCGGGTTTTGTGGTTCGGAGTTAGGCGAGCCGTTGTGTCGGGGATTTTTTCTTTTCGGGGAGTTGTCTGTCCGATGGAGATCTGATCTATACTTTATGCCTTGTGGTTATTGGGATGGGCACTGGTTGGCGGTTTAGGCAGATGGAATAGTATCTGATCGGGGAGATTTTAACTTTATTCTGGACTTTTGCTGTGCAACGCCAGTGCAGGGCTAAGTTGGTTTTGCTCGGATTCGTTCTCGGTTTTCTTTTGCTTTCTCCATGCTGCAATCTGGTAAATTGCGTTGAGGATTATTTCTGCTGTATCCTATACTGATAGCGTTTCTAAAGAAAAGCTACTCAGTCTCAATAGCGACGATTGGCTTTGGTTCAAATAAAGTAACCTAGGCTAAAATGGGTCGTCTGCATGACAAACTAGATCCAATATGTCAGTCAACCTTATTGCGTCAAGTCTAACAATCTAGACCACATAATCTGACATCTTCATGTATAGAATGCTCTTCCCCCTGGCTAGCCATGTACAGCTACAAGCTAATAGCTAGCCGCAGCTCGGACAGACACCCTGGCCATATCTGGGAGCCTAGCCTATTGGCGCTGTCTCACATCTAGCTAGAGAGATCTACGAAACAGGAGGCAAAGATGGTCGCTTCTCCATGCTAGTAGATTGACTCTGTAAACTACTATAATATCTCGCATAGCACACTTATGCTGAGCCGAGACTAAAGAAATATGATTGTGGAACAACATGTTATATTTCACATGTTGTGCCAACAATGCTAGAGGCGAGATAGGCGGCTATCGAGTGCCTGCCGATATTTCAGACACAGTGGAGAGTTATATCAATCAGATAAAACAGCTGCCTAAATATCGACAAATGTATACCTTGTCGATATCGTCCAGTGTTGGTTGGTGCCCCACGTGACGGATCCCCACGTGTCCCCACGCGGTTTTCTCTCCGGATTTTCCTCCGTCATACAACGCCAATTATGTCTCTCCCGGGCTGTGCCACCTGTGCGTAGTAGTGTTCATCGGCATGGCGCCTCGAAGGGCGCATACCAAGTCGCGGAATGGATGCGATCAATGCAAGAAACGACGAGTCAAGGTAAGGGACCCCGAACCCACTTCCTCGCAGATCTGACATCTACGGAGTAGTGTGACGAGCGAGGCCCACCATGCTCAAATTGCATCTCTCGCGAACTGCCCTGCACGTATACAAGGTCCTCTGTCGCCCGCACAGTGGCCAATTCCTCATCCGCTAGTCCCGCGCCGATCCCGCACGCGTATCGGACCGCCGGACCAGCCCATGGCTTCGCTGTCGCTGGGACTACCAGTCCGTCGGACTTCTCTCGGAAACGGGAGCTCGAGCTAATGCATAAATACTCCACCGAGACATATCAGAGCCTCAGTAACGAGCCTGCCGACTACCAGGTCTGGCAGATGGTTCTTCCGCGGAAGGCGCTGGAATTCGACTTTCTGATGAACGGCCTGTTAGCCGTCGCGTCGCTGCATACCGCCGCTTCGATAGACTCACCAGAAGCCCTGTCCTATATTGATTCCGCGCTCGAGTACCATAATCTGGCCTCCGCGCCGTACCGCCAGGCAATCGACAACATCAGCCCTATCAACTGCGATGCTGTGTTCGCGCATGCCATCATTACCACCGTCATCGGCATCGCCCTGCCCCAGCTGACCGCCGATCGCATCGAAAGCACCACCATGACCGAGAACATCTTTGTGGTGTTCGAACTACTCCAGGGAGTCGGGAATATCCTCCAGATCAGCAGACCGTGGCTGAAAACAACATACTTTACCTCTCGTCGCGGCTTCTTCGATGTACCGCTCGCGTCGCTGGACGCTGACGCCGAAGCTTCCTTTTCGCAGTTAACGGCGACAAATAACACAATGTTGGAAACCTCAGACCCTGATCAACACCGCATTATGAAAGACGCTATCGAGCAGCTGCACCGGTGCTTTCGCCGGTTTGCCTACGCGCATGACCCTGCGTCTGTTATTTCGTGGTTGTCTACGGTGAAAAAGGACTTTGTTCATTCGCTGAGAGGCCACCATCCTATATCATTGCTGGTGCTAATGCATTGGACTGTTATTTTGAATGAGCTCGATGGGAAAATGTGGTGGGCGAGAAATTCGGGCAATTCGCTGGGGGCGGAGCTGTCGAGGGAATTGCGTTCGGGCGATCCTCGATTAGAGGGGGCTTGGGCTTGGCCGAAGAGGAAATTGGGTATATAAAGTGATGTTAAGTAGGATCTGGGATGTGATTTGCATATAGGTTAGTTTTTGCTTCAAGTTGGAATTGGTCGGATACTGACTTTCATATCACTCAGCAGAACACCGCTGTTCCGGAGCCATACTTCAATTGCATAGATTGGAGTGCAGAGACAGAATGATAGAGCTTTCATGTATATACTTTACTAAACGGTTGATGGCGTTTATATTGCTAGATTAAAATGAAATTTAACCCATGCTTGATCTCCAAAACTCCCGTCTCTCTAACACCCACGCACCCTCGATCAATTAGTGCTACCACCCCCTCGACCCTCTAAACCCATAAACTCCATTCCAGCAGCAACCTCCCGACACCTCCCCGGTAAATACCAAGCCGCCCAAGCGCCCAAAACAACTCCCATCTGGAACCCATCAAACGCATAAGACGGCCACCCGTTCTGTACCAGAAAGTCAATCCCACCCGCCATCGTCAACCGCATGATATTCCGCCCGAACGCGATGATCGACACGGCCAGCCCGATCAGCTGGTTCCATGCTTTCCAGCTCGGGAAGAGGCTCGAACTAGCTGCTGTTGGATGTTGCGTAAATTTGGCTGTCATGTAGATGTTCTCTGCGAATGTGAAGCTCCAGAATAGAGTCTGGATGATGTAGGTGGCTATGGTGATTTTGGTTCCCCTGTTAATGAACGAGTGAGATGTCCTGGACACGGTTAAGATGCCTCCCGCGGCTTGGATGATTGCGAGGACTGTGTTGACGACGAGGTAGAGGCTTCGTTGCCATTTGAGAGGTATGAAGCAGTGTTTCCCGGCGTCTAGGTTTTGCGCGAACTCTGTCTGTGTGAGGACGACGGAGAACATGATTAAAGTCGGACCGAGAAGGAGAAGGGCGGATTGAATACCGTAGGCTGTGTGATTGCAGACATCCTGGGAGAGAAATAGACGAGATGTGTAGCCGGATAGTTGTGCTGGGAGGTGTTAGACGGGTTTTAATCGGTGGTGTGTGCCGTCACTTGCCTAATGCGCCGACGATGAAGAATATACCGATTTTGGTTTGAGATTGGACCATGAGGAGGAGGTGGATTGCTGCAAGACTTGAGAATAGAATGATGCTACCAGGGCTAGAGGGAGGTTTGGGGTGTATGGATAGATGGCACAGTTGGGAGCCATGGTGGACAGGAAACTGAGGCAAGAGCTGATGGTAGTGGCATTGCGGAATATATCAATATATTAGAGCACTTTTTATACATAGTCGATTCTAGGCAGTCATATAATACCAATTCAATTGCATGTTGAGGCATTTCAGCCATCCTGAAGAGGATACTTCTGTGTTGCCCACAAGAAATGAACGTCGCGAGGAGTTTCATTGACGCCTAGTTCTTACCGCCCAGATTAGAATCGTACACTAAAAATCACCGTTGCAGAAACAGCTTAATTTGAGCCTAGAGCTTAAGCTTGCTCCTGAGTATCCACTACGAAGCCTCATTTGCGGATCAAGATGTTTGATATCGGGTCCGGGTTCGGGATCGGGATCGGGTCGCTGGACTGGTATCCGTACCAGTGTTTGATCTAGGCTGACTCTGATTGTTCAGAAGCTGAGTTGAAGCCGTCTAGGGCATTTAATTGCTCCAGATCCTATCGGGATTGAGAATGTTGCTTGCCTTGCAGGCAACTGCATTACCTGTGATAAAATAGCCTGGGTTTCTGTGGTTAAAGACTCTGATGTGTACACTTAGCTTGTTTTGCCCTTGCTCCTGATTCCCGACAGTATTGAAGAGCACTGTATGAACGCTAGGCTGAAGTTTTGGTCCAAAAAATAATCTATGCCATTTTTCTTGTTACCACCCTAATTTGGTCCAGACTATCAGTATAGATGCTCCATCAGTATAATGCGGCTCAAACGAGCTCTCAAATCCAAGCTATCAAGGAAAGTCTGTCTCCCCAATGAGAAAAACTGGCATGCCAATATTTTATAACAGCTCATGAAAAGGTGGTGTGGGTCCTGTCACATCTGCCGAGCTCGGGACGGCACGGCACGGCACATGTGCTGTGATTTCTAAATTTCTAAATAGAACTCCACGTTAAATGAGGAGTGAGCGCGATTACGGAGGTACGGTTTGAGACAATCTTTCGTGGAAAGGAGGGCTCTTTGACGAGGGTCTATTTGACGGTTAGGAAAAAGGCAATGCCGATGAATCCGAATACCAAGGGGACGATAAATGCGACCGAGACGCTGTTTCCTAGATTGATGTTGATGATGAGCGCGATGTCGCCGCCGCCCAGACCTTGGTTTGGATATATCACCTCTAAACGACAGTTCCCAAATGTATCAAGACAGGAATAGAAAAGCTCACGTACACAGTTCTAGCATCAATGAGCGTCCTCATGGACAAAGACCCCCCACATAGCCCACCCCCCAGCACAAACAGAGCCACGGCCCTAAGAACCAAGCATCGCCGTCCAAAAACATTATTTGCCTGCGCGAATAGTGGGCAATGTAGCAATTAACGCAAGGAAGTATGCATTCGGTGCCCAGATGTAGGCATAGCCGCCCTTGAGAGTCTCTGTGATGGTGGAGCGCTGGTAATGATTGTGCCTTCAATGGTGGAGCAGAGGCCGGTCAGCGACAGGGAGAAGATGATCGCCCGGAAGAGCCATAGTTCTCGAGGGGTAGCGTCCTGAACCACGCATGTCTGGTCCTGAGGGGGAGCGTTCTAGGTGTTGGTGGTGGTCATTTTGCCCCGATCTCACAGCTCTTCCCAAGTGTGATCGAAATGTACAATTAGTGGTAGAAAGAGGGCGGAATAAGCTGTAATAAGGAACAGGCGAAGAAAGGACCAGCATACTGGCAGGAAAAACGTGATAAAGTAGTACATTTGTTAGAACCATAGATTGTTGATAAGTTCGGGGTCTTTCGGCCACTTTCGGTCACTTTCGGCCACCCCAATCGGGAAAAGCAGCCCTAATTGCATCAAGATTTGAAATATATAAATTTCAGCTTAGAAAGCCATTGATAATGCCTGCTTTTTGTTTGTAATTGTTCTGGACATAGTTGATGGGGCAATCATGCAGTCATGCACCTCTTTTTTTCCCATCACCACTAGTTCAAGTGTAAATGGCACAATCACAAGCTGTTGCAGCTGCTGGCGCCGCCAATTACGGCAGTGTGATGTGTTCGAGCTCTAGTTCGCTGGATCGTACTTTTTGCTGCCATTAAAGCGGGGTAAAGAGATAGGTAATGTGGTAGGTAGTATCCTTTACTAAAAAAGATCGACTTTTGCCCCCAATTCACATTTCGCTGGCGTAGTTTGCAGATCATAATCCTCAGCAGGGATGTTTTCCAAGTCACGTTGCAATTTCCTCCTTCAATAAATCCGAGCTGAGTCGATCAGGGTGCTAGAGCTTTACGCAACCAATCAGTGTAGGTGATTTTGCCTGGATTGGAACCCTGTTTTGGTGCTGCTATGATATAGGTCTAGCCTACCCAAATGTTTTCTTTTTCTGCTTGGTGATCTTCACCTACGAGCGATCCTTAGATTCAGCTGAACTGATGTTACACGAATTACCTGTGCTCTGCAGGTAGATCTGACGTGCATGGCCTCGGGTTCGGCTTGGCCTGGTCTTGGCTGGCTTTGAATAGTGTCCGATCTGGGGTGATTTCGTGTTGAACATCTAGACATGCTTTTTGTCAAGTTTGGGATATTTATTCATATTTCTTAAACGAAGAAAACAGGAAAATGAAAACAAGGGAGACACTGAAATCGTCGGTTCGTCTGATATTTGCGCGAAACTGGTTGGCACTAGCCACAGACACATCATATGCAGCTTCTCAGCTTAGGGCTTATCATTTATCTGAGACATTTCAGCTCGCCTCATTTATAAATTAACCACTACAAATACTAACCACCGGCTACTGTATCCACAACAACCATTTCCAAGACCATTTTGCCACCGCCAATAGCGGTGACTGTCGCTGACAGGCGATGCATCGTGGGTTTGAAAGCTATGACAAGCCTACGGCATCTCCATGGTGGAAACCCTCCGATTGATACGTGATATGTCATGCGTGGGGATTGGGCATCAGGATCGTCACTGGGAGATGAGGGGTTATGCGGGTGAGAGATGAGAATGCGGGTGATAGATCGGAGAGACATGTGTGATCTACATGGTTCGATCGAGGGCAGGCCGTCTGTATTTAATCTGCTATGAGTACATGTTCTTTTCTCGGTCTGTTCAGCCGGTCTAGCAACTATCAGCGACAGAAAGCACACCATGCCTAACACCGAAGACACCTCCCACCAAGCCATCAGCTCGTATTTCATCGGGCCTGGGGCAGAGAATCTCGACCACTTCAAGACTAACATCGAGAATATCCTCACGGAAGTGAAGAATGCAAGAGATGCGTACTTTCCTGAGTCTCCGGTGCGTATAAACTATCCAATCCCATCCATACCTACCCTACATCCAGCTCTAACCGTCCTTGCACTTGAATTAGAAATTTATCCCCGACGAAATCCGCACCAGCGCCGAGTTCGTCCGCCTGACCACAAACTTCGGCAATGCGGTCCGCAAAGCAGCACAACTCATGGGCAAGCATTCGGTCCCGTTCTGGTCCCCTAGATATGAAGCCCACATGGCCGCCGATTGCACCATGGTCTCCCTCCTGGGGTACTTCATGACCATGCTGTATAATCCTAACAATGTGGCGATCGAGGCGAGTCCGTTTTCGACGGCGGCGGAGATCCTGGTCGGGGAGCAGCTTTGTGAGATGCTGGGGTATAATAATAACCATGGTATTCCGGATCTGCCGACGGGGTGGGGGCATATTACCTGTGATGGGTCGGTTGCGAATTTGGAATCGATTTGGGTTGGTGAGTATTCTTTGGTTTGAGCTGCTGAGACGGCGCAGATGGCTAATATGCTGTAGCGAGAAACTTGAAGTTCTACCCCCTTTCGCTGTTCCTCGCCATTCAGGAAGGAGAGCTGCATTTCGTGGCAGACAGCTTCGAAGTTGAGACATGCAGCGGTGAGAGGAAGCGGTTCACGAAGCTCTCAACTTGGGAACTGCTCAATCTCCAATCTGATACTATTCTGAATATACCCCAGATGCTGAACGATAGGTGGGGAGTCTCACCTACCTTTATTGAGAAGGCTCTGGAGAAATACAACATCCAGTCGATTGGAAAAGCTGCGTTGGAAGAGCGGTTTAATATCAGAAAGCCGATCCAGTACATGCTCAGCAATACCCGGCATTATTCATGGCCTAAGGGAGGTGGTACGTATTCCTATCCTCTAGCCATGAATGGCAAAACCAGAAGCTGATTCTTACCTTAGCAATCTCTGGCATCGGCTCTGATAACTTCATCGGGATCAAAGTTGACAACGAAGCGCGTGTCGATCTGACTGATCTCGTTGCCAAGTTAGAGCAGAGCCTGGAATCCCAGCAGGCTGTCTACGCGGTAGTTGCCATCATCGGCTCGACCGAAGAAGGTGCCGTGGACCGGTTGAGCGAGATCCTCAGGATCCGCCGACAGTTCCAGCGCAAAGGCCTATCTTTCCTAGTCCATGCCGATGCCGCATGGGGCGGGTATTTTGCTAGTATGCTACCTCGGAAGATCATGACCCAGGCTGCAAAAGCGGACCCGTTTGAAGGGGTCGAGACGACTGGTGATGGGTTCGTACCGGATCTTAGCTTGAAGGCAGATACGCAAGAGGATCTGCTGGCATTGAAGTGTGCGGATTCGATCACTATTGATCCGCACAAGGCAGGGTATATTCCCTACCCGGCTGGGAGTCTGGTTTATAGGGACGAGAGAATGAGGTATCTCGTTACATGGACGGTGCCGTATATTGGAAGGGGCTCGTTGACGAATATTGGTATATATGGTGTTGAAGGAAGGCAAGTCTCTCTTTCATAATGGCATACCACAGGGACTAACAGTAAGTAGCAAACCTGGAGCAGCGGCCATGTCAACTTGGCTGTCTAACCAGTGCATCGGGCTTGGCGAGAACGGATACGGAGCTCTTCTCAAGGAGGCATCCTTCACAAGCACCAGGGTAAGTTCATCAGTCCGCCTTCATGTACCTTACTAACGATTCCTATAGTTTGCCGCTCACTGGGCCGCAATGACTACTCACAAAGATTCCTTCATCTGCGTTCCACTCAACCGGCTCCCAGCCGAGATAAGCGGTGGCGACGTAGAAGCCCAGAAGAAGTTCATCCGCGAGGAGATCCTCTCCAAGTCCAACGCCGAAATCGTAGCCAGCGATCCTCAGAAGCACACCATGACTCTTCTCCGAGCGCTTGGCTCAGATCTCAATATCAACGCCTTCGCGATCAATTGGCGCTATCCGGATGGAACTATCAACGATGATATTGAAGAGGCAAATTACTTCATGCTGCGCGTGGTCAAGCGCTTGTCTATCAACTCGCCCAGTGAAAAGCCGACTGATATTGAGTTCTATCTCACCTCGACGGAGTTCAAGCATGAGGAGTATGGGGCTTGCGCTGAGGTCTTCATGGATCGACTGGGCATTGACGTGTCGACGCAGAATCTGATGGTGCTGCGTAATGTCGTCATGAGTGCTTTCCCGACAGAACATGACTTTATAGGCAAATTGATTAAGCGATTCCGCAAGGTTGTTGAGGAGGAAGTTGAGGTATGTCCTTCCCCTTTCTTAGTATGCTCAATCGCTAACAGTGTATCCTCAGGTCTGCCGAGCACGAAACGCCGTGGGTCCCGCCGAAAACAGCTTCATCATGCAAGGCGCAGACGAGATATTCCTCGTGTATCAGCCATGCTTCCAAGAAGCCAAGCGCCGTCGTCAGCTTATTCTTCGCGTTCGTCTTGCGCCAAATGATCTGGACAAATACCTCAAAGCCAAAGGCTCCAGCGAGACTGTCATCCTCAAGACAGCAAACGCGACCAGTCTCGAGACATTACTGAATGCCGTAAAGACAAACATGCCGGCGATTTTCAAGGGCAAGCTCTTCAGCTCAGCAGGGTAAGCATCTCCAGTCCTCAAATGCGCAGCATGGTACTAACGCCTAATAGAAAACCCCTCGGCCAAATAAAGGTTTCCATCGCACAAATCATCAAGAATCGGTCTCTGAGCTCCAAGAACCGCGACAAGAAGTATCCGGAAACATACATGCCGTTCTATCTCTATGGCACAGCCACGCAGCGTCATATCTCCCACATGCTGCTGAAGTCTCCCAATATTGAGCTGTCAGCGGGAAATGTGAAGCTCGACCTAGACACGGACATCGAGACCAGCGAGCTTTCCCGGGGTGCTATCCTCTGCTTCACCGATGTCCATGAGGCGCCTATGCAGCCCTTCTCTGTGAAGAATGGGAGATTGCCGCGTGGGTTCTTCTTCCGGTCTGGCCAGAAGTTCAACGTCAAAGTGTGGCGGGATCTGAAGAAGGCCGAGAACTCGGGACCGGGGCTCCTCCCTGATACGTTCAAGGGTATGGGGCCTGAACTTGCGTCGGGGACGATTGAGCTGAGGGATGATGTTTATGTAGACTCGGAGGGGATTAATAAGGACCCGTTCGACAAGTCGTCTGGCGATGAAGTGCAAGAGGAGTGGCGGGAGTTGTTCCAGGAGATTCGCGATCAGTTGGTGTAATGGCTTCCATGGTTCGAGGGTATGAGATGAATTGAAGTGTGTTGCAGAGATTAGGTGTAAATTGAGTCTTGTTTTTGACGTAATGGGTTGGCTTTATGGAATTGATTGAGTATTAAAGCGCCATATCTATAAGGAACATCAAAGGATCGAAAGAACGGAAATGTAAAAGATCGACGACTTCACCCAAAACCCATAATTCTCCTCGGACTCTATATAACCCCATTCAATTCACCATGGCTTTCACTGGCGTCGGTAAATCCCACTTTAGGAGATATTCATAGACGAAGCAAAACACATCGCCTTGTTCAGGGCGCTGTCCTTGCAAACTCCATCATAGTAATTTCGGTTGCTAGTAGGAGCACCGAAAGTACGTCCACAAGTGAGAGCCCAGTATGCTTCCTATTATATAATTAGCCTACCTGGCTCGCGTGTTTTGCAATGAGGGAGATAATAGTTCGACAACTCACCGTGACAAACCAGGCGTAGCTGTCGGCGTTCTGGAGAGGACTCATTTTATCAAACAGAGCCTTGTATTTCTCGTTGTCGGGGTTCTTGCGGAGCTCCCGAGTCAATTCAGGACCATAGGCAGGGTCTTTGGTATATTCTCCGAGACAGAGTGGCTCGAGAATGGGTCCGCTGATGTCGATTGCGTGACTAAAGACGAAGATTAGAAGGGTCTCAATGAAAGGAGCTTATAGATAGAGTGACTCACGTCAACTCATGAATAGTGACATATGCCAGAGGCAGCATCTTCCACGACACCTGACTCCCTACATCCAAGCAAGTCATCGAATCCAAGTCAGGATACTTGTAAGCATCCCGCCGCTTGGAGTCGCAAAAATGGATTTCACTGGGAGAGGTGCGGGGCTTCGTATATCCCCATGCGATTTTGTTCGACCACACCTTTTGATCCTTGCCAGGCATGCATGCTTTGTCGAAGTCCTCCGCGTTGAACTGGACCATTTGCATGACGTCTGAGCCAGTGGTCCCGTCAATGTGAGCAGGCTCAACTAGGGCCTTGATCACTTCCAAGGCCGTTCCCTGTTGGTCCTCGGTGAAATACTGGCCAAGGACGGCATTGACAATTTTCTTATCGGCTGCTTCTTCACTATACAGCGCGTCCATCACCTTTGTTACCATTGTTACCATGTCTTTGAGGGATTGCACGATGCGCTCTTTTCTTTCGGGTTTGCTTTCGAAGCCGTTGAATTGCGGCATTGCGCGACGTGAGAGGGTGTTAAATTCTCCATGACTGCGATATGTCAGTGTTGGGACATGAGGATGGGTGCTCGCTGGCCAAGGGAAGGTCTCGTACTCAGGAATCACGCTTCCGGCTACTGAGGAAGCCAGAGAGGGAACAATGCAAAGGGCAGCGCCCCAGTTAAGACGAACCATGGCCGGATGGTCGGAAAGAATGATGGGTGAACGAAAGAGATGGGGAAGATAGTTTTCAGCACTTTGCTCGAGGAGGTGTGATTTATAACAGAAGTAGACTTCGGATCATCCCATGTTCAAAAGGATTACTGAAATCTAACAAGGCTGGTTGGTGCCCATTTTGGTCATGAAGGCTTTGCTTTGGGGGCGGTTAGAGAGTAAAGCGTTCGGAATGGGCTGGATGTCCTCGAAACCGCCCCTGTTGGTTTTCGCAGGGGGACATGAGATAAAGATCTTCGAGGCTCCGCGTAGGCAGGAGTGACAGGAGGATTGGAAGGATTCCAAACTTTTAGTCGAGTGCGGAGAGCATTATTTCGACAGCGATAGCAGAATGCGTGGGTCGAATCTGTACGCCGTAACATCTTGTGCAGGTATCTAGTGCCTCCAGATAAACCAAGGCTATCATGCGATGTGTCTATATATGTCGCTCCTCCAATCCATAACTGCTCAAAAATACGCAGCTGTATAGTTGTTGTGTAAACATTTCGCTCAAGGAGTGTCCGAAAATGCAGAGAACAGCCTCACAGCCAAGCCAAACATGTGAAACAGAGCCCGTCGGATTCCGATAGGCACTAACAACTCCATAACAGCAGGAGGCAGTGTTAACATGAAATATGGAGAAGCCAACAGGCCCAAAAGGCACGGACAGGCCATTTGCGGGATCGCAAAGCTTAGCCGTCATCGGGATTGTGGATGCGCCGTTTTGGCCCCATGAGTGCACACTAAATCCTTCGATTTCCATGTCAGAACGCAACTGGTTGGCCCGTTCGTATCCCGTGTGATGATTTTCAGGGCAACATACTGATTTCTGCTTTAACCGCGCTGGGTTTCATTCCTTTGACGCGTTGTCTTCCATGCTGGGATGGCCAAGAACGAAACGCTATTTGTGTCATTTTGTGTTATTGAACTGTGTTATAATGCCAGCAGGGCTATGTATGTGCAGCCTAAAAGACAATTATGGATTGGTTTCAACCATTCCTTATGCTTTGTCATGGCTTTTTAAGATGAGTCACTGATGCCACTGCATGATGCTGCGTCATGTCGAAGGATCGCAGTCTGGTACATAGTTAGTATCTAATCACGCCTAACAACGCAACGAAAGATCGACCGGTTGTCACTGAGGATACATGCTTTTGACTCTAAATTCGTGTCATTGGAATTTCCGTTCAAGAAATAGTCCACTGTCGACACACATTGTGCTCTAGTTCTCAGATTTAGCTAGTTCAACTCGTTCATGCTGGAGGAATTTGGCCGCCTTATAACTCAGCTCCTCTACCGCCATATCTTCTAGCTTGAGTAGCTCTCGTGACCAGTCTTCACGCGCCCAGACGCGTGATTTGAAAACTGGTAAAAGTAACTTGAGACCCTCGATATTGTTATTTTGTACCGCCCTGGACAACGACGTATCATTATGCCTGTCCACGGCGAATATATTGGCACCTCTGTCCAGAAGCATTTTCAGACCTGCGCTATGACCTAAGGTAACCATTTCCCATAGGCATGTTCGGTCGTTATAACCCCTGGCATCGATATCCACGCCGTGGCTGATCAAAACATTTAGAACATTTTCGGCGGTGTCTTCCGGGAGTAATAGCACCGCCTTTCTAAGAAAGTAAGCCACCTGATCGCCTTCGGCAATTCTCGTGAAGCCCTTATCAAATAGGACTTTCAAGGCGGCAGCATTGTCATTTGCCAGTGCAGTCTCGACCGCATATCGTGCCTCTGGACTCTCTGGGTCTGGAGTCTCAAATCCATGCTCGAACATGAATTCTAGCATTTTTGCTCCTCCTACTACCCCGGGATGGAGCAGATAGCGTCCCGTTGGGGGTCTGTGATTGGGAGAGATCTCAAGTTCTATACCCCGTTCCAACAGCACCCGAACCAACTCTGTGTTCCCTGACATGACAACCTTCACGATAAGTGGCGTCGACCCATGGCTATCATCTGTTATCGAGGGATCGGCTCCGTGCTCAAGCAGAGTTTTGAAGATGCCCTCGTGTGGAATCGCTTCAAATAACGGGGCAACGCTGCGACCGCCGGGTATACGGTTAGGGTCGGCCCCGTGCTCAAGTAGGAGCTTTACCATGTGCCCATGGCCTTTGCGGATGGCCAACACTAGCGGCCTTGGACTGGCTAGTTGCCATTCCTTTGAGCCCGGATTTGCACCACGTTCAAGTAGCAAAGCTGCAACATTCTCATGGCCCTGTCTAGCGGCCCATGTGAGCGCAGTCCAGCCCCCTCGCAGTGGAAAGAACTTCTCTCCCTCTGCTTGTCTGGCCTCTGGCGAGCAGTCACTATCTAGCAGGCGCCGGACCAAGGGCTCCGAATTACAAGCTGCAGCTGCGCAGAGTAGTATTCCTTGCTCGCTCTCGCCTGTCGGGAGCTCGCGCACGCTCGTATGCTCTAGGAGAAGACCTGCTGTTTCATAGTCATCTTTCTCAAGGGCAGCGCACACCGGCCTCATGAATGGGCTCGGCTCAACGCCGTGGTCTATGAAACACCGAACAACATCGACATTTGGCGGGTTCCCAGCATAGTAGGCCACAGTCGCAGCAAAGTAAATCGCAGGCACCTTGATCTGCAGTTTTGGGTGAGGCATTCTAAAGTCCGGGTCAACTCCGCTCTGAAGCAGACACCGAACGGTATCAGTAGAGCCTGAGTGGACCGCATGTAGCAGCGGCGTGTAGCTGTTTTTTTTATCCGGCAAATTTGGATCGCAGTGCATCTCCTCCACAAGGAACTTCACAGCCGAGGACTGTCCTTTCATCGCTGCAGCATGCAGACAATTCACGCCATCCTCCCACTTATTAGGATCCATGCCGTGCTCGATCAATAATTTTGCGGTTGCCAAGTGGCCATGTTCCAATGCGCCCATGAGAAGGCCACATTCAGCTATACTCGATTCGTGCCATCCGTCCTCCGGGGTTGTATCGAACCCCATTTCCAAGAACACGCGAACGACATCTTCATGGCCTTCCATTGCGGCGATAAACATTGGTTTCGATTGATTGTAGCTGAGTGCGTCCGTGTCGGCGTCCTGCTCGAGCATCATGCGAGCGGTTGAAGCGACGCCATGTTTTGCTGCCCATCCTAGTGCCGAGCTCTCCTCATCCTCAATGTTTAGGTAGTATAGATAGGGGTTTAGTAGCTCATGGAAGAAACGGTTGACTCGGGTGAGGGAGTTGAGATCCCAGAAGTATTCGAGCTCGTCGGCGATCTGACAAAGGATCTCATTGGGTAAATCTAACAGGCCCATGGTAGTATAGGATTAAAGTGATAATAATAAATGGCTGAGTATTACTGTGAGAAGCAAAAGAGAGGTTGGCATTTTATGACGATGAGGCTATGGTCATGTCCTGTCGATCGGCGACGGAATGGCTCAGCCCCGATTTGGGGGCGGGATTCAAGTCCGTTAATGATGTTCTGGAGGATCCACTGGCGATGTCTAGTTAATTGAGTCCATTGAGTCACCAAACTGGCGGGGTGGGAAATAGCGCACGTCATTGGGTTGGTGGTTCTCCTTGTGTTGGTTCCAAGAAGTTCGCAGACTCGGTGGGTCAGGAGACTTTCAGCCTCGTCAAGTGACTTTACAACTCCGTTCGTTCTATTTATGGACAACTCTTGTATGACTTCATGTACAGCACTCCCCCGTTTCCATATGTACCTCGTTCAAAAACATAAACATACAATTCCAGAAGGTTACAAAGCTTTCCCGTGTTTCTCTTTGGTCTTTTGTTTTTGGTCTTTAGTGAGATATGCCTTGGCATGTCCGGTTTCGATTGCGATTTCAAGACTTGTTTCCACCTCCACACCAGCATCGTCCATCACCTTCGCGCTCAACCTGAACCAGGATATCCATGTTCTTCTCCCGGAGAAAATCGACAGTTCGTTGTCGGACGTCTTCGAGATCTGCAGTGCGAGAGACAATGACGTGGATGACACCGAGGACGTTGGGGTTGGTCTTTTCATGGTCGTGGTCGTGGTCATGGCTGTGATCGTGGGAGTGGGAGTGGGAGTGATCATGGTGGCTGTGAGAGTGATTGTGATCATGACAGTGATCGTGGCTATGCCCGTGGGTATGGTCGTGGCTGTGACCATGACCATGACTGTGACTGTGACTGTGACTATGACCATGGCTATGGCCATGACTATGTCCGTGACCGTGGTGATGATGGTCGTCGCCCGAGGCGGCCGTGTCGTCCAACCAGAACTTGGGGACAGTGTATCCCACAACACCCCTCAAGTTACTCACGCCTCCCAGGGTATCGCGAACATTGTATTCAACGTCCGCTGGAAGAGTAAGGAGCAACGACTTAGCGGTGCTGCTGACAAGCGGGATAGCCGATGCGAAGATCAAGATGGCGATCATGCAAGATGCAATAGGATCGTATCCCGCCCAGCCTGAGTAGTGAACCAAGACAGTAGAGATAACAACGGCAACAGATCCGAGCGTATCGGCAAGGATGTGCAGGAAGATACCGTGCATGTTCTCATTGCCGTGGGAGTGTCCGTGGTCATGTCCATGACCGTGATGGTGACCATGATCAAACGCCATGATACCGACCAGGTTCACAAGAAGACCTGCAATACTGACAACCAAGAGCTCCCCGAGTCGGTGCATCTGGCTGCCAGATGAGAGTCTCTCCACGGCCTCGTAGATAATTTCAATACTGATGATCCTGGAAGGGGTCAGCAGCTGATATGGGCATCCAGAAGAGTGAACTCACATGAGGAAGATACCATTGGCAAATCCCGACAAAGTGTCCACCTTGCCATAACCGTAGGGAAATCTCGCACTGGGTGGCCATTTACTCATGACAGCTGCACAAAGGCCAACCACGAGTGCGAGACAATCGAAAAACATATGGATACTATCGCTGAGAAGGCCAAGAGAGCCGGTAATAAAGCCATAGGACAATTGCACAAGCATGAATGCAAAATTAAGACTGATGACTGTTAGTTAATCGGTCACACACTAAGGGTGGGAGACATACGTCATGAAGTAGAAGATGCGTCGCGAGTCGCTCTCTTTGAGGATGCTGTACAACAGAGGATATGGCTCGCTATAGCGGATGATAAGGTTCGTTATTCGTGAAGCATCCTTCCCGTGGTGGGAATGATGGTGATGATTGTGGGAATGGGCTCCGAGGCGCATATGCTTGTCGTCAAATCGAGCGGCTGGGAACGAAAGAGCAGCTAGGATACCCCGAGAGAGGTAAGTGAGGTAAACCCCGTCGCGCATAGGCGGAGCGCATAACAAGGCTGCAGTCGCCGTGCCAATCACAAGCCCGATTTTATGTGGGGAGCGCAGATTGCCAGGGACTAGGAAAATCAAAGACGCCGCAAAGGCGCCTGCAGTCAAAAGTATATACAAAAGGTCAACTGCCCGAGATGAGACGCCCCTGGACGTGATGGCAGATGCCAATGCCAGTAGTATACCAGAACCAACAGTCAGGACTGCCTCGTCTGGGGAAAAAGAGGACAAACTCGCAGGCGCCATTTTGGGCTCAGCGGATCCGGGTACTGAAATACCAAGACCGGAAGGCGAAGTCGAAGTTGAAGAAACAGAGGCAGAAAAGGGAGGGCGGATGATAAAAACTGACAATAACAAGGAAGAGTAACCCAAGAAAGGCTGCGTGTCCCAAGATGTGTTCATGCCCAGGAAACTGCAAAGGACGACAGCCAAAATGACACCCACCGTCAACTTCTTCTGAAGTAACCGGCCTTGACTAGGTTGCGCATTGCTTCCCGGGATGATTGTCGGGAGCCCAGTTGCAATTGCAAGCAACAGAGTAAATGCAACCAGAAACCCGCCCACTTTCAAAGAGGCATAAATTGGCAGGGCGATGGAGCACACCTGGCCAAGGGTCGTGCGAATCTCGTTCGGACCAATTTTCGGCACAGTTGGCATAGACTCACCGCGTTGGATGAGCTGGAGGGCTTGCGTACATCCGAGTATAACCATTGTCGCGGCAGCCAGAAAGCCAGCCCTTTGCGCCGTGCAGTCTAACCGTCCACTGCTGGCAGCGGTCCAGGTGTCGTCGCTAGTGTCCTCACCAGGCGCCGGCGCCGGCGATTCCCAACGTACGTATTGCTGGTAGTACCACGAGACTGCGATCCAGGGAAATGCTGCAATGACACCCGCAAGACCCTCGTGACTAAAAAAGTAAGCGACGAGCTAATTTCACAGAGATGGAGAACTTACAGGGTCGTGGCTTCAGGATCCGCAGACACCAGAGGTGTATCGGGTGTCAATCCCGTAATACTGCCCGCGTGGCTATGCTTTGGCGTATGTGTGTGAAATGCATCGACATGGTTCACACCAGCCCATCCGTTCTCGTGGATCGACGAGGCATGGGAGTGCGTGTGCTGGTGCCCATGCCAGTGAGAGTCGGCAATAGAGCCATTGGGAGTATCTGCGGCCGTCACAGGCTGCGACAGCGGCTGTGGAATCGTCGAGGCGTCAAAAGAGGACACCGAGTGAGAAATGGGGCCGTGCGACCATCGATTCGAGCGCGAGTGGCCGTGACCGCGACCCCGACTAGGTCGGTGACCGTGTCCATGACCGTGTCCATGCGATACCGATGAAATCGTATCCACGCTGGACATCGGAGACCCCGTCGACATGGTCTCAGCTGTCGCTTATGCGATGCGTCGTGGATGAGACAATCGAGACTCGGCAGCGACTAAGGGGAATGGAGCAGGGTGATCGACGAAGGCAGGACCGAGGGAATCGAGGGGTAAACGGGAGTCTTTAACGGGTCAATTGAGAGTAGCGACCGGGCGAAGCAGACAAGGGGCGCGGCATAGCGCACTCAGCGGAAGCAATAGCAAAGCAAGGAGCGACGAGGTGGCCAGATGGGAGGGAGTTTGGACCCCAGAATCCAACGGGGGGGCGGAGGCGATCGATAAGGATCGCCGCACGTGATCGCGGGTTTGTTATCTCGGCAGGTGCCTGATCTTTCAGGATCGCCTCGCCTTTCTGGTGTTGGCATCCGACGAACCCATGTTCCCTCGCTCGGAGAATATCGGTGCGACATGGACAATGCTCCAATTCCTGCGCCACTCATTGGGAAGCCAGACCTGACCTGCCTTCCGCGATCTTTGTTCCCAGCACCGTAGCCGCGCGCTTGTTGATCCTTGTGTGGGGGCGCTCGGGTCATGTTTCCTCCGTGTTTTTATCACCGATCATCCTCCAGCTGGCAATAGCTCAGATAGCTATACTCCAGGCGTTCAATGCGCTGGCCAGGTGCATTGCAGTCCACCCAATAATGAATTACTTTCAGCTCGTGTGATTTTCAGCCATAGCTCACCATGATCGAATCCATCATCAACGTCGCCTACTACGTCTCGACGGCTCTCACACTGTCTCTGTTGCTATTGCCGTCGCAATATGGCCACAGACAGCACAAGGAACGGGCTCCCACCGACCCGAAAACATCAGTGCAGATCCTAGTTCTCGGAGACATTGGGCGCAGTCCACGCATGCAATACCATGCCCTCAGTATTGCCCGAGGTGGAGGCCGGGTGGAAATAATCGGGTATCAAGGTACGACACTTGCGAAGCCTGTCGCAATCAATGGTTGATAGCTAATTGGTTCATCTATCCAGAATCCGAATTACACCCTGACATCGCCTCCGACTCGAGAATTTCCATCGTCGACCTCCCTCCGCATCCGTCCTTCTTGCAAACAAGCAACAAGCTTCTTTTCCTAGCGTTCGGTCCGCTGAAGGTCCTTTTCCAGGTGGTCTGTTTGTGGTGGGCATTGTGTTATCGTACAAAACCGTCGAAATGGCTTCTCGTTCAGGTTGGTAGATATCGTCTTCCCTGTATGGGGTTCATCCTAACCAGGCTTTCTTCGCAGAATCCCCCCTCCATCCCCTCCCTGGCGATCGCATCCGCTTCCTGCTTCCTGCGAAACACAGACTTGATCATCGACTGGCATAATTTCGGGTACAGCATACTGGCGCTGAAACTGGGACCAAACCACCCATTAGTACAGTTCTCCAAGTGGTACGAGAAGACGTTCTGCCGGTATGCCACGGCGCATCTATGTGTTACGAAAGCCATGGCCTCGGTTCTGAAGACCGAGTTTATGCTGAAAGCGCCCATCTTGTCGCTCCACGATCGCCCGGCGAGACACCTACAGCCCATCGAGGACGCAAACGCACGAGAGGAATTCCTCCTCTCATTGCCGGAAGCATCGTCCATGCAGTCGCTGATCAAGTCAAAAGAGCTTCGTGTTCTAGTCAGCTCCACGTCTTGGACACCAGATGAGGATTTCTCGCTGCTCATCGACGCCCTGTGTCGGTATTCCGAGCTTGCGACCACCTCCAAACCAAATTTACCCACTGTGCTGGCCATCATAACGGGTAAAGGTCCGCAAAAGGAGCATTATTTGAAACAAATCTCCGAGCTTGAAAAGGCCGGGAAATTACAGAAAGTGACAATTCGGACGGCCTGGCTTAGTACGTCCGGGTATGCGAGCCTCCTGGCGTCCGCGTCGCTAGGTGTCAGTTTGCATACTAGTAGCAGCGGCGTCGATCTTCCGATGAAAGTAGTCGATATGTTTGGAGCTGGGTTGCCGGTGGTTGGCTGGAATCGGTTTGAAGCATGGCCGGAACTCGTGACGGAGGGTGTTAATGGGAGAGGCTTCGGAAGTGCCGATGAGCTGACCGACCAGCTTGTAGATCTTTTTGGGGAACCTGGTAAACTGGAAATTTTGAGGGCGGGTGCACGTAAGGAAAGCACTCGTCGCTGGGAAGATGAGTGGGATCCTGTGGCTGGGAAGTTGTTAGGGTTGACGTCGTAAGGGAATATATATAGTTGGCTGGGCCACCGCATCCAAATAAAAAAACATTATCCCTCAATCACCCCCAACCACACCCGCCTCCATGAAAGTAGTGGGCCATAATTGAAAAATTAAAATAAAAAATAAACCCCCTGGAAGGGAAACACAAAAATTAATCCCGAAATTTTCCATTGCAGTAAACACATGTATCAAACACATCCGCTAAATGCCTATTCGCCTCTTGGAGCTCGGCATCATGCGAAACACCCGTAAGCTCCTCATTCAAATACTCCGTCCCACAAATTGAACAGAACTTTGAGACCCCAGGATCTTGAATCGAAAGCAAAGTCAATCCACATCGAACTAGATCGCGCGTTAGTGAAACCATCCCATTGCCTCCCAGAGAGATACCACTTACCAAATAAGTGACCCGAGGCACATTGTGCCTCTTGCCCCGAATACCAGCCAATCCCAGCATCGCAGATCTCACATTTCTCAAATACGCGCTGACCGGGCCCGGCGAGCTGGTCTGCCGATTTAGCATCCACTGCTGTCCCAGGCGACGAGCAGTTCTCGATCTCATCGACGAGATCGGCCCCAGTCGTTTTGGCGATCCATTGGAGTGCCTTGCGGGCTTGGGATAGCAGCTTCGTGTTTTGGGAGTCGACGATCGTGCAGCATGCAGCGGCGTAGAGGATCTTAGGTACCCATGGTTGTTTGTCGAATTTACCGCCGTTGGAGAAGAGGATGTGGCCTAAGACTTCTTCACGCCTTGCACGTAGAAAGATGGGCGATCGGTCCGGCACTGCTGGACGGAGGAGAGCGTCATCGAACTCTCGAGCTTGGGTACATGCGCGGGAAAACAAAATGGTCGTTCGTTCTTCCGCTGCAGTTCGGTATTCGATGAGATCGCCCGGGTTCAGGGTGAATGCTGCGGCGACGAGGCCGCGACAGTTTGCGAGACCCCAGATGCGACCGACGGCTAGTCCGCCCAGGTCGCCGTCGATGTCGAATTGCTCGCGCATGTTGTCGAATTGCTGCTTCCATGGCGGGTCCGTGAACTGCCAGTTGCTTTCGTCTGCAGAGGGAATCGTGGCGAGTGTGTATCCGCCGATGGTGCCGAGGTGCAGACTCTGGTTGTTTGTCTCTTCGTCGAATACAGCGGTCATTGCTGTCTTTTGTGAGCGGGATTTGGTTGGAGGTTTGAGTGTCGGTGCTTACCTCCTGTTGCTTCCCAGTGTCCGCGTTCTTCATGGCCCGTGTCGTCTGCGTTTGTCTCGAATACTGATTCTTGTACTTGGGGCTGACTGGTAGCTGTGCCTTCGTAGGCTTCGGATGGAAGTGTTATTAGAAGCACGCCACCTAGAGTACCGGCGGCGAGACGAATGTCAGAAGAACCCTCCTGAAACCATAGTTAGCAAACTCCATGATCGGATTTTAAGGAGAGTTAGTTACCTTGTATAGCCATTGAAGTGGACCCGTGCAATGGTAGGAGCGTATGTCTGGCCATTCAACAGAAGCATTCTCATGACAATCAACCGTGACCTTGTAACGGGATTGAGACGGTTCTCTGACTTGGTCTACAGCCAATGAGACATCAAACTTCACCAGTTTGACAGTTGTACCATAGAGAACTGCCACATTGCCAGTGGCAGACGAGACATCTTTCCCACCCTTTCCACCCAAACGATAGAACCAAGGCCCAGACTCTATTGCCAATGATTTTATTTGCGTCTTGAACACCGTCGACAAGAGCGACCCAGGCTGGACCCGAGGATGTTCCTGATCCAAATCCTGGAGGGCCACACCAGCTAGCACATCAATCGAGTACCCAGCAGATGTCCTCCTCGGCCGCAACAACACAACCTCATTCTCATCCGTCACCACCGAAAGCAAATGAACCCCCCATCGACTCTCCGGGCCCTTCTCCCCATCTCCCCCCTTGAGTGGCGGACACCACGCAAACGTCGAAACCGCCGACTTGCGCAGCCTGTCGCCCTCGTTTTCCACCAGCGACTCTGCCCGCTCCCTCAACACCTGATTGACAACCGCCACACGCGTCCACTTCTCCTGCGCCCCGACCGTTTCAAAAAACGACAACACCATATTCGACGTCAACACGGCCAGCACCGACCGTCTGTACTTACCCAGCCCTGGCGACGACCACGCCAGCCCGACAACATTACTCACCGACTGCTCGCGACCCAGCGAAAAGGCGTCTCGCGGCTGAGGCATCACCGTCGGCCATTCTTCGTTCGTGAAGACATTTGCGCGCACGCGCGCGATGTTCCACGCGCTGGGTTTGCGCCTGGAGCCGGCTTCTGTGTCTTCGTTGGTTTTTTTGGGGGTCTGGGGCGCGTTAGTTTGCTCCCTTGCTTGAGCTGTGCTTGATGTTGGGGAAGGGAATGCGCACTAGGATCTGGATATTTTCCCCTGCTGCGACGGCCAATTCGCCGTCCTCCGACCATGCAAGGCAGCTTAGACAAGAGGGGAAGAGTTGCAGCTCGACAGGGTCTAGCATTTTGGACTATGGGGCTGGGGCTGCAGTTAAGGGGAGGAGGGTCATGGTTGAGATGATGGAAATGGAGATAGATATTCGATTGAATCGCTACACGGCAGTGAGCAGTGCAGTTGTATGTCTGTTCGCTTGAAATGCGCTGCAGATCGAGATGCATGGGCGATGCTTTGGGTTAGCGCAAAATATGACGTCCCGATGGAGGACGGCGGGTCACGTGCTGTGGGCCGTGAGTGTGAACTACGAGCTTAGAATGGAGACAGTTTGCTATTGGAAAAACTGGAATTTCGTAATTTGAGGGTTATATACATGCATGATATTTTGACAGCGCTAGACGGGTATAAGGTACGTGTGGCTGCTTTTGGCCAGGAGTGAGGCGAAGATGAGAAGCAATAGAAAGGCTCGGGAGTGAGGGTAAACAGAGTAAAACAAGCGCGGCATACCGAGGGAACTATATAGTTGCTCATAAAGCGTTCTGTTTACTCGACCTTGTCCAACTTCTGGACAACCATCGCGCTGGCAGCACCACCGCCGTTGCAGATGGCAGCAACGCCGTACTCGCCGGGCTGCAGTTGGTGCAGAAGGGTTACCAGAATGCGGGATCCGGAGCTGCCAAGGGCATGCCCCAGAGAAATGGCACCTCCGAGAGGGTTGACGCGCGCGTTCTCAAGACCCAAGATCTGTGTGGAGTTAGAATATATACAGACTGTGTCAGATTGATCATGACTAACCTTCTCGTTGGCCTTGATCACGGCGGCAAAGGCCTCGTTGAATTCCCACACGGCAACCTGCTCCTTGGTGATTCCGGCCCGCTCAAGGGCAATAGGGACAGCCTTGGCGGGGGCAACGGGGAAGTCCACGGGGTCGATGGCAGCATCGGCAGAGGAGACAATGCGCGCCAAGGCACGGTTGCCTTGACCGAATTCACGAGCAATGTCCTTGCTGGTGATGACCAGGGCCGAAGCTCCGTCGTTCATGGTCGAAGCATTACCGGCCGTCACAGTACCAGTGCCGTCTCTGAGGAAGGCAGGCTTCAAAGTCGCCATCTTGTCGGCACGGAGGTTCTCATACCCCTCATCGCGCTCGACCACGGTGTCGCCCTTCTTACCCTTGACGGTGACCGACACGATTTCATCGGCGAACTTGTTCTCCGCCCACGCCTTCTGCGCCCTCTCGTACGACCGAATCGCATACTGATCCTGGGCTTCACGGGAGATCTCGTACTTCTTGGCTGTGGTCTCGGCACAGATACCCATGTGGAACTTGTTGTAGACATCCCAGAGTCCGTCCTTGACCAAACCATCCTCTAGCTTCAGATCGCCGAACGGAGGCAGCTGGCCGGCCCGGGGGAGATAGTAAGGTACCCGAGACATGTTCTCCATTCCACCAGCGATCTGGGCCTCTGCCAAACCGAGTTGAATGTTCTGTGCGGCCAATGCGACAGCCTTCAGACCAGACGCGCAGACTTTGTTCACAGTCAAAGCTTCCACGGTGGGAGATAGACCGGCGAAGATCGAGGCCTGTCGAGCGGGGGCCTGTCCGACCGACCCTTGAAGTACATTGCCCATGTATACATCTGTGATTTTGTCGACGGGGACATTCGATTTGCCCACGGCAGACTTGATGGCCGTTGCGCCCAGCTCAGGGGCAGAAACGGAGGCGAAAGAGCCGTTGAACTGATATGGATGGTTAGTATGTGATGTAATAACAGGATAACAAAAAGGAAAGACGGTTCTTCAATTCGGGAAGGTTTTCTTACCTTTGCAGTGGGAGTACGGGCACCACTGAGAATATAGGCGTCTTGGATCTCCTTGAACACTGGACGAGCTGCACTAAAGTGCCTGTGCCACTGAGATGCGGGGACGGAGGCTCTATTAGAGAACAGGCGGGCTGTAGGCCCCATCGATGTGCGGATAGCCATGCTGTAAGGAAGGAAAGGGATGAGAAGGTTAGATGTACAGAAGGAAGATGGGATTGAGGTGTGAAGGGAAAGGGATGAATGAAGAGTGAAGTCGTGGCTACAGATCAAGCACCGCTCTCTTCTCCGCAATCCGCCATTCCGCCTGTAGCCGTCCGCCCGCCCGCGTTGGACCGAGGCTGTTGGCGACACACGTGATGCAAAGTCAGGTGACCTACTGCAGAGCCTGACATAATCATGCGTCATCGGAGGCCGTGCCCGAAAGAGCTAGTTTCCCCATCCAGCATATTCCCCCGATGGCGACCGGCCGCGGGATCTGCACCACCTTCCCTTCCCGCTATTGTTGTTCCCTCTCTCTCTTCTCCCCGTTCATCCAGATTCACTCCATCCGCCACATCCTACTCCTCCTCATTCCCTGGATTCGGCTGTCTTTTACCTAGGCCTTGCAGCCTTCATCGGCATCTCGGCTCCTTCGATCCTCTAATCTTTATCGCCAAACAGCTTCCTCCGATAACCTCCCGTTCCCGTACCCCGCCGCGATGTCGACCTCTGCTCGCCGCCGTCTCATGCGTGACTTTAAGGTCTGTCCCCCCGGCATGCGCATCAATCAGTCATGTTTTCAAATCAACATCATGGAGCTCTGGCTCTCATGACCTTTTCTGACCGACCAGATCGACATTCCATTTAATGGGAATTTCCCATCTAGATCTCGTGGACTGACCAACCTTTGGTGAACAGCGTATGCAGACAGACCCCCCAGCCGGTGTTTCGGCATCTCCAGTAGCGGACAATGTTATGACCTGGTAGGGCTCCCATATCATTTGGAAGCGGTCGGTGTTAACATGTTTTGCCCCAGGAATGCCGTGATCATTGGACCCGCCGATACTCCCTTTGAGGACGGAACCTTCCGTCTCGTCATGCATTTCGAAGAGCAGTACCCAAACAAGCCCCCAGGCGTTAAATTCATCAGTCAGATGTTTCATCCCAATGTGTATGGCACTGGCGAGCTTTGCCTAGACATCCTGCAGAACCGTTGGAGCCCAACTTATGACGTGGCGGCGATCCTCACTAGTATTCAAAGGTAAGTCCCATTGGCTGCCGTGCCGATGTATGAATGCCAGGCTAATCACCATCCTGTCGCCACACAGTCTGCTCAATGACCCGAATACATCATCGCCAGCCAACGTAGAAGCCTCGAACCTCTACAAGGACAACCGGAAGGAATACATGAAGCGGGTGCGTGAAACGGTCGAGAAAAGCTGGGAGGACTAATGGGATTTTTTTTTTCTTTAACTTTTCTTATCCCTCTCCCTTATTGTCCGCTTGAGATACCTCTCGACTCTTATATTTCTTTTTTGTTGATGGTCTGATTGATGGAACGACTTTGTCCGCTCATGTCAAACAGACGACAAGCTGCCTTGACCCGACGGGATCGGGGCGAGACTTGGGCGCTGTGATCGGGGAATTTCTCACGCCGTTTGATGACATGCACAGCGCGGGGTTTTGGCGCCTGGTAAATATCTTTGTTCTCGGTCTTGTGGATAATTGCATCTCTTGTTTCATATTGCTGCTGCTGCATGCTCGTGCGTACGCTGCGCTGTTCCGGCCTGGTTTTAGTGTTTCGCAGTGTTCCCCTAGTGACTTGGTACTTTCTTATTTCATTTTTATTTACTCCCTTTCTCTGTAACTCCGGTTGTGTGATCAGCACAGTGAATATCGTCTCAAGTAAAGCACGTTTAATGAGGCTGCTTCTGTTAGGCGGATGCCAAGACCGGGACTAACGGTTCGTGTCGATTCGTCTTCCACCGACTCCTCAAGAATCCCCGTCGTTTGCCTGCTGCTCCCCTCCTCCGAATACATTCGTCCTCACGGCCTGCGGTGTTGTGATCTCTCCGGGCCTCTTGTTGTGACCCCAGTCCTGTCTCTCGGGTCGGTGATCCCTTCAGCTGCCCACGTTCTCTGCGTGTGCTGTGCACGTGGACCCCTGACCCAAACAACGCCCACTCGGTCTTGGAATTCCCACCGACTGGACCTCGACTCGACCGGCTTGTCAAATACTGCCCGCCATCCTTGACCCCTCCCCTCGTGGGGTTTTCTTTTTGTTTCGCGTTCCTAGTTTTTCTTGATCCGGTTCTATTGAGCTTGGGTCAGAGCGATCATGGCGTAAGTCTCTCCGCCCGAGTCGTCGTCGCACACCTCCCGCTCCAGACGGAAAGCACACACGCTGACCAGCTATCTCGAATGACAGGTCATCTGGCCCCAACACCATCAAGGGTACGTGGACCGTGGATCGTGTCTATTGACCTCCCCGTGCGGTCCGTCCGACTAACACGTTTTGTTCCCTCTGCACAGTCGTTGCGAGATTCCGACCGCAAAATAAAGTTGAATTGGCGTCCGGCGGAGAACCCATCGTTGACTTTGAAAATGAGCAATCATGTCAGATCAGCGTGAGTCCTTCTATCCTTCAATGGCTTTATTACCCCCTTGCGAGATGTGTGTGGTGGTATTGACTGCGAGGCTAGTCGAGGGAGGGCAACGGGTCCTTCACCTTCGATCGGGTGTTCCCAATGGACTCGTACCAAACCGACATCTTCGACTTCTCCATCCGACCCACCGTCGACGATATTCTGAATGGATACAACGGAACCGTTTTCGCGTATGGTCAGACCGGTGCAGGAAAGTCGTATACCATGATGGGTTCGGACATCGACGACGACATTGGCAAGGGTATCATTCCGCGTATCGTCGAGCAGATCTTCGCCAGCATCCTCACTAGCCCGAGCAACATCGAGTACACCGTCCGCGTCAGCTATATGGAGATTTACATGGAACGCATTCGCGATCTTTTGGTTCCCCATAACGATAACCTGCCCGTGCACGAGGAGAAGTCGCGGGGTGTTTATGTGAAAGGCTTGCTGGAGGTCTACGTCTCTAGCGTACAGGAGGTGTACGAGGTGATGCGCCGTGGTGGTGCGGCCAGAGCCGTTTCCGCGACCAACATGAACCAGGAGTCTTCTCGGTCCCATTCGATTTTCGTCATCACCGTTACGCAGAAGAACCTGGAGACCGGCTCCGCCAAGAGTGGTCAGCTGTTCCTGGTCGATTTGGCCGGTAGTGAGAAGGTCGGAAAGACGGGTGCCAGTGGCCAGACCCTGGAGGAGGCCAAGAAGATTAACAAGAGTTTGAGTGCGCTGGGCATGGTCATCAACGCCCTGACCGACGGCAAATCGTCTCACATCCCGTACCGTGACTCGAAGTTGACCCGAATTCTGCAGGAGAGTTTGGGAGGTAACTCGCGCACCACGCTCATCATCAACTGCTCGCCCAGTAGCTACAACGACGCGGAAACCATCTCCACCCTGCGATTCGGTGTACGTGCCAAGGCCATCAAGAACAAGGCGAAGGTCAATGCCGAGTTGAGTCCGGCCGAGCTGAAGGCGCTGCTGCGGAAAGCTCAGGGCCAGGTCACCAACTTCGAGACCTACATCTCTGCTCTGGAAACCGAGGTTCAATCGTGGCGAAGCGGTGACCAGGTGCCCAAGGACCGATGGACGCCCGCCCGCGGAAATGAGGTGGTCAGCGCCGCAAAGGCGGAGGCACGTGCGCCGCGGCCTGCCACTCCCTCTCGACTTCAAGAAACGCCTCGCTCCGAAACGCCGCGACCGGACTCGCGCATCGGCGATCGCTCCAGCACTCCCAGCATTATTCTCGAGAAAGATGAACGGGAGGAGTTCCTCCGGCGGGAGAATGACCTTCACGACCAGATCGCCGAGAAGGAATCGCACATCGCCAATGTCGAACGGGGTCTCCGTGAAGCTCGCGAGGAGCTCCGCAGTATGAAGGAGAACTCGGCGCGCTCGGGCAAGGACAACGACAAGCTCAACACCGAGGTCAATGAGCTCCGCATGCAGCTTGAAAAGGTCTCGTACGAGGGCAAAGAAGCGTCCATTACAATGGACAGCCTTCGGGAGGCCAACTCGGAATTGACCACGGAGCTGGACGATGTCAAGCAGCAGCTTCTGGACGTCCGGATGAAGGCGAAGGAGACCAGCGCGGCCCTGGACGAGAAGGAGAAGAAGAAGGCCGATAAGATGGCGAAGATGATGGCTGGTTTCGACCTGGGCGGCGACGTGTTCTCGGACAACGAGCGGAAACTGCAGGATCTCATCCAGCGCGTTGACTCCTTGCACAAGGTCAGCGAAACGGGCGAGACGATTGCGCCCGACGATCTCCTGGAGCTCCGAGCAAGCCTCATGGAAACCCAGGGATTCATCCGCCAGGCCGAACTCACAATGAACGATCGGGGTGAACTGGGCGAGCTGCAGGACAGCCGTAGGGTGGAAGTGGAAGAGAAGTTGACCACTCTCGAGCAGGACTATGAGAAGCTGCTGGAGCGAAACCTGGGCGAAGGGGATGTGGAGGAGATTAGAGAACGGTTGGAGAAGGTGTACGTGACCCGCAAGGAGACCGAGTTGCAGGCCGCCAATGAGCTCCGGGGTGAAATTACACGCAAGGACGAAGAGCTTGGCAAGTTGCGCCAGTCCCTTGCGGACTCGCAATCTCGCGTGTCGACGAACGGCGCCGCCGGCAAGAACCTGCACCAGCAGATTGCCGAGTTTGACGCGATGAAAAAGTCCCTGATGCGCGATCTGCAGAACCGCTGCGAGCGTGTGGTGGAGCTGGAGATCTCCCTGGACGATGCACGCGAGCAGTACAACAACGTGCTCCGGTCGTCGAACAACCGGGCCCAGCAGAAGAAGATGGCCTTCCTGGAGCGCAACCTGGAGCAACTAACCCACGTGCAGCGCCAGCTGGTCGAACAGAACAGCAGTCTGAAGAAGGAAGTGGCCATCGCCGAGCGGAAGCTGATTGCCAGAAACGAGCGGATTGCGAGCTTGGAGAACCTGCTCCAGGAGAGCCAGGAGAAACTCACCCAAGCCAACCACAGGTATGCCGGCCCTTCGTGGTCTTATCTGCCCTGGGGCAGTCGCTAACCATTTTTTTCCCTACGCTTCTGCAGGTTCGAAGCGCAACTCACTGCAGTCAAAGAGCGACTTGAAGCCGCGAAGCAGGGATCGACCAGGGGTCTTCCAGCTATGGATGGCAGCGGCGGTTTCAATTTTGGCGGCTCGAGAATTGCAAAGCCGCTCCGTGGCGGCGGAGGAGAGACCAACACGCCCGTTGCCGGAGTCCAGTCGCAGGAGACCGGGAAACGCACCAGCTGGTTCTTTGATCGACGATGATCCCCGCTTCCTCTTCTGTTGTCTCTTTTATCCCTTCATCGAAGATATTTAAACCACACTTTTCTCCTTTTTTCTGGGCATGTCGATATCCTTCTCCATACCTTGTTTCATGTCTCGTGCTACGGTATGAAATCTGGCCGAAGATGAATTCTCTTTATCTGTTTGCAACGAAGTTTCTGTTTCATTTATGCTCATGACGTTTATTTCTCCCTTTCCTTTCCTTTCCTTTCCTTTCCTTTCCTTTCCTTTCCTTGCCTTTCCACATACACGCCCACCCACTCCCCTTTGGTACATTTAGATTCGGGTACTTTTAACCCTGCGGTTTCTCATCGATACCCTTGTACATGGAAAAAACAAAGCAGATAGATAGAAAGCATTGCGTTGTGGGATTAGTAGATTGCGGATGAGTTTGGCGGTTGGATAATGCTGGAATTCCAACTCTGGGCAAGTTCTTTTCTTTTTGACATTCAGATTCAGATTGAGCGTGTCTTGGTTGGTGACGGTGATGGATGATGGTTTTTTATGTATCATGTGCTGATGCTGATGCTGTTTCATAAGATACTTTCGTGCAATTTATTATCACGATGGCTCTCTTGCAGTGAAAAACACCAACAACAACTATCTCAACTCAAACGGCATTGGAAAGGAAGTTATCTCATGTTTGTCATGTTAGTGTCGTGTTTTGCTGAGCTCCAACTTGCGCATTGCTGGAACTTGACACATTTATCGATGAAAGGCTATACATTTTCAAATGCTATCTAAACACCATGTCTTCTATTCAGCATTATTGAAATCAGACCCCACGAACCGTATCCTCCCATCAACCACCGGACTCACAACAGGAAACCCGTCACCGGCCCTCCCAGAGATCGTCACGCCCTGAGCCCGCGCTATCCCATGAATATGAGCCTCATTACCTTGAATCCCCTCTCCATGACCAAAGATCTGCAACACAAGACCCGTATCAGTCATAGCAGCTTCCTCGCCTATCAGTGTATCTTCGTTCGGAAACCAGCTGTACCCGTCGAATCCCAGTGAGATGAACAATGACATGGCGACGGTGTATTCTCGCTCTGGGTCCAGTTTCGATATGTGTCCGGACTGGTCACCGTGAAGGATCTCCAGGATGCGATCCCCCTGCTCACGGTCCCAGCTTGCGGTTATTCGGAGCCCGGAGACTTGGAAGAATCGGCCGTCGGAGTGCATGTCGCCGATGGAGTTTTCGAGAGCTAGGCGCAGGATTCGCCCTGGCATTCGCTTTACCACCAGGGGGTTTTCAAAGGGACATATATCTACCTCTTGTTTAGTCTACGCAATTGTGAGAGAAGGTGTGGCAGACTCACTGATGATATCCCGAACCAATAAAGGTCGTCCATCTACCGTTGGACCGAGGATCCGATCCGGTCGAATCGCACCGCTATTGAAGAACGCGATGTCGGTGTTATAGAATGCCCGCACTGCATCAGCCAGCATGTTCCCAAGATTCGTCTCCTGGCTGCGAACCACCGTGCTGCGGCCGTCGAGCGGGACAGAGGTATGCAGGGCTGGTTCTTGGACAATGATGCCGACGCGGTCATGGATTGCGGACAACATATCTGCTGCCTGTGGCGGCGCAGGGGCAGATTCTATCGCGGCCTGAATGTCGGTGTATTGGGTTACTGCAGGGGTTAGAATGTATCATGGGAGAGGAAATGGAGCTTACAGTCTGTCGAAACAGCCACTGTTCCGTCCTCGCCTTGTTCGAACTCCATTTTCACAAGAGACAGGTTTCGCCAGTCTGTTCCGCTCTTCACGATTCGGATATCCCCCGTAGTCTGACGGACGAGGCCATCGCATACAATTTCCGCGTTCTCCTGCCCTTGCTCGATGATCCTAGATCTAGTCTCCGTATCTCCTGTGAACCGCCGAGAAACGTCATGATCATGCCCGCCCAGGAGTAGATCGACTCTACTCTCCCCTTCTAACGTGGCATTCGCAACTTCCATGTCCTCTGCCAACCGCATATGCGTCAACGCAATAACTACATCGCAGCTCTCGTGCGTTCGCAGATGCTTTGCTAGACGCTTCGCGACTTCGACGGGTGATGCGATTATTGAAGGGGGGAGATTCTCGCAGTTAGAGGGCCAGTCACTGCTCTATTAGCCTTTCGTCATATAAGTCGAATTTCCATAGGGTGGGTGGAATAGCTTACGTCCCTGCCAACCCAAAAAGCCCAACCCTCACCCCGTCAATCGTCCTGATAACATACTCCTCCGCGCACCCGAGTAACGCCTTACTGCTCTCCGCCCCATTCCCCGGGGAATGAAACGCATTAGACAAGACCCACGGAAACCGAACACCTTTGGATAACTCGATGAGTCGGGCATCTCCAAAGTCGAAATCTGCCTTGGTAAAAGTGCTTAGTTTCGTACCTTATTCGGTGTAGGGTGAACAGGCCAAACAAACCATGATTTCCATAACACGCCACATCAACCCCTACGAAATCCAACACGGGCCCCATGTGCTCGCCCTTCAGGACGCTGGCTTCTAGGGACGGAGAGAATCCATCTCCGCTGAAGATGGTTAGGCCGTTAGCTTTGTTGGGACCGAGGAATGATTGTTGAATGTGCGTGAAGCGCGAGAGGAGGTCTAAGGATGGGACGTGGTACTAGTTGGATTTGGATTAGGATGGATCAGAGTAGATGAGAGTTGGCGTTGCTTACGACGTCGTTGAAGTGCACAATGCGAAGCTCGGTTTTCATTGTGCTGCTTCTATTTGAGAATTGAAAGGAGAGAGGGAAATGGAGGCGATTGGGGATGCGAAATGGAGAGGAAACCATCGGAGTTTTTGTTGCGGGGTAGCCAAGCGCTGATAGTGCTGGGGGTAGTATCTGGCATGATTAGGGCTGACATGAAAAGGATCAAAGGATTTTAGAGGTCGTTCTGATGATTGAAGGAATATGGGAGCTACTAATAAAGTCGGGGTCCGTTTTAGGTATGGCGCACGTGGACTTGGATGCCCTATCTTGCGATCTGAATAGCCATCCATCGGAGCGAAACAGCAATAATTCTGATATAAACACCCGGACTGGAGTATCTAATTTCTCTCTGGCCAACACCGCTCCTTATACTCAGCCACCCTTCTCATTAACCCCTTCAAGCCCTGCAAATCCTTCGCCGCGACCGTCATCGTAACAAAGCTCCATTCTCCCGCATGAACCCACGCCGTAACCAACAAACTCCCATCCCTGAGCTCATCCCCAAACACCTCCTCAAATTGCCCTCTAGAGCACCGTATCCGCTGATTCGCCAACCCAGCAGCTTCAACAAACCCCCTTTTCGCGAAATGTCCCTTTAACGGCCCTAAATGATAAGTCCCCGTTATCCGCACATTCAAATCAACAACGAGCTGCTCCCCGTGACTATCAGTCATGACATCCACCCCGGCGGGCCCGAAATAGCCATTCCGATGTAAGAACCGTGCCACGGTGGCTATTATCTCTCGATACCGCTCCTCCAAGACTTCCTGCTCATTGTAGGAAACAAGCCCACCAGACCAGCAATACGCCCCGTCGACTTCTTGCCTCGTACAGCAGTTGAAAATCGCTTGGCCTGACTGCGTCACGAAGAATGTAATCCCAACTGTTTCACCATCGACCATGTCCTGCATGACTAGGTTACAGGGGCTCAAGTGCGCGTTGGAAGGCGTGAGATCCATTAGCATCTTGCGCACCGTGTCCTGGAAGACGGCGTTTGCGGCGACGCGGTCGGTCTCGCTGCGGATTATGAATGTTCCCTGTCCGATGCTTGCGACGCGTGGGACTTTCAGGATAAATGGGAGATTGGTGGTGCGGATCGGGGCGGTCATGCGTGTTATTTCTTCGGTGAGTTCGGAGTCGGTGAAGGTGTGGGTTGGTGAGAGGTGTGTGTCGATGACGGTTGTTTTGGGCGTGGGGAGTCCCGAATGCGCGAGTCCGCGCTTTGAGAGGAGGTTGTAGTGCACGTTGGGGTCTGTGATGTGCGGGAGGTGAGAAATCCAGTCTAGGGGGACGGTTATTGCGAGGCGGGAGTTGGTGGGCAGTTTTAGATCTGCTGGAGTTTTGAGAAATTCTGGGTGCGGTCTTTGATGGGTTGGTAGTTGGTTGAAAGTGTTATAGGTATCTGCGTGGTGAGGCAGTATGGGGGCGGGCTTTTCGTTGTCATTGTATTGCTTGCGGTCAAGATCAAAGATGGCTATGGACATGGGACCAGAGCAGAAGCCGAATCGCTGTGATGTTCCGTGGAATAACTGCTTGGCTAGCTCTTCCTTCTCGTATATGGGACATAGAGGCGATTGGATGGGGAACTTTGTCAGGGCGGGCGTTGAGGAAGTAGGATGGATATCGGCTGGTGGCGGGTAGGCATAGACGAGAACAATTTCTTCATTACTGGCGTTTTCGAGATTGTAGAGATCGTGGAGGGTGTAGTCGAGGACTACAGACTCTTGAGGATTCATCGTGGCGCTCAGTCTGACAGAAGGATTAATAGCTTTCGGCTGGAATTGTCAACTCCGGCTATTTAAATAACCCGCATGAGCTCTTGACCGCTCCTTGATATTGGGACTGCCTGGGTATGATATGTCTTTTGGATTTATACTTTTAACATCGGCATTCTTGTTTGCTTCAACCTCATGATATCAACTAATACGCGTAATACTGGAGAATATCGTTCTTGTTGCAGCAGTCTATCCAGTGCTTCTGCAGGCATACATCCCGAACTATCTTTTGAGATTGCCCCTTATAACTCACAGTCCGCGACTTCTAACTCATCTAGCGCCCTTCGCAGACGATCTGTACCCTCCTTAAACGTCACTTCATCACGACTATACGCAAAGCGAAAGCATCCTTTCTTCTTCGAGATAAATGCCTGTATATGTTAGATCGGCAACATACTATGGGTATGTCTTCAACTTACTTTATTCGGTTGCAAAAACACACCGTGTTTAACCAAATGCCGCGCCAACTGGAGATCTGCCGACTCTGACTCTGCCCCTGGGAATAGGTCTGTCCAGGAACTGAGATCCACCCATAGAAAGAATCCCGCCGATGAAGGGGTATATGGGATTTTGGAGTCCACGAGGAACTTGGTGGCTTTTGTCCGCGTGGCGATCAAGCGTTGACGCAATGTGGGTATGTACACGTCATCGATGAAGCTGTGGTCCGACAGAAACGAGATGAAGAAATCCTCAGACAAATGTGAGAATCGGGTGAAGCGGCTGATAGAGTCAGAATATTTAAACGGACTGTCTCAGAGAAAAACGGGGGGTCCATACCCAACAGCTTGCTTCAATGTGGTCAGAACATGCTGATTGTACGAGATCATGAAACCCATTCGTAGTCCGTTCAAACCCCAGTCCTAAGTGCCCAGTCAGTAAAGAATATAGTGACTATGGCGAGCCGACACGACATACCTTGCTTATCCCGTACAAAACGTGCAGATTGTCCGTCGGCATCTCATCCAAACTCAACGCACTGCTCCATGTCTCCCCAAACGCCGAGAGCGCATAGATCTCATCCACCACCAAATGAAGTCCTCGCTCACAACAAAACCGGAGTATGGCTCTCAGAACCTCTGCATCATAGCACTTGCCGACAGGATTATGGGGATTGCACATGAGAATCACCTTGACCGATGCTCCCTGTCTCTCGGCCTCTTGGATTGTTATAGAAAAAGCAGCCAGGATATCGTCGATCGCAGAAGCGCTGAACTGGTCGATATCTTCGACATCAGAGAAGACGCATTTCACACCGTTTCGCTTCTGTACAACATCGACTAACATGCCGTATGCGGGTGTTGGCATGAGCACAGACTCGTTCTCGTCGGCAAGTGTATAAATGAGTGAATTGATAAGGCCATTGAGACCATTCGAGCAAACGACATTCTGTTTATCGACAGGCTGAGAGGGAGAAAAGTGCCGATTTAATAGATCGGCGACCGTCGTTCGGAGTTCGGGCGATCCGATGGAGAAATTGTAATGAATGGCTTGAAAATGTCAGTGTTCAATATTGATATAAAAGGGTGAGATTTCGTCTACCTAGCTTGGGATCCAGTTTGTATTTATCGTTGAACTGAGTAAGCATGTCGAGCATGAGAGGGTTCATGGTCGTTCCGAGATTGACGATGCCATTTGGGTTGGTAGCCGGGTCGTAGATATCATCATCTACGATGTCGTTTACGTCTGTTAAGGGGTCATAGCCACTGTATCTCAGGGCTCGTTTGGACGGGCCGAATGATCGTGTCATTTTCGATGATGAGTAGTAGTATATGACGTTGAAGAAATGGATAATTTCGGACGAATGCGAGACATTTGTATTCCTACAGCTCAGGTGAGCTGTTGTTAGCAGATCGGCGATGAAATCAGATTGTCGGATATCATATGCAAGGTGGATGTGTGATGACATGGACCTCAACTAGCGGTGTGAAGCAGTGAAGCTTGATTCCTGCGAATGATTGCGGTCAAAACTAACATTCTCGTAAAGTGCCCAACCAGCAATAGAAATACGGGGAAAAGAAATTATATTACTTCATGAACGGATAATCCAAAATTATACAGTGTCTCTGGAGTTTGATCGCCGCTGCTCTAACCTATTTATCGTCGAATCGTTGACATATCTATTCATAGCTTGCTTTTGAGCAGTGAGCTTCTGGCAGCCCTTTCCATGACCCTCTCAGCTTTCTCCCTCCCCCCATTCTGCCAATCATCCCAGCAAAATGCAAGATGCACTGTATCTCGAGCCACGCTGTCTCGATCGGCATACCCCGGCACCAGTCTCCCATTCCCGACTTTCATTCTCTGAGTAGCGTGGTGCAAAACTCGGTGCCACCGACTTATCCCTTCTTTTCGAAACCCATACCGCAACATCGCTACTATCGACGCTATATTCCCCGCCGAGGCTCGCGACTGGACCCTTAAGAGGCCAAGTCCTCCCTCAGCAGGGCTTCTGAGGAAATAGTGCACCAGTAATCCACTGGCATTGGTTGGTATGCCTTGCCGGCTGAACGCAGGAAATATGATCGTGTAGTTCAGATCCACTGTTCTGTGAGCAACAGATGCGCCAGTACAGGTGACTAGACCAGCGAGTTGACCATCCGGATGGTGTGGGCTTGGGGCCGCTTGTTTGTTGATTATGGCGAGGCAGATTTGGTCGGGAGAAGATTGGACTGGGTTTAAAAAGGTCTCGATAAATTCAGCCACAGTTGCAAATGGCCCGATGCTCATGTACTGCCATAGTTCTGGGTGAGGGTGTGTCGCTTCGAAGAAGGCAGCGGCATGTTTGGTAGCCTGTGCCTTCGTGTTAGAATGATCGTTCGCTCTCGCTCTACAAAGGGGCTTTACATCGAAGGGAATCACTTTAACAACTTCGTTTTCCAGATCCTTCATAGGGAAACAGAAATTGGTATTTTGGCTGTCCATTGTACACAGGCTGGAAGCGCACAGTGGAATCAGAAATGGATGAATACTCCCAGCGGTAGAATTTATAGGAAAGGTACCTCGAAAGCAGACATACTGGTCTATTTAATGGCGAAACGAGTACGAGATTAATTGAAGCACTGAGTCCACGCCTAGACATGAGCTGTAATCCCCCGTTTCCGTTGAGACGTGTCATAAGCCTTAGGAGTCACAGGAATAGAGTTCATGATGTAAATTATATAGCCGGGATAAATAGAGAATACCTAAAGGGTCTTATAGCAGGTGACCTAGCATCGAAAGCATATTTTAAAGAAACAACGAACAAATGATATGGAGGAACAAATAGCTCAGCTGCATATCAAGGAACCTCTGTCATCGATCTGTCCCATGTTGGGGATCGGCGAAAGGGAAAGAGGCCACGGAAAGTCTCTAGATTCCAGGAGAGGATATGCCATTAATACCTGTCACATATTTGTTAAACTATGGAACACGTATATATTACTGTTTTGCGAAGATCGTGCACTCGTCTGACACATCTAGTGCTACTGGCGTATTATTGATCAAGAGCCTGGTTCTGGCACTATTCCCTTTCGTTAACACAACATGACTTATACAGAAAACCGAATGTTGAAATAATTAAAACTCACCATTTGGTAGTAGACGCCTCTTTTCCTAACAAGCTCAAGATGGCTCCCCTTCTCTAACACTTGGCCACCTTCACCCAGAACAAAGATTACATCTGCATTCTGAACAGTGGCTAACCGATGCGCAACTGCAATCATAGTCCTGCCCTTACGTGCGCGCTCAAAGGCCGCTTGGACTAACCGCTCGCTCTCTGAGTCGAGAGAGCTCGTCGCCTCGTCGAGAAGAAGGACACGAGGATCGCGAATCAGAGCTCGAGCGATAGCGAGACGTTGCTTTTGCCCACCAGACAGGGCCACACCCCGAGACCCGATGTTCGTATTATAGCTCTCGGGAAGAGATGCGATGAAGTCATGGATCGATGCGTCGCGACAGGCGGCGTGTAGTTGGTCGTCGGTTACGGTGCTGGGGTCGATACCAAGCAGAATGTTGTCTCGGATGGTTCCTGTGAGAGTTAGTAGGGAGTTGATTAGAAGAGAGTTAGTATTTGCTAACCTTGGAAAAGTGTAGGCTCTTGCGCCACGAGAGACAGGTGCTTGCGGTAGGTGTAAATGTTGACATTTGAAATATCCTTCCCATTGAACAGTATTCGGCCGTGCTCGGGCTCGCTGAATCTCTCAAGCAAGGATATGATACTTGTCTTGCCACATCCTGATGCACCAACCAGAGCTGCAAACTGCCCCTTTTCAATGGTCATGCTCAGCCCGTCGAAGACAGGGGCTTTTTGAGCGGGATATCTCAAGCGAATATCACGAAGCTCGATGGTAATACCGCCTTCTTGCAACGGGATATCGCCCTTCTCTGGAGACTCCGATAATCTGGAATCCTTCGCGTCTAGAATACGGTCGGACGCGGATGCCGCCTGCGCAGCATTGGGACCAAAACTGAGGCTCTTTCCAAATCCCTCCGCAGCATTCATAATGGCCATTAAACAGACGAAAAATGCCATTGTGTCGATCTCCCCGTGGGTAAGAAGTCGACCGCCATAATAGAAGATGAGTGCTTGGCAGCCCAAGTTGGTGCTTTCAGAGAATCCAAGAACGATACTCACCCAGCGGGCCTTTTTGTATGCAGATGCCACATGCCCGTGGCAAAGCTTCTCGAAACGATCCAAGATAGACTCTTCTAGTGTCAGAGATGTGACAGTCCGAAAGGCTCCAATGGCTTCAGAGGCAAACTGGGAACTCTCGGCAAAGACCGCATCATTCATGCTCTCAAACTGTACCTCATATCGAAATCGAATGTAGCCCGAAAAGACACAGAGTGGTGATACTGCGCACAGCGAGACCAATGCAAGTTTCCAACTATATACGAGGGCCATTATGAGGCCGCCGATAATATTGAAAACAGAGATGCCGACTTGAGCGATATTAACGCCCATCATCTCCTCGAGCTTGAGCGGGTCGTCTCTGACGCGCGCGATCAGAGTACCGTGAGAATGACCATCCTCGTCAAAGTACGCCGCGCGTTGAAAGACAAGTGACTCGAAGTACTGCGTTTGATACTTTGCTCGAATGAATGACGCAATGTGGCCTGAGCAAATGAAGGTTATAAAGTAGGCGATACCAGCAGACACAGCAAAGACAGTCCACATGATACCCATAAAGTCCACCTCATCCATGAGCTTGGAGTGGTCATCCTGCCATTTGAAGAGATCAATGGATCTGGAGAACATCCAAGCATAAAGAGGCTGTGCTGTTCCAGCTGCTGCCGAGACGAAAATGCCCAGAATCATGAGGCTCCAGTAATTCTTCGACTGAAGGAAAAGCTGGAAGAAGTGTCCAGACAACCCGCGACTAGGCTCGGTTTGTCTCTCCTCTTTCACAGGGCCATTGGCAGAATACTCGGTTCTTGCCTTGGTCTCCTCGCGACTCAATGTGGCAACATCGTCGGCATTGAAGCCATTCTCGACATCGCGTCTCGAGTCACCGAGGGAGAGGGCTTGTGCGCTGACTAGACCAGAATACACGCCCCCATGCATGGAAATTAAACTCCCATGTGTACCCGATTCGATGACCTTGCCTTTCTTGAGAACCACGATGCGATCTGCACTCCTGATTGTGGAGAGTCGATGTGCAATGACAATAGTTGTTCGATTTTTGGCTGCCTTGTCCAAAGCCTTCTGTACAATTCGTTCCCCACGGACGTCAATCGCACTAGTTGCTTCGTCCAGGATGAGAATATCTGGTTTCTTGACGATAGATCGAGCGATGGCTAGACGTTGGCGTTGACCCCCGGAGAGCCTAGCGCCGCTCTCACCAACGTTCGTATCATAGCCCTAGCAGAGCCAATTAGCATGTCATGAAACGTTGGATTTCAGTTTCCATACCAAGGGAAGTCGGTCTATAAATTCATCCGCAAATGCCTCTTTACAGGCATCTTTGACAAGTTCTCTCTTTCGCTCCTCGGACTCCCCTTCCCAGGGAGAGCCAACCAATCCCCGGGCGACATTCTCGAAGATCGTATCGTGAAACAGGAAAGGTTCCTGTTGGACAAGCCCAATTCTCGAGCGCCACCATTTCATGTCAATATCGTTTAGCGAATGGCCGCAGGTTGTAATGGTGCCTCGGAGCTCAACTGGACTTCCAGGAACTTGGACAATGTTATCAAGAGCGGGCTCTTCTTCAGAGCTCTTTTTATCTTTTTTGTCATCCTGCTGCATCGCTCTGGTGATAACGTGTTGTTGCGTCAATGTATACCACCGTTCAAGCAGGCCGACAATAGTGCTTTTACCAGAGCCTGACGGGCCCACAATCGCAGTTATCTTGCCCGCCTCGATACCCAAGTTGAGCTGGTCAAGAGTCCTAACGTCAGGCCTGCTTGGGTAAGCAAAAGTAACGTTATCGAATAATATATCATCCGTAGCCGAAACATCGGGTGCTTTAAGGGCCCCCTTCTCAGGAACGGGTGCGTCGATGACCGAGAAGAACTCGCAGGCGGCGAGCGACGCTTTGCTTATTGCCTGCATGGGAGTTGAGACGCGATCGAGAGAGAAGAAAATCGTTGTCAAATTAAGAAGTACGCTGGATGGATATTAGCATCCAATGGAATGTTGGGGAGGGGATATTTGGTCCTACACAATGATCACGCCCAGATCATCGAGTCTACTCTTCGTGAAGATAAGAGTGCCGTACCAGAAGGTTAGAGCGACGGTAGCGAAAACACCAAAGAACTACCAAGTTAGCTATATACCGCGAGTTCTGGCTAGTTTGTCAGACTTACAGTCAAGGAAAACTGTAGTGACGTGAGCGGATTCCTCGCTTGCGCCTCTTCCTTCGCCCCCTTGATTACAGCATCGTATTTCTCGACAGTTTGCTGCTGTGCGCCACACGCCATGATCATGCGAATACTCGAAAAGCTTTCACTGGCAATACCCGCTGCTTGTGCTTCTAGCTTGTTCTGGCGATTTTGGCCCTTGACAGTAAGTGGGAACAGGGTACCAACCACCAGAACAACTACCACAAAGCCTGCCACTGTGACAAGGGATAATTCCCAGCTCCAAATAAAAGAAACGACAAAAGATGCAAGGATGAGAGCCACTGACTCGATGAATATAGAGAGCTTTTCGGAAATCCCGCCTTGCAGGGTGTTACTGCTAGATGTGATGGTGCCAACAGCATGGCCTGGTGGTAGGGAATCGAGAACATGCATACTCTGGTCGAAGAGGTGTTTGATGAAGTCCAGTCTTACGGCAGCCGAGAGTCGAATGCCAATCATCCGGAAGGCGAACTTGTGGATCGAAGCGAGACCAAAGCGGGCGATGAAGAGCGCAAAAACAAACAGACTATAGATTGTGAGTCGATAGGAGACAGAAAGGTGCGGAGAAGATATACCATAGTCGATTGAGGGTATGTTGGGTTTCATTGAGGTCGGCGGATGCATCTCCAGTCACGAAGCCATTGAATTCTCCTACAAAATTCCCTGCGCGGGTGTTAGCTGGCTGGGGTAATTTCATCAACCCGGCTATAGCTCACCAAACAGAATGAACATTAAAGGCTGCGTAATTCCAGAACCGACTGCAGCCAGGGTTCCAGCAGCTAAAGCTAGCATGTCCCACGGTGTTGCGTAGGAAAAGACGCGCTGTAGATGTGAGATTATATCCCAAAACTCCATTGGTCTAGAGGCCCTTTCTCACCAGATAGTCATGAATTGTGGCAGTACGCTCCTGCTCTTGTAGAGGACCCCTCTCAGTGCTATCCTCTGATTGTTTGTTGGACGCTTCGTCACCCGGAAGCATGCTTTGCGTGCTAGCTACTGCTTCAGCCCCCATGATTTATGTAAATAGATCTTGTAAAGATACAGGGAAGAAAAGTTGTTTGAGCAAGAAGATGACGGGAAAGTATGAGAAAGGAATGGCACAAGAATGTGAGTCTGAAGATCAACGACTTATATGTAAACGAATGAATACTAGCATAGAGGGCTAGGACGTTGCCGTGCAAGTTTAATGAGTGCAGGAAGATGGGATCTTATAACCCTGTAAGTAAAATACCAGAAGGAAGGCCTACTTTTATGGGAAAACATTAAGGGGGTTTCCAGTTCCTCCTAAAGCCCCGAACTAATCTGCCAGACCAGCAGGGCTGCCGGAGCGGAGGGTAAAAAGGTCCCCGAGAAGATTCATCGCCAAGACTTGACGGATGGACCCACGCAGAACCAAAACTCGCCCCGGCCAAAGGGCTTTTTTGCCTCCCGCTCCGGTCAAGCCTGCAATGTTCTTACAACTACCTCCCATTCGTTCCGGTTCCCAATAGCCACTAGGCCTGGTCGTCTGTCAGAATGCCAGACAAAGTGGAAGGGGTTAAGCCCCACGCATGTGTTAACTGTTCTAGGGCTAAGGCCAAGTGCGTCTGGCTCGACAAGGACAATGGCATCTGCCAAAGGTTCGTTTCTTCTCTAGCACATTAATTAACCCGGATCGGGGTTTTGACGATACACAGGTGCTCTAAGCATGATCTTGCCTGTTCCAAGTCAGATTCTGTATCGAAAAGACGACGTGGAAAGGCGACGTAAGTCACTCCTACAAGTCGGCAGTGGAGCTCATTGACGCTAAACCCAATAATATGCTGCCAGTCATTCAAAAGTACTGGAGCAAAAGCTAGATGACATCATGAACTTCTTGACTCGAGAGAAAGATCACGCATTATCGCCTGTGCAACCAGCTGAACGCTCTTCAACTCCCTGCGAGGCTGGCGGATCGGCGACGGAGCCACAAACTTCACACCAACCCCAGCCTTTAGCCCAACCATCGGACTATGCGGCTACGAAAATGCTGCAGGGGTCCATTTCTATAGTGCCCGGGTTTGAAATATCATTCTACGAAGCGGACCAGGCTCTTCATGAGTACAGAAAAACCATGGTGCCCGAACTCCCTTTTGTTCCACTGCCCACCGAGAATTCCACTATATTGCTGAAAGAGAAGCCGTTGCTCCTGAAGACCATCTTGTCGGTTTGCAGACCACCATCACCTGAGATTTCGGCTGTTTTTCAAACCTGGTTTCGACAGCAGATTGCGGATGAGACTGTGGTGTTGATGAACAAGAATGTGGAGCTTATCCAAGCAATCCTGGTCTATCTTGCCTGGTAGGAATAGAGGATCCCCATTGTGTATAGTTAACTAACATCTCTGTGGCTCAGGAATGATATCTACTTTTATGCCTTGGCCAAAGATACAAGTCTTCTGCAGCTAGCAATTGGGTTAATCGAAGATCTGCGACTGAATAGATCCCAAAACACATCAGACCACAGTTGCGGATCTATTGTTGAGGATGCAGCTCAGCTCAGGAATGATGTTCAACCTCAGCCAAACCAAACCAATGAAGATCAAAGGACTTTGCTGGGGGTGTATTATTTAACATCAACGTATGTGTTCCGGCTAAGTTACCTTTGAACAGTCTTCAAACTCATGAGATCCCCGGCAGATTATGCAGCCTCCTTGGCAAACGAAACAGACTAGAATATACGGCACATTTCGACGACTGCTGCAAGCAGTTGGAACGTGACCAGTCCTTTACGACAGACTCTTTACTAGTGAACCTTGTGCGCATTCAAAGGATCACAACGAAGGTGAGTGATTGCTACCGGGAGTCAATCATCAACACGACCAACGGACCGATTGGAGGTCTTCATTCCATGACTGTTATTTCTATCGAAAATGAGCTTGAGAGCTTTATGAAACAGCTACCAACCGAGGTGAAGTGGAACCGTATGTCAGCCCAGGCCTAAATACAAATGGCAAAGCTAACAAGGCTCTAAGACCTTTTGCAAACACACTATGCCGCAGCGCGCATTCGCCTGTTCGAACCGTTCAAATATGGCGAGCGAAACCAGACAATCGAGTTTGCTCATATAAGGCGCCAAATGATTTGGCAGTGTCTGTCGAGCACGCAGGCGCTGCTTGAAGCCTTCCGCACAGTACCAGTCCAATCCTACCTGTCCCTCACTTTCGTATCTATTCTTCACGCGGCGCTGGCTATCATAAAATGCTTCCGATTGCTTACGGTCGATGATCAAGCCTGGGACGCCAGCGTCGCGCGGTCTATGTATAACCTCCCGCAAAGTCTCGACCAGCTCAGCAGGCTATTCGATGCTGCTAGCAGCAGTGGAAGCCCTAGGAGTGGCATCATACTTAACGGGCGACCTATGTTTTCTGAATACGCCGAAGCATATCGAGGTATCGGGCGTTGGTATTTAACAAAGGTAGACGCGAGTGCAGTTCGTTCGAGTCCAACACTGGAGGAACCATTTAATACATACGGCGTAGACCCGTATGGCTTTGATTTCTGGACGCAGTTGTCTGAGTTGACGAACGGCCTCGTACCTTGAATTCAATGAATGCACCACTCAAATATTAGTTGTATGCTATTGTGATATCCTTGAACGCAATGAATATATTTCTATCCCAGGCTAGCCTCCGTTAGGCATGGATATTATTAACAGCGGTAGATATGACTTATCCTAAAACCCCAGGAACAAAGGCTAACTCAAAAATACTTAAATACACCCAAAACTTCAATCCCACAGAAAGTTAGGGAAAAGACAATAGACGAGACCAGTACAATCAGAACAGCCCAAGACCCCACCACTCGCATCGCTCATTCACAGCCGGATCTTGAAGTGTACGAATCTCACTATTTCCGAACCCCACGACCATCCCCTCGATACCGTACCTGGGGATCTTCGACAGATCGTCGACCGCATTCCGAGGCACGCCCGTCTTCGCAAACCCAACGATGTAATCCTGCCACGCGAAAGCAACGGTCTCATTTACCAGGCCTGTATCAACCAGGCTGTATCCTGACGCAGGCTGCCCCGGCGTATAAAAGGTGTAAGGAACGTCCTGGGCGTGAATGCCCGGGGTGAGATCAAAGTAGTATCCAAACGAGCTGTTGGCGTAGGCCTGACGAAGAGCCCCCGCATTGCAGTCGATGATCATGTCCGCAGCAGTGCGCGCTGCCCGCTAGTAGTTGCTCGTATAGCCCCGAGAGCCGTCGAAGATGGGCGGATATTGTCGCAGTGAGAAGAGCTATATATATATTACATATTACCCTAGTTAAAACTAGGGTTGACCCTTTTTTAGCTCAAGGGTAAAAACGCAATAGATATAAACTATCTGCGACGAAGGCAATGGTCGAGGCGGGAGCGCGGGTCAGGATGCTCTGTAGGAAGTCGATGTACTCGTCGTCTGTGTGGATAGCCGGCACTAGCACAAGACCTTCGTCGGAGTTATGAGACACGGCCAGGGTGACGGATCGGTCGAATTCGCCGCGACGGCGGTGGACTTTGGGATCAGCGACCACGAGGCTGTTATCCGGGGTCGGGCCGTAAATGGGGAAATGGTAGGGTTGGGCCTGGCCGGTGGTGTCGGCGTTGGCCTGCAGCAGGGCGGCGGAGGGAAGACGGCGGGCCTCGGCGAGGGTGGAGGCGTTGGCGCGGCCAAGGAATGAGCGGAAGGCGTCTTCGCAGTCCGCGGCGGAGCGGTAGGGGAAGTAAGCGGGAGACTGGGCAATGGCGCGGCGGAAGAGCGGCGGAAGGGTTCCTGCTGCGGCCGTAATATGGTGAAGAATGGATCCGCCGCCGCCAGACGGGATCCCCCATGACGGTCACTTGGTGCTTATCACCACCGAACTGATGGATATTATCCTGAATCCACTGAAGTGTCATACATTGGTCGTGTAGACCCGCGTTCAGAAAGGCGCCCTGTTGCTCGAACGACGGCCCCGACAGGAACCCGAAGGCTCCGAGACGGTAGTTGAGTGCCACGTACACAAGGCCGTTCTGGCTGCGATCGAGAAGTCCCCGGGGCGAGCCAAATGACGTCTTGGAGCCGGCTGTAAATCCGCCGCCATGAATTCAGACCAGCACCGGTGCAAGGGAGCCGGGCTGGCCCTCTTGCTGCTCGGACATGTGGGCGAAAATGGTCCTAGGCGTCACCACGTCGAGGAAGAGACAGTCCTCTACGCCGTCGGAGAGGAACGTGGGTAGCTCGCTGTAAGAGACGTTGGGGGTGACACCAGTTTCTAGGTACTTGTTGATTTTCGTCGAGGTCACAATCTGCCAGGCGGATGATCCCTGCCCACACGTTACCGGCTGCGATTTGGACTGTATAGCAGTCCGGTTGCTGCGAGGTGCCACGGGGGCTGCCCAGCGGAGGTCCCCGACGGGGGCAGCGGCATATCGGATGTTAGAGAAACTATAATAGTCGGTGGTATCCTTTGGCGAGAGGTCAGCTATCGCCTCGCTGGTAAGAAAAGGACTCACGTACATTCTCAGGCTCCGTAGCCTGATATATTTCATTTCCAAGATCGACGATTGGTCGTGCATTTGAGGTGCAGTTTGTTTGGACCGCCCCGACGACGCTGGCCACTAGGAAGAGCTGGTAGAATAACTTTATCATAATAAAATCAAGAAACCGAGAAATCAACTCGAACGACATTAGTTGTTTCTCGTAGTGATACGGGACAGGCAGCGGAAATGGCAGAGAATTACCGGTAAATAAGTTGGGAGATGTGCACCACATCTCGTGCTTGATTCCTTTCCCCTTTCCTATCTTATTTTCTATTTTCTGTCATTGTATAGTGGTCCCACAAGGCAAGTACCCTGGATTCTACCAATTTTCCACACGCGTATGCACGGACCACGCGGTGGCAACCCCGGCTGGTCTTTTGGAACGGTTCCACCCGATAACGGCAGCCATTCAGTGTTCTATCCGAGTCTGCTAAGGGGAAAGAAAGAAAGAAACAGAAAATTGGCACAGGCTGAAATTATTGGTTGCTGCTGATTTATATGTCAAGAAATAAGCCAATAAATGGACAAAACAGAGGATCCAATTGACCTTGACATCTTTGAACTATATATAGACCGAAGACATGTGGTAAAACCGGCGGTATTCGAACATCGCTATCGAGGCAGGAAAGTGCCGTGGATTTTCAAATAATCTCCATTGTTAGGTATATTCCCCAGGTTTTGGAATAGAGTAAGTGAACATGGTGCACCGATACATAGTGGCGAAGTCCGGCAGTTTTTCAAGACCGACGTTGCGGACGCCAGCCGAGCCACTGACTAAATACGCGTACCCACCGTAGTCACTAATATAGATCGGTCTACCTGTGTTCTATACGCGTATAGATCTTACCTGCGGTGTTGCTTGGACAATATCACCCACCCAGGAGGAACGGCGGAGAAGATGACCCCATAAATATGGCATCGTCCACCTGCGATTTCAGACCACTTTCTCTCCTATTAATCCCCTCACCCATTCACAATGCCCCAGCTCGAGACCACCCGCGGCGGCTATTATCTTTGGCAATATGTCCCGTCGTTGCCGGCGGCAGTTATTTTTATCGTGCTCTTTGCTCTTGGCACAGCTGCCCACTCGTGGAGGATTTTCAAGTACCGCAACCGATTCTGTATCGCATTTTTGATCGGATGTATTTGTGTGTCCACCTTTCCCCTGAAGCTGAAATCAACGGCCCTAACACAATTCAAGTTGAATTTATAGGATACTGCGCGCGCGCGGCCTGCCACAATAGCACTGGAAAAATCATGCCCTTTTCCATCCAGAATGTATTCATCCTCCTAGGCCCGGCCTTATTCGCTGCCTCCATCTACATGACTCTCTCGCGTATTATCTACTCCATTCGCGGGGAGCCTCTAGCCCTCGTACATCCCCGATGGTTGACCAAGATCTTCGTCGCGGGCGACATTCTCTCATTTATTGTCCAGGGCAGCGCGGCAGGGCTTATGGTGACTGGTTCGCACGGCCAGATGGGCGAGTACATCGTGATAGCAGGGTTGCTGATCCAGGTGGTGATGTTTGGGCTTTTTGGGGTCACAGCCATGCTATTCCAGATGCGCCTGCGGCAGCAGCCCACTACAGAGTCGACGGCAAGCTCAGAATGGAAGGGTCACCTGCGCACGCTGTATATCGTCAGCGTGCTTATCATGATTCGGTCGATTTTCCGAGTCGTTGAGTATGCTATGGGACAGAGCGGGTATCTCTTACAGCATGAGTGGACTATGTTTGTCTTTGATAGTTTGCTCATGTTTGGTGTTGTCGTTGTGTTTTACATCTGGTACCCTGGGTCAATTGTCTTCACTCGCGAAGCGAGCGGGGATGATTATGAGGCTTTGCAGATACAGGCTGAACGAAAGTGATGGACTATATGAGGCGTTTGTGTGTTCGATATGCGTGGGACTGTTGCTAATATTTTAAATTTATGATTTGGAGATGGTGTCTATTATTTTGACATTCGAGGATAGAACTGGACATGATTTCGCAAATGGCTTCAACTAGGGTGTGAGTTTAGGTTGGTATGAACTCTTTGACCGTACTCTCACGGATCGTATTTGGCATGTGCATCATATCTACTCTGTTCAAGGATGAGTTAAACTAGCAAGTAGCTTTGGTTAGGCATGAATGCTCTAGATAGACAGTTTTAATAATCTGATAGCTCGCCCCCCTTCACGATTCAACGATCGAAATTTGCTCCACCGCCCCACTCGAACTGTTATTTCAGGGATAAAAAGCTAAACGTCAAGACCGAAAGGCTGGCGATAGTATCCACTGAGCATATACGCGTATAGAGAAGTCTCCACTTTTGGGACCTGGACGTTCTGTCTGAACACAATACTACCTATTAACATATCCATCTTCCATATCTCCGTGAATAACATTCATTCATTTGCTTTTCTCACTGCACTCTCACTCGCACCATAACTTCTCACCTACACGTCCTCCCAATGGCAAAACTCGAACCCACGAATGGGGGCTACTACCTCTGGCTCTATGTCCCCTCAATGGCTGCGGCCGTCATTTTCCTCCTCGCCTTTCTCGCCATGTCTTTTCTACACTCCTAGAAAGTCTACCGTGAGCGGACAAGGTTCTGCACACCCTTCACTGTAGGCTGCTTTTGTAAGTCAAGGTAGTTCGCTGGCAACGGCTAAACACAAGACTTCGCTAACCACTAATGTCATGGCTGAGTAGTCGAATTTGTCGGTTATTGTGCGCGAGCCAGCTCCCACAGGAACACCGGGAAGATTATACCATACTCCATCCAGAGCGTGTTCATCCTTCTCGGACCCGCTCTCTTCGCAGCATCCATTTATATGACCCTCGGCAGAATCATCCGCATCACGAATGGCCAGCACCACGCGCCTATCCGCGCTAATTGGATGACCAAAATCTTCGTTATATGTGATGTGCTTTCTTTTCTGGTACAAGGGGGCGCTGCCGGTATGATGGTTAGCGGAGATAATGCCTCCCTTGGTAAAAACATCGTCCTGGCTGGACTGTTTATCCAAATTATTGCCTTTGGCCTGTTTGCCCTTTCGGCCGTCAAGTTCCAGATGAATATGTCTGGTAATCCCACGCAGGCTGCGGTTATGAATACGGCCTGGCGACCGTGTCTGTGTATGCTGTATATGGTGAGTGCACTGATAATGGTGCGGTCGATCTATCGCGTCATAGAGTATGCGTTGGGAGGGGATAATTATTTGATGAGCCATGAATGGCCACTGTATATTCTGGACGCCTTGCTGATGCTCCTGGTCACCGTCATCTTTTATATTCGATATCCGGCTGAGTTAGCGGCTCCGGCATCAGCGGGAAATGGGATTGAATTGGACCCTGCGTTTAAGTAGGAGGGATTGAATGGAATTCCAGCTCTAGGGCCTGTCGTGCGGGATGATGGCATGGAGAGGAGATCCACTGGTTACTTAGGTGACTGCTTTTTGTATGAAAACAAGAATATAACGAATAAACCATCAAACCTTACGCTTTTATTGTAAAGCAAGGGGAGAAAAGGATAATTAGAGACGCATTTATAGTCCGTGCAGTCAGCGCGCTGATCCACCCGTCAATTTAGGGCAACGAGGGTCATGGGACTGGTATGTCGCCTCAGGCACCCCCAACGATGGTAGGGAGCAGAACGTGTGCGTACATCAAATGCCTCTGCATATTTTCGCGCCCATCGATTATTGGCCTCTTTAATTCTCGTCTATGAGAACCATGATTTGAGTTCTTTCCGCCAGTGTCAATTTTGTGGAGCCGCAGAGTATATGGCAATGTGTCTTCTTAGAATGCAAGCAGAATGTCGTTGTTCTTCTTCGGAAGTACGAGCATTCTCATGTCCTGACTACGCTTTAGCCCCTGGGTTATTTTGGCGATTTGTCGGTTGACTCCGGCGGTCAAGAGCTGGGCTTCTATAGCGTGTAGCTCATCAGACATGCTGTCTGGGGGGTCTTTGGTAACGAAGACAGTATGAAGGAATGGCTGGACGTCATACTTGAGCCACTGCAGATTTCCATGACAATGTGAGCTCCATAGACCCGTAATGCCAAGGTCGGTCATACGGAATCAAGCGCATCAGACTATCATGCCATTGGTTGCCTCTGGGCTGCGTCGTAGCTTCCCGAGCCTCTCAGACCCATTCGCCTTTGGATCAGAAGACATCAACATTCATGGATATGAAGTCAAGTGATGGAAAATAAAGTCACATTCAACAGACAATTGCAGAAGTCCCGAATATACCTAAGGACTCATATACTCAAATGTTTGATGCTTGAATAATTGACACATCCTTCAACCAGCACAATGATGGCTCTCACGAACATGAAACTCGGGTGGTTTGAAGCACGCAAGCGAGGCTGCAGAAACGTCTCGGCATGCAGCTTGTGGCTTGTCATATCCCTGGAATTAAACGGCATGACCGGACCCTAGTTTCCTTCGGCTACGAGTCGATAAATTAAAACCCTTGCGGTGCTGTCCGAGGCCAAGTTGAAAGCGGAGTCAAATATGAGCGGGCAAGCCTGATTTTGCTGACCTCCGCCGGAGAACAACATGCACAGTGAAGAACAGTAGCTCGAAAACGTGCTAGCATTGGTGTATTAATTTGTCTAGTAATGACGATCATCGGGGGCCTTTTCCCCGATCCGACGACATTCGCTGTAATTGAAACATGCCGAGAGACTAGTAGTCTTGTCCTCTTGAACTCCAATGCATTAATAGCTGAGCTGTCGGCCCCCAGAATGAATAGAAGCAGACTCTAAAATCAATTGTTCTTGACAAACTTTCCGGAAAAGCCACAGCTATGGGCCGGTTCCTCCAACTCACGACATTGATCGCACTCGCCTCGAGCGCTTGGGCCCAGTGTGGGTCTGGAACGCCTGAAGCAACAGTGGATGGCGAGGGCAGCTACACTGCCACTAAAGGCTCGGAAGAGCTGTATGCCGGCTCTGACTATGCTGCTGCAATTCAGGCTGCGGTCGACTCTCTTGCTGAAGGCGAGCGGGTCGCCGTGATCGCATCCGGCTCCATCGGCACGACCACCGTCACCCTTGGCAGCGGTATCATCTTCGAAGGTTGCGGTACGATCGACACCGCATTCAATGAGAATGGCCGTGGTGCGATCGAGTCCACCGGTACTACGGGCGTTCAGATCCCGTACCTCACCATGACCGGCGACCCATACTTCGGTTTGCTGTTCTACGGCGTCACGGACCTTTCCCTGGGTGAAATCAACATGAATCTCAGCGGCGGCTTGGGTATTCGCTTCCACCGTGACGAGGACGCCAACTCCAACGTCAGCATGGACACGATCAACGTCACCGGAGCTGGCAGCCACGCGGTTGAAATCTGGAACATCGACGGCCTTACCATCGGGTCTGTGATCGCCAAGGATGTCGGCGAGTGCGGCCTTTTGATCCAGAACTCGGTGAACGTCGAAGTCGGCCTCGTTGATGGCGATAATGTCGCGGAAGGCACCGGGTACGCCACTCTTCGCTTCGCCAACACCAACGGCAAACAGGCAGATGGCAGCTATGAGACCAATGTCCACATTGAGAGCGTGAAGTCTCGTGGTGGTGGTCGCGGAATCTTCTGTGTGTCGGAGTCTGGAGGAGCTGTCATCGACAGCATCGACCTTGAGGATAACGGCAACAATGCAATCCTCATCGAGAACTGCTATAACGTTGAAATTAGCGGCGGTACCGTCCAGGGAGGTGGAGAGGTTCGCCTCAGTGCTCGTGATGAGTTCGCTGTTACTAGCGACATTTCGATCAGCTTGGAGGTTAACGACAACACTGTTACTGAGAGCCCTTGCGGAGAAAACATCACTTGGGATATTACGGGCAATGCTGAGCTCAATACCTGTTAAGCGTCAGCTTCAAAACAACTCTGGTTGCCCGCCCGAGCCACATACAACAACAGATGAGAGAGCTTGCTAGTTGGTTTTTAAGTTTTGAAATGTATAAAATTTCAGCAATACTCCAATATAGCTACCTGAGTATCTATCATCAGATAATATCATTCTATTATATTTCAAACAAGGTTCTATTAGCTAGTGATCCCCAAATATTGGGTAAATATAACTTTCTACTACATTCAGAGCCTTCTCTCTTCTATAACTATCTGTTATTTCTTTAGTCAGGGATATTAGTTCATTTTCTTCTACGGATTATCGACAGGCTATGAGGCCGGAGCCTCTACGCGGCCAATATGATATCTAGTATGTTCATCTTTGACGCCCCAATAACGTAGAAAGCTTTCAGTTCTAATCATGTGTGGTTAATGCAAGGGTCTATAAGGTCGAGCGGTGCTATCGCATATTTGTAACTGATGAAGCAAGATTATCATTCACTTTACCATCAATACATTGTGTAAGCGTCTTCAAAACTTCTCAGGTTCTCCACCAGCGGGTAGATAATCAGTCGAAAAACTTCCTCCTGTACTTTCTCGCTTTCCAGGCTTGTTGATCTTCGATCGTGCCAAGAAAGGCACCGGTCTACCACATCTGCATATTCCGGACCACTTCTTTCCTCGACCTTTGGTAGAAGACGAGTTGCGGTTTTGAGATTTGCATGTGCCTCATTGATATCTTCGTCGTCATTTTCACGCAATGACTGCAGATTCTGACAAAGGGATAGCTCAACAAGAGCTAGCCCGAGAGGAAAGAGGACCTGATTCCGGATGAGCGTAGAAGTGCTTTGAATCTCAGTTCGGGTCAGATCACTAAGGTCGTCGCCCAGATCGCAAGATAAAAAGGGGTCTCCTAGATTAGCCGCGTCCTGTGGGTCAAACATGATGTCGCGAGGTCTCCAATGATGCGCCAGCCAGCTTCCATGATATTGAAAGACACTGCATGAGAGATTCACCGCCAGTCGTAGTCGATCAAGTTGGCTAAAGATAAACCCATCGTCTGTTTGGCCATTTAAAAATTGAGCAGAAGCTGTGATTAAGTCTTCCAATGACTGTGGCCTTAACCCCAGTGAAAGACTATGGAGATAGATAATGTTATGTCTATGACTGTCGTCTGATAACGAGCCTAGAACGCTCTTGTTGCCTTTCCCGGGTCCCAAGGCCGACAAAGTACCGCAGATATCAGCAATTTCGGGCAATTGGAGGCTAGGGGTCGGTGATGGCCCACGGGTCGTAACCGGGAGAGAGAAATATACAGATCTCTTGCTATGGCTGTTGAGCGACCTGGTCAATGACTTGACTGATGTGTGATCAGAATTACACAAGTGGTGCAGCCCGATGCTGGACTTAATGATCTCTGACTCTGCTTCTAGTTTATAGGCCGTATTGCAGGAACTGATTGGCCCAGAATTAGCAGCTGAGGTCAGGATTATATTAAAGCGAGGATTCCCAGGCGTGTCGGTTGATGGATTAAACGGTTTAATATCTCCATGACACAAGAAAAAATGAATCTTGTGGAGGGACTTGCACGGGCACTTCCAGCATTTCCCACGGATAATGGTGTTGTGCAGGCTGCGTGCCGACCTGCGGGATAATCTGTAACGCGATAGAGGAAGGCTGTAGAGTCTTCGTCTATGCGGTTGGTTTCGGTATTCAGACTGCTTTACTAAGTTGTGCAGAATGGTATTCGCAGCGCTGATTCGATCAAGGAGGTCGGCATAAATAGTCTTGGAGAAAATGTCCCTGAATTTCCTAACCTCTCTTTCCAGAGTTGATGCATTCTTCCAAACTTGCTGTTGATAGAAGGATTAGCTGTGTGATACATCTTTTGATTGAAGAAGCATTTGAAATAGCAATAGTTTTAACACACCTCTGCAGATGACATGTCCTCGAATCCCAGCCGCCTGTTTAGATCCCCTAAGAGCCCGGAAAGCTCTTCCATTGTTTTCTTGAATGGCACATAGTTCCGTTCAAGCTTCTTTTCCATCTTCTGTATTAGCTCAGGTTTCTTCCATGCCTCTCCCGAGGGATTATTGATCAGATCATCCATGCCATCCTGATATTCGAACACTCCATCGAGCGTTCGTTCAAGAGTGTTCAAGAATAGTGCATGTTGGGTTCCTATGTTCGAGAAATATTCATCCAACTGTTGACGATAGCGCCTTGCTCGAAAGCCTTTCACTGTTTGAAGACCTCGAACGTAGTTGTCGAGCTGGTTGACTAGAAGTGGAAGAACAGCAAGAGCAAGACCAACTGCTTCCATTATCACCGTTGAACCACTTGTGCAAAAGAGCCAAGAGCCAAGTCAGAAGGGAAGTGCAGGAAAGATGAAGGCCTCAACCCCTCTTCTCTCTGGTTTTCTCTGCGGAAGAAGTCAGAGCTCTTAGTTCGGGTCTGACCAGCGTCGGCCCCGCAGCAATCCCTGTCGAGTCCATAGAACAGCGAACACGTCGCTTTGGAATAAGCAAACATCATTCGACAGTGCGTGAATTCCTTACAGCGTACAATGATAAGGTCTAAGTCTCGGTGTCTATAACGTACACATTGTCACTCTGCTTCTTGGCATTTGCGGGCCCCTCTCCGTATATCGACACCATGACCACTATCGCTGTGGTTACTATAGATTGTCTGCAAAGGCTCAAGTGTCTGGTACTATCGGGTAACTTGCAGATGTATGATAGTGAAGTTCGACAAGCACGGTGGAAGGATGAGCTTGGACGCCTGCGTGTGTGGGCTGCCAATATCGGTGCTCACCAGAAAGGCAACTTATCACTTGACAATCGACTTCGTGATGCATCGCACATAGCGGATCAGACACTCAGAGTTCTCCTGAGACTGCAAAGAACTTTGGGTGACCTGAATGATATTACAAATGACCCTGTTACACCCGATGACTTTTCTGAATCAGATGAGGAGTATACAGACACAGAGTTACAGATGTTGTATAAAGCCCTTTGCGACACAATCAATAACTTGTTCCAAATCTCGGCGGCAATACGAAGGTAAACCAGACTCCAATTTTCCATGCAACGCAACTGATAATTTCAATTCCAGGCCGGCACATCACGATCGGCTCTCGGGAACCAAGAGCTTGGACACCATGGGCTTTGAGCCCTTCGATAAGCAACACACCGTGAATAAATATCCAAATGCAGATTCGGTGATCCAAAATCGTCTGGGACTGGCGATTTCACACCGTCGAGCTATACTCCGCTATCGTGAACGACACTCAAGAAAGCTTGGCCAAGGTCTCAATGAACTGCTGGATGATAACTCAGAAACGCAGTCAACCCGGCTATCAGAAACAGTCGTTACTGAATTAATCCAGTCAGCTAGTGCAAAGAGACATGATAGTTCGTCGTTGATTTCACAAACATCATACGCCCAAACTCTTGTACAAGGTGAACGGGGAATTGCAATTCCACCGCCTCCACTAGAGCTGGCCGAAGGGGGTCCAGTTGAATGCCCTTATTGTTACAGGATAATAAATGATACCAGCGAAGAAGGCTGGGCTCGTCACGTTTTTGTCGATATCTTGCCTTATATATGCGTCTTTCGTGATTGCACGACACCCCATCGTCTATACGAAAGTCGTGGGGAATGGTACTGTCATTTGCAAAGGGAGCATGCTATCGAAAGTGACCCAAATAATAGCATATGCTGTCATCTGTGCTCGACCTCTGTCCCATCGGGAAAACAATTTGAGAAACATCTAGGCCGTCATTTGGAGGAGTTGGCTCTATTTGCGTTACCACGACCTGATCCGCAGAACGGCGACTCACGCCCATACGACTTTCATACAGAGAATAAACTGCCAGGAGACGGAATGGATTCAAGTGAGCCAAATGGTGTTTACTGCGATAATCATTCGGCGCGGGATAATCAGAGTTTTGAGGTGACATCTCAAACTCCGGAGGTCTCTGACTCGGTGAACGTCCCCGCGTCACAAGAACTCCCTCCGTCTGGTCCTATAAATGAAGCACAAAGCGTTGGGGGCGATGATGCAGCATATACACAACATAACCGGTACCAGAACCTAGAGATAAGTAAGTTGATGTCTTTGCTCCGATGTTACCATTCAGGGAAAAAAAAGCTGACGAATTCCCATCCTCATAAGCCTATCTTTACATTTGCTGTAATTGCCAGGATGGGCCCAAATCCTCCAATATGCAACCAGAGTGTATTATATGCCAGCATGCAGTATGTCCCAGTTGCTGGGAGGTGAAATAGGATATATATTTGGAGCGATTGTGGATAGACGATAAGACCCAATCCCCGAGACATCATTTTGTAATTTCTTTATGTTATGTTCCATGAAATTCACAACTAGCCAAAGAAAAATGCATTTCTTCATGTGCTGAAGTGGAACTTATGACAAAGGTTTCGAGGCGCTCGTTTTACAAACAGGGCTTTTGTCATTTATTAACGGACATCCAAGCGCTTAGAGGCTGACGCGCACTATAATGGGGATAAAGGAGGTATTGAGAAGTCTGGGCTTGACGGCCTGTCGCTGTCATGAGCCCTTGGAACGCTTTTCTTCATTTAGCTGTCTCCAAAGGTTCAAAAAAATGAAAGAACCTTTATAAATTATGATATTTACTCCTAGCAGGAGGCCCTGCAGGAGGTACTTAAAGTTACACAGAAGATTATAATATTATCATTATGCAAATAAAATTGAAAACGGGTTTCGAGTCGAATTCAATCTCTACACAATCTTTAAAGGCTATACGGTGCCTCTGTAAAAGTCAGACTTCCTGGAAAATGGAGGTATCTAGTAGTATTAACTTCTTTTGAATAATACTCCTCTCGCCCGTCAATTTAGATGTGGCTTTGCCGGCTTCACCTTCAGGGATGGCGGGATCCGATTGACGTACTCCGTGAGGTGGTGGTCGAGAAATGCCGGCCGGCTCTCGATCTGATGGACCATGTCGACATAGTCACCGAGCCAACGGAGGATGAAAACTGGTAGCCAGGATTGGATCCAGAAATATTGCGTCAGGTGTAGTGAATGCCACGGTTCGGGGCCTTTCTCTTTCTCCTGCCGTTGGAGACGCCGCGATAAGGCAATACGGGGATGCACAGTTTGTATTTCGTTCGTGTGCCAGAACATAGTAATTTGAGAAGGTAAGGTACCAAGTAAATCAGATATATGTATGCACGGAATCCGGAAGGAAGAAGAATGCGATAACATGTTGCGGGAAGATTATATCCTTTCATTCATCAGGGGAAGACGTTCGAAGATTATGCTCCCTTCCTTACGCAGGACCTAGGTTGTGGCTACTCCAAGTTGCTACCTCCCCGAGCTTGTGTTAATCCCCACATGGCGGTGATTTTCCTCATTCGATGTCGGCCATGGCGGTGGTTCGTCCCCCGCTTTCTGATTATCCAGAGTTAGGTGTTATTTCCTTCATTTGCCGTCTATCAGGATTGGTAGACAGTCGTTTTGTCGAGGTCCGTAGTGGGGACGGTGACTTTCCTAGTTAGGATACCCGGTATGGAGGGAAGGCCAAACGACCACTAATCATTGGGAACAGTCTGTTCATAAGTATAACTACTACCTCATATCAAGACAAACCTTACCCATAGGTGTAGTTTTGACACTTTCCGCAACAGGTGCAGACATCTCTATCGAAAGTTCAAATCATCTGCGAGTCAAGCAACACCTATCCCAGCAATAGCCACTGACAACCTTTCCCACAGATTTACCATGACAAAGACGCACGTCGATATGCCACCCCAGGTGGATGCTCCTGTTCTTGTAGTCGGCGCCGGCCCCATCGGAATGGTGACGGCCTTCCAGCTTGCAAAACGGGGCATTCGAGCGGTTCTTGTGGGGCGCAACCTGGAAACTACGAAATGGCCCAAGATGGATATCACCAACCCTCGGTCAATGGAGCTGCTCCAGCGTCTAGGGCTTTCAGAGCGGCTACGAGAGATAGGTTTATGGCACTTTATACTTGGCTTATTAATGGAGCAGATGGCTAATATTCTTTTCCCTCTATCAAGGTGTACCTGCGCAGTTTTCGTTTGACTGCATTTTCAGCACTGGACTGTCTCCTGGGGGACAAGTTCTGGCAAAATGGGTATGAAAGCATCTTTTTTGTCTTCTTCAATCTTGATATTATATATAGCATTTCTTTCAAATACTTACTGGATTCAGGATCTACCGTCTCCGGATCAGCAAGCTGCGCAAATACGAGAGAACCGCGACGGGACGATGCCGCACTACGCCTGGCAGAGATGTTCTCAATCGATCTTCGAAGCCTATTTAAAGACTCTGATCCAAGAGGAGCCCCTGATTGAATCCTACTTCGGGATGAAATTCGAAACGATCACCGAGTCGCCGGAAAAGGTTCTCTCGACTGTAACCAACGTGGTTACGGGAACGAAACACGTTATTGAGAGCCAATACGTCGTTGGCTGTGATGGCGCCAGTAGTCGCGTGCGAACCTCTGCCGGAATCAAGCTTACCTCGTCCCAGATGTATGAATTCCCTACCTACCTATGTGGTGGTCAGATCGGGGTACCGTCCCGTCGAGTATGTATATCGCGTGTTTGCTAACGTGTATATCGGTTTCTGGGCAGATCTGTACCGACACTTCTTGTTCACCTGAAGTCCAGCGACCTTGAAGTTCTTCATCGCCAGGGTCAATTCTGGCACCTTTTCCTGTCGAAAGGGGGTGTGGTGATCAGTCAAGACGAGAAAGATACCTGGACCATCCACACTCCCATGCCTCCCGACACGGACATTGCCGATATCGACCTCGAGCAAGCCGTTTATGCTGCGCTCGGAGATTCGGGTCCTCCGCAGCCGATAAGAATCGACAAAATACTGGTTAGTAGCACATGGAGGGCGAGCTTGGGTGTTGCGGAGCAATTCCGCTCAGCCGAGAAGCGCATTTTTCTGGCGGGCGATTCAGGTGCGGTTGAAATGATGTATTGAATAAATGAGGTTTTCTCCTTACTGACACCTCGCAGCTCACCAGAACATCCCATTCGGTGGGTATGGCATGAATACTGGGATCGGAGATGCATATGATATCGGATGGAAGCTTGCGATGTTTCTGAATGGCCAGGGCGGCGAACGGCTACTCGAATCGTACGAAGCTGAGCGACGACCGGTCGCCGTGCGTAACGTCGCGATGTCCGGTCGACATGCTCAGGTTCACATGGATTATGCGGGGTGGGTTCGGCAGGCACGCGAAGGGGAAGCCTGCGATGATAGTCCTGAAGGACAGGCACTTCGGGAACGCATCCGAAGCCATGTGCCTGCCAACGACGGGGAGAATAGAAGTTTGGGAATTGAGATGGGGTTCAGACTCAGCTCCTCGATCATCCTTTTGGAAGAGGATCCAGGAAACGAGCCGAGGTGGAGTGAGCGGGACTACGTTGCGACTACATGGCCTGGCTCTCGAGTGCCAAATATCATGCTAAGTGATGGAGTGGCTATTCACGACCGCCTTGGACCCGGCTTTACACTAGTCGACTTTACACTTGATGGGGTCTATGCAAATGAATTCAACAGGGTAACCCCCCAGGCCAAGAACAGGCTGACTGTTGTGCATTTGCCCCAGGAGACCACGGCCCGGAAGGTGTGGGAGAGATCTGCTGTTTTGGTGCGCCCTGATATGCATGTGGGTTGGCGCAGTGGGGAGACGGAGAGACCTTAGAGCAAGGAAGACGCTGAGAGAGTGCTGAATAGCTGCTTAGGTTACTAAGAGAATGAGTGAGCCGTATATAGAGTCAATGGGAGCAGATTGCGCGTCCATGAAGCGGACTTGTTCGAGCTGTGTCTGATCTGGAGTGATTGGCGGGCTCTACAGAGTATGCTCTCTACTCGGTGGGTACAATGTACATATGAGGGTATAATAAGGGTCCTATGCTAGATCCACAACATAAGCCCCACAAATCCTGTTTTAACAGAAATCTGTATGCATAGACCCCACCTCCCACCACGCGCAAGCCCTTCGGTCGCCACCGGTTTGCTCCAATGGTGCTCCTACACGTACGCAAAAATGCTACGCCGTCCATCGATCCGGGAAAGCCTCGGGAAGGCCTCATTGTTATCACGAATTCATAGTCAATCAACCTTCTATCAAACCGATTTAGATACATGAATTGTGCATGACATTCCATTAATCCCCATCTTCAGGCTAGGGACACGAACTAATCTCTCGGACATTTTATGTTCATGGAGCACTGAGGCGAGGGAACAGTTTCAGGGCATTACCATATTTGATATTGTCCGTGTCACTGCCCAAATCGGCCTGAGCCAGACCGTCGCTGAAAAACTTGATCGAGGAGACGGGTGCATATGGGAAATCGCTTCCATAAAGGATGTGGTCGGGCAAAGCGAATTTCCGCAGAAGAGGCAGCGCATAGTTCGCATCTGTTAGTGCCAAATCATAGTAAAACATGCGTGCATTCTCGAGAAAGTGCTCGGGGGTCATGGCACAGAGCCCGCAGTCTTTCCCAGCCACCGCCGGACGCACGGCAAGGTAAGGCAGGGTGCCTCCAGCGTGGGAGAGGATGATCTTGCAGTTGCTGTATTCGCGGACGGTATCGGTGGTAATCAGATCGACAGCAGTGCGCGTGGTCTCATGCGGATAGTCAATGAAAGGCTGCGGAAGCATTTTGTTGACGAGGTTGGTATCCACTGCATGCGTAGGGTGGATAAACACCACTGCCGAACGGCGATGCAACTCCTCCCAGATGGGACGGATATCGGGGTGACCCAGATAGTAATTTCCGTTTCCATAGCGGGTGAAAAGTGTCACTCCGTCGGCCTGCAGCTCGTCAAAAGCATACCGAATCGCTTCCAAGGCTGCTTTGGTATCAAGAATGTCGGGCAACGCAGCGAAGAAACCGTACTTCTTCGGGTACTTGTCCCGCAGGCTTTTGGCATACTCGTTGCATTCTTTCGCAAGCTGCGAGGGCTCGGCTCCTTTCAGAATGGCGGGACCGGGCGCGGTCACAGAGAGGATAGCCGTGTCGATATCACAGTCATTACAAAGCTTTTGGTCGGCTTCAATGGACCAAGCGGGTGTGGGGAAACCGGAAGGGTCGCCGCCCACTTTGTCGAGAGCTTTGATCTTGGTCAGCTTCTTTCAATTTCTATATATAGCCTTTTAGTGGAGCGCACCTTGCACGTAAGCGGGAGGGAGAAAATGATGATGTACGTCAATGCGGCCTGCCATTGCGAGGGGTGTTAGCTGGTGAAGGGGCGATAGAGCAGAATGAGAGCAAGATGAGATTGACGAGAGGTGTAGTCATTGTCGTGTAGCTTGGAGGCCACTTATATACCATCACATACGTTGGTAAACTCAAACAAACCCATGGATAGAAACTCTGGGTTGGTCGGATAGATCGGATCCTCCTTCATTGAACCTGGACGGGTATCGGCTTCTTTGAGAATATCTTATCCAAGGTGAGGCTTCCGGTCATTGGAATGGCAATCTCTTTCCATTCATCGCTCGCAGGCGCTGACGATAGGGTATCATCTGGAAAGGTAGATCGAACTAAGAAGCAGGGGAGTGGGCACGGCGAATTCCCTGTCCCGGCAAGCTTATATATTTGTGACATCATGACTCCACTACAGATTTGTACCGGTTCAAACTTCTCCGTGCCGCTACCCGATGCCATTTGAGAATAGAATGCGCGGAATATGACCAGCCTACCTGCATACAGACAGGCAAACCGCTACGTTAGGAACTTAGGGCTGACGCTCCCGTTTAGGCAACTAGAGCCCTGCAAACATAGCAAACCCACGTGCTATCGCGACGTTTCTCAAGGATGGCGATGATAATGGGGCGTTGATTAACAAGGTGCAGTACGAGTAGTCGACTATCACTTTGCTGGTTCTGTTCAATCCTTGTGTCCAGCATTGACAGATATCCCATACTCCCCACTCGTGTGCAATGTGGCACTGGGATGCGGGACCTATCCTGTTACCGCTTTAGCAACTGCCTGCTGTGTAATGTATTTATGTATAAAGTTACATCATTTTACGTTGAGATGTAGAAGGATAAGAAGAGAGGCAATATCAATATATGTGGGAAACTCCCGGTATCCTAGGTAGGCATACCGGAACATTCCTGCTAAGATAAGATTATCCGCAGTGATTTACCGGAGACCTCCTGAATTAAATGGGAACCCCTAGTAAGATTATAAGATATAAAATAGGGTCCTCTGGTGTATCTAGATCTTTCCTTTATTATTATTTTGATTATCAGAAATTAAATATTTTATTTAAGATAAATACAGTGTCTTATCTCGTAATTCCTACAGGTTATAAGCCCAGAGACTTGATTGACTGAGTCCTTTACCTAGACCCCTAGAACCCTTATTTAAGGTTTCTAAAACAGATCTTAAAGCGATTGACTATTTTTAAAATAAATAAAATATTTTAATAAAGTAGTTATAGCGCCCAGAAAGTATACTATATTTTAATTTATATTAGCAGAGAACTACTAGGATTAGATTAAAGATCTTAATATAAAACTATAAATTAAAAATATATTTTATATAATTAGTAATAAGTTCTCTTGTCCTAAGGCCCCGGTATTAACCCTAGAAAGACTAATACTATTTAATATAACTTAGAGAGCTTAAAATAGGCTTTTTAAATAAAAAAATAATAATACTAAAATAATAGGTATTATTTTTGCTTTATTATTTAAAACTATCTGCTATAAATTTATCTATTTCTATATTACTGTAGACCTTGTGAAGGCCCTGTCCAGAAAATATAAAGTTATATATAATATTTAATTTTTTAAAAGACTTTAATCGGTAATAATAATAATTTATCCGTAATATAAAGATATAAATAAGTATATTAAAAAGATATAAGGTTGAATACCTTGGTGCCTTAAGGGTAAGGCAGCGTGAAAGCAATTGGCTAGGGATATCAAACATATAATGTATTCTGCTTAAGGTGTTGTTGCTGGGATTCAGGGGAACCCCCGCGAGAATATATTTTTATTATATATTTATTAGACTATAACTAAGCACCTGTTCTGACTAAGTATTCTTAGAAAAATCCTATATAAATCTTTATATTTACTTCTTTTTTTTGAAGGCCTTAGTCTTTAAAATATTTTATAAAATTAACTAGTTAATATTATTAAGTTTCGCGAGATTATTTTTCTCGCGAAAACTACTGCCTTGCGAGATTACTATACTATATAGATCTTTTTTATAAATATAATTATTAACTAATCCTTTTTATCCCACAGGGACCCTTTGCCTAGTAATCCTTGGATATTAATACTTAGTTTGCTTTTTTTTATAATTTTATAAAAAATATTATCTCGCGAGTTATTTTTTCCTAGGTTCGTAAGTATTAACTGCCTCGCGAAACCTTTAGTATAGTATAATATAGATAATTCTTATAAAGATATATTTTATTTAAGATATTTTATTTATAAAATCTATTATAGTTAGTTTTATAGTTTTTCGCGAATATATCTTATATATACCGCAGACTTATTTCGTGAGATTACTCTTTTGCCTAGGATATCCTGTTTATAAAATCTATTATAATTAGCTTTTTAGTTTTCTCGCGAAGCTAGCCCTCTTATTATAAAGATTTAACTAATATAATTACCTTAATTTATTTACGAGCTTAGTATCTATCTAAAATACTCTATTTATAAAATCTATTATATTTAGTTTAATTTATCTCTAATAAATCTTATAAAGTACCTCCGCGAAGCATCTATAAAAATCTTTTATTATTAAAAAACTTTTTTTAGAAAAAAATAATTATAAAAAAAAAAATTACTTTAATCTTTTTTTTTATTATTTATATAGTATTAGCAGCTTACGAACCTGTTAAATCTAGGTTTATTATTATAAAATCTATTATATTTTACCGCGGTTATTTTTATTATTTAATCCTTTTAAATTAAATATTACTATATTATGCCTTCTATATTCACTACTAAATACCTAATTTTATATTATAAAAAGATTTTTTTATAATTTCTTTTTTTTTTCTTTCTTTCTTTTAATAATTATTATTTCTAATAAATTAGCCCTTAGGAGTTAAGTATGCTTTATAAAATATAATATATAAAATTTATTTTACTTTAATCTTATCTTACTTTTTATATTATTAAAATTTATTTTTTATTTTACTTTTTATATTATAAGACTCTGTTCCTATCTTATTTTTATATCGTGAGATTTTTTATTTTAAATCAGATTATTAATTTCTAGATTTATTTATAAACTTCCTGTATATAATAAATTATAATATTATATTTACTGCTAAAATTTTTTAAAAATATTAATATTATTATTATATTCTTTTTCTATTTTTTAAAAAAATATTTTTTCTTTAAAAAACTTTTTTTTTACAGGTTATTATTCTCTCCTATCTTAAAAATAAGTCCGGGAAGCCCTAGTTTCTGTATTAATATTTATAATTTTTTATAAATAATATATATTAGCTAGATTAATTTTTAATTTAATTATATAAATAATTTATAAGATTTTTTTAGTTATATTTTTTATATTAGCTAGTCCTTCTAGTACGATAATCTTTATCTTATATATACTATACCAGCCGCAGACAAATATACCCTTTATTATAATCCTTTAATAATTATCTATTACCTACTGCCCTGCTAAATTATTTTTAATCTAAATTAGCTAGTTTAGCTGATTAATCTAGTTAGGCTATTTATAACCTGATTCTTTTATTAATTCTATATAATTAAACCCGCGCCTTTCTAAGGCCTAATTAGCAGAAAAACTTAGGATAAAGCCCCGGTACTATTAGTAAACTATATTATATAAGATATAGCCTGTATAATTAAACTACCTATGTAAAGATTATATCCCTTATAAATACTTATTTTTATTTTTAGTTTTTCTCCCTGGTCAGGCCCAGAAAACCTAACTACCTGTGAATAATAATAGATTTAATAGCTAGTGCAGAAACTCCTTTTATATTAAAAAAAAGCTTTATTTACCCGGCTTATTTTATGTGCCTAATATTATAAGAGCTATTTTATAATTTATACTAGAGTATAATCCCTTATTAAATATAATTATAAATAATATAATCTCTCCTAGGGTATTATATCTTAAAATTTTTATATTTCTAGCAGAATCAGGCAAAAATATAATAACTGTTTATATTATAGTATTATTTATTTATTTATGAGTAAGTAAATATTATTAAATAATAATTATTTTATTATAATATATTATTATATTTTTAGTAATATTCTGTTCTTTAAACATGTGAGGTAGTTAAAGTTTTAGTATTAATAAAATAAATCTGTATTATTAAGATTTTTACTATTTTTCTCTTAGAGAAAGATTTTTTTTATTTTTTAATATAAATGATTTTTTTTTATTTATAAACTATTTATACAGGTCTAAATAATATAAATTTATAATAGATTCTTAGGTTATATCTTTCTCGCGAGGATATCCCTTTTACTAAACTAAAAATTCTTTTATTTTATTTCAGGTTTTTTCTGCTTAAAACTTTTTTATATAATATTTCTGGGGCTTTTTATCCTAGTAAGTTATAAAAAATTATTTTATAAATCTTACTTCCGGTATTTTCTAATGCTTGTATAATAGGGATATATAAAATATATTATATATTTTAATCCTTGCGGGGAGTTTTAATTAGTAGGCTTATTTTTTAATTTTTTTTATTATATATAATAATTTTATATCTAATTAATTAAGCTTTTTATTTAGCCACAGGCTTTATTAATTTTTTAAAAATAATTAAATTAATTAATTTTTAGTAAATACTTTTATTTATTTTTTCTGGTTATAGTACTGGGCCTAATACTCGCGAGTATATTTTAATAATTTTTTAGCTATTTTATAAATCTTTTTAATTTATAAAATTTATTTTTATATTAATTTCTTTATTTCTAGACTTTCTCACAAGTCCAGGGTAATTATTTTAGGATATTTTTTAATTAATATATAAAAGAATAATACCTGGGTTAAGCTTTATTAAATATTATTATATATAAATTCTGCGAGGGGAAAATAATTAACTTAATTATTTTAATTAAAATTAATATATACCTGTAAGTATTATTTTAATATATTATTTAACTGCTCTGTCTAGCTATTTATTTAAGAATAATATATAATATTTAACCTCTGTTTAATTCGCAAATAATATATAAAGTTAGATTAAAAGCCTTTTATAAATACTAACCTATAATTAATAATTATTTTTGCAGGTATACTATAAAGTCTAAAAATCTTATAAGTTAGTATTTATATTAATTTTTTCTTGTAAATTATTTTTTTATAAGAATAAAATATATTATCTTAATAAATTAGTTTATAATTATTAATATATAATTAAAAGAGACTTGTGAACCGCCTATTATAAATAAACTTGCGGGAAAATCTGTAATAAAATTTATTATTATTTATTTTTAGATCTTCCTAGGAACTAATAATAGTTCTAATAATTTATATTATTTTTTATAAATCCTCCGGCCTTTTTAACACTCTTTATAAGCTATATAATATTTTTTAATAAATATTATTATTTATAACTAGTAAAACTTTTATAAAATTAATTTATTAGTTTTTCGCGAGGCAAAGTATCTAGTAAATAGATTATTATAAAATTTTATTAAAATAATTAACTTTAATTTTAAATTATCTGAGATATAAAATTTATTTTTCTGGTATAACTAGTTTCTGTGAGATTTTTATTTTATTAGTTTATTTTTTTTTTATTTTTATAATAAATAAATTTTTTAGACTTTATAAGCTTTTAGTAGATCCTCTGTATAAAAGTATTTATTTAAAATAACTAGGGAATTTTCTTTAATAGTTTTTCTAAAGGATCTTTTTAGTAAGGTCTTTTTTTATAAATAACTTTTATAGCTTATACTTATATTTTAGCCTGGTTAGCTATAATAATTCTTTTTATAAGGATTTTTTTTATAACTATCTATTTTATCTCTAGATCTAAAAGATTTATAAGCTACTAGAGAGCTTTAGTATTAAACTTTTATATATTTTTTTAATAGGCAGATTTTTTATAATTAGGTTTTTATAAAAATATATTTATTAGGTTTTTTTTTTTTAGATAATATTTTAAAATAAAAAAAAAACTTATAAGTCTTTATATTTATTATATTTACTTTTATAATAATTCTTTTATAACAAAATAATATAATATATTATAGTCTATAAGGACTTTAATAAGATACTTTGCCTTCTCTAGGTAGTATTTTTATTTTTTAAAGCCCTTTATTATTATAAGTAATTTTTAGTTATAAATCCTGTAATTCTGCTCTGCAGGAATTATTTTGCGAGAAAAAAAAAATAACTAGTCTTTATTAACTATTTTTATTTAGTTATAAGAAAATTATACTAATTATATAAATAAATATATTTATCTCTATTTATAAGGGTAAATCCTTATAAAAGTAATATATAATTATTATATTTATAAAAGTTTCTTTTAGATTTCTAAAATTTTTACTTATATTTATAATTAAAAAATCTAGGCTAGACTTTCTCTTCTCTCTCTTTAGGAATTTTTTAGTTATTTTAATTAAAGCTATAGCTAAACCTAAGAATTACCAGATAAATCTTTAATATTAGTTTATAAACTTAATAAATTATTAAATATTATAAATACTTTTTAGTATTAGCCACTTTATAATTATCTAGACTCGCGAAATTTTTATTTAGATCTTATTTTAGTTAATAATAAATCTTAAGAAGTTTATTTTTATTACCGTAAATTTATACTTACTAAATTTTATATATAAGCCTGCTTTTTATAAAATTCAGAAAACTTTGCGGATCTATTTTTTATAATTTTTTAGATTTTATAAGTAGATTATAATATTATTTAAATAAATTATTATAAAATTATTAAGATAATCCTAAAATAGGCTATTAATAAATCTCTAAAATATTACAGGTATATTTATTAAATTAAATAATATTATTAAATACTTAAATAGTCTGAATTTTGTTCAGAAAGCTGTTTTTTATTTATAGCCTGCGGCTATATAAATCCTATAATAAATATTATAAAAATTAAATTATATAAACTATAATACTCCGGCTAGTGTGTTAATATACTTATTAATCTTTAATAATAAATAAGTATTTTTCGCGGATATTTTATTTATATCCTAAAAATCTATATATACTCGCAAACTTTTATTTTTTTTTTATTATAAATAGTACTAGTACTCTAATAAGTAACTTTAAAGTCTAAATTTATTTTTATTTTAAATTTTTTTAAAGATATTTTTATAATATCTTACTCTTTACAGGAAATATTTTATAAATTAGACTAATTTATAATTTAAAATTTTTTATAAGATAAATCTTTAAATTAATATTTTTATAATACAGAAGTAAGTTCTCTGCGAGATTTTCTAAGAAAACCTCCGCGAAATCTTTTAATTATTTTAGGATATTTTATTTTTCTAGTTCTGCTGTATTAACCTGCCAGATATAGATTATAATTAGCTAATTAGATTTATTTTTTTTAAATTTTTTTATTTATTTTTCCGCGGATACTAAAATAATATAGACCTGATTTTTATAGGAAAATTCTAAATAATATTTATAAAAGTAAATAATAAATTCTTTTTAAGTTATTTATAATATTTTTAAAGTTATTTCTGATATACTAGGAGATATTATCGCGAGTCTTATTTAAATTTTATAATAATTTTATAAGTTTTCTAGCTTTAAATAAAATTATATAATCTTTTATAAAAAGATTTTATAGCTGTTTATTTTAATTATCTTAAATTAAATAAATAATTTTTTTTATTCTATCTCTTTCGCGAGATTAAGGGGTACTAGATTTATCTCTATTCCGGTATTAATTAATATCTCTAATAAGTTCCCTTTTTTTTACTTAGGTATTATCTTATTTTATTTTATAAGGCCTTAGAATACCAGCTATCCTTATAGTTTTATTAAAAAAAATTTTATAAAAAGTAGTTTCTCTGGTCTTTTTCTTTTATTTATCTGTAATAAGCTAATATCTCCTACTAGGAGGCCTCAGAGTTATATTAACTTTTTTAATTAATAATTAGATATTTTATAGCCTAGCTTGCTATAATTAAAATATTTAACTTATAATAAATTATCTTATTTCTTTATAAAATCTATTTTTTTATTAGATGACTTTCCCCGCAAGATTTTAGATAAATTTTTCCGCACCTGGTTATTTTTTATAAATCCTAAAAACCCCTATCTTAAATAGTTTTAGCTTAGATTTAAGTTTTATAAACTTAATTACTAGTTTTTCCTAGGTCCTAGTTAGTGGCCTTTTATAAAAGGATATAAATATAAGATTAATAAAATTAACTTTTACTTTAATTTCAGGAATTCAGATTATTTATAAATTTTTTACTTAAAATTTTAATTAAATATTTTATAAAATAAATAAAATTATAAGTAGTTTATTCTTTTTATCTTATTTTTAAGCTCGGACTTGGCCTTTTTTTATTTTTAAAAATAAATATAATTATCTTTATTCTCGTGAGATTTAAAATATAATATCTTAAACTAGATATTTTATTTATAATTTTTTAGATTATTTAATTAATTTTTTAAAAATTTATAAAAGTCTTTTTATTTTTATAAATAGTAATTATCTGAAAAATTACTCCTCTAAAAATTACTTAATATATAATCTAAGTATATAACTATTATTTTTATTTTATTTTTATTTTTTTAATTATTTATCTTTATAATTAATTCTTATCCGGTAACAAATACTTAGTAAATAATATAATTATATATTAAATATTACTTTTTTTTACTAGAAAACTTAATTTTTAGGCTAGACCTTTTTTTTATAAGAAAAGTAATTTTTTTTAAATTTTTTATTTAACTATATTTTTTAAAAAATAATACTAAGATATACTAGAGTTCCTAAAGTTTTTTTAATAATATAATTTATTTATAAATAATTTTTATATCTAGAGTTAGTAATTCTCTTACCTGTGAGATTTCTAATTTATTATTAAGTAATTCTTTTTTAATAATCTTATGAGATTTTATTAGTTCTGGAATTTCTTAAGTTTACAAAAACTCTTTTTCGCAAGTTAATTTAATAGGTGGTTAAATATTTTATCCGCGAGTTCCTCTCTTTTTACTAGCTATTTTGCTAACAGGCCGCCTTAATTAGATATAAATAATAAAATTATAAAATTAAATACCTTAGTGCCTTAAGGATAAAATAGCGTGAAAATAATTAGTTAAAAATATTAAATATATAGTATATTCTACTTAAGGTGTTGTCACTGGGATTCAGGGGAACCCCCGCAAAAACATGTTTTCATCATGTGTTTATTAGACTATGACTAAGCACCTGTTCTGACTAAGCATCCTTGGGAGGATCCCATATGGATCCTTACAAAAGATATCCTTAGCGCTAGATTATTTTAATAAAAATTTAAAGAAAGGAGTTATCCTTAATAAATTAGTTTATACTTAGTTTTTTCTTTATAATTTAGAAGAAACATGGCAGACCTTTTTAATCTTTTATTTTAACTCGCGCTTTAATAAAAATACTATAATTTATACAGAGGTGTCTCAGGTCCTGATTTAGGAAAAAATATATATAAAATTTAACCAGAAATTAGTAAATTTTATTAAGATTAAAACCGGCAAAAAGCTTAGCAAAAATAAGGATAAAAACTAAAAAAATAAGAAAAAAAAAAGAAGAACTTTAAAGATTAAAAAAATAATAATAATTTAAAATTATTTCTGGAATACTCTTACTGCAAGAAATTAGACTATAAAAAAAAACTATTAAAAGAAATATCCTGAGAAAATCCCTTAATAAATAAAAGATTAATTAAAAAAGCAGAAGTAATAAAAAAAAGAAATAAAGTCCTCTAATACTTTGCTTAATAATAATATTATTTATATAATTTTTAAGAGAGGTAGCCCTGGTAATTCGGAAGAAGAGATAATTAAAATTAATATTAAAAAAATCTGTTATATAAGCTAAAATAACTGGATTATTAATTTAGGATTAATCTACCACTTTATTAATAATCCCAGCAACTTTATCACAGGGACTACATAGTTATTCTGCTGTAAGATTTGTACAGTAACAGGTTATTTAACTTATTTAATATTTATTAGAGATATTAAATTACTTTTTTAATATTTTATAAAAATCTGAAAAATAATTTTTACTAGTGTTCTCTACCTCCCAGAGGTGAGAGTTAACCTGATAAGAATTATTAAAATAAATTAAAAAAATTTTAGTATTAATTTCCTTCTGAATAAAGTTATCTTTATAAAAATATCAGATAAATTAATTATTAAATATAAAAATATTTAAAAAAATATTTATATTATAAGATTAGCTAGGGATTATAATTTAAATTAGACTTTATTTTAGTAAAGTAAGACCCCTTTTATAAAAGAAATAGTTAAAATTCAGTATATAAATTATTAATCAAAACCTTACTATGTTTGAATAATAAAGAAAACTTATATTAATTTTAGAATATAATACTATTAATTTATTTATCTTTTAATCAAAAATATAAAGTGTTTAAATAAAATAGTTAATAAATTAGATATTAAGGGCTTTATTATATTAAAATACATCTATAAGCCCTGCCAAAAAGCCTTAATAATAATAAAAAATAAATAGAAAGTAATAACCCCTATAAAAAAATATAAAGATTATATTTTTATAGATTTAAAAGATAGTTATTTTAATATACCACCTGCCTATAAAAATAAAACAAAATATTAAATCTTATTTTATAATTAATATAATAGATTTGCTTCAGTTAAATTTTTAAAAATAAAAGATTAAACACGCTTAGTAATTCAGGTATACACTAATTCTAAAAAAACCACAGAATATCTAATTTAATATTTTTATTCCGATAATAGCAAAAAATTCGCTAATTATAAGATGTTAAAGTAAGTAAAAAAACAAAGGATTAAGTAAGAATTTGCCTCTGTATATACTTATAACTAAAATTTGCCTATTAAGCACCTTTTAAGAATTATTCTTATAAAGGTCTATATTATTTTAATTAATAATAATTTACTCTGTTATTTATAGGCCGAGATAATAAAGATAATTATTTTTATTTATAATATCTTATCTATTTATAATAAAGAATTAATTTTATATAAAATTAGAAATAATTAGAGGCCTAATATTAAAAGATTAAAAATTATTAACTATAAAATTATAATTATTATTCTCCTTAAGATCCAGTCTCATAAAAAAATAACAAAAATTAACTTTAAAATATTTAATATAAGACTTATTAAATATATATCCTTAAACACGCAGTATATTATCTAGATCCCTTTAATAAAGGAATTAAAGCAGGTCTGTAATATATAATTTAATAAAAGATCAGACCTAGACTTATACAGAACACCTAATAATAATTATAAAAGTTAAAAGATATTTTTACTAATTAATTTATTATCCTGAAACTTTTATAAAATTAAATTAAATAATAATTTTAAAAATAAGCTTGTTTAATATTTTTTTAAGCTAATACTTATTAATTATATCTTTTTTCTTATCTCTAAGTTACTGGTGGCAGACCAGCTACTAACTACTTATTTTTTTTATAATAGTATTTTTTTAATTAGTAATTATCACAGAAATTATAATAGAATAATTAAATCTTTTTTATTTAATAAAGCTATCGCCTTTCCACACAAAGATAAATAATAGAAGACTATAAAATCAGAATTTAATAATCTAGTTAAATAAAAATTATAAAAACTTATAGATCTGCCCCCTGGCTATAAAGTGTTTTACAGTTATTAAGTTTATAAGCTAAAATTAAATATTAATAATTAAATTTTATATTTTAAAGCTAAATAAATTACTTAAAGTTTTATACAGTAATATAAAATTAATTTTTAAGACATTTTTTCGCCTATAGTATACTTAGTAATTATCTAATTATTTTTCACCTTAATAGCAGCTATAAACTTTAAATATTTTTAGAGAGATATTCTGCTTATATTTTTATAAAATAATTTCTTTAATAATAAAACTATTTATATAAAGTAATTAAAAAAATTTAAAGATAATTCCAGATATATTTATTAATTGTTTTAACTGCTTTATAGTTTAAAACAAGCCGCGCGGGTATGGTATCTCACTTTATAATAAAATCTAACTAAGATAGGCTTTTTCCTGATCTCTGTAGATAAATATCTCTTTATTAATATAAATAGAACTTTCCTAATTATTTATATTAATAATATCTTGACAGCTAATAACTATAAAACTATTAAAAAAATAATAGTAGTTATCTGAGATATTTTTGATAATACTTATTTTCAGGAAGCTGCCTACTACCTAAAAATAAAAATAAAAAAAAATAGAAAGAAAAGAATATTTAAATTAACTTAATTTATATATATATAGCGCGTTTTTAATAATTTTAACTATAATTTAAATAAAACCTTATTTACTCCAGCCTGTAAAAATATTAAATTAATTAAATTAATTATAGAGAAACTGAATTTTGACCTTCTAAAATAATATTAGAAGTTATTTAGTTTAATTATATATATTACTTTATAGACTTGCCCTAATATCTTATTTAAAACCAGATAATTTATATAATTTACTTTAAACCCTAATAACTTATATATAAAAGATTTAATTTATTTTCTCTGATTTTTCTGATTAATAATTAATCACAGTATTATTTTCTGCTTATAAATTAAAGATAAAGAGGCAGAAATAGTAAAATAATTAAAAATAATAAAAAAATATATAGATACAGATTTTGCCAGTGATCTTAATATACAAAAATCTATTATTAACTTTATTTTTATATTAGCTGGTAAACTTATTTCTTAGATCTTAAAATTATAAATTATAATAAGCTTATTTATTTATAAAGCTAAATATACTATAGTCAGTATAATAGATAAAAAAGCAATTTAGATTATTTAGATACTTAAATTAATCAGTTTTAGTAATATAAGGCTAATAATTATTTATACTAATTTAGAACCTGCTTTAAAACTTATAAAGAACACCCAGATATATACCCAAAATAAATATATTAATATTTAAACCCACTAGATTCGCGAGATAATTTAATATAACGATATTAAACTTTAACACTTAACTATAGATAGAATAATCACGGATATATTAATAAAGGTGCTCCCGTATATTAAATTTAAATAATACGCTAAATTAATAGGTATTAAATAATTACAGTTAAATAAAAATATTTAAATAAAATATTTTAGCTTTAAAATAATTATTATTTTAAAAGGATATATAGGAAACTCCTAGTATCCTAGATAGGTATACCGGAATATTCCTATTAAAATAAGATCATCCGCAGTGATTTACCAGAGACCTCTTAAATTAAATAAAAACCCCTAGCAAGATTATAAGATATAAAATAGGGTCCTCTAGTATATCTAGATCTTCCCTTTATCATCATCTTAATCATCAGAAATTAAACGTTTTATTCAAGATGAATACAGCATCTTACCTCGTAATTCCTACAATATACCTCGCCTACTTTTACTATATATTGTATCATTCCACATTAGAGATAGTTAGGCAACCGTTCCAGCGCCGTTACTAGTCTTACTGTCTAAGTGTCTGTGTACCTACTCAAGTACCTATTTACCTGTCTGTCTTTCTATACTATGCGACTTTAGCTCTAGTGATAAATGCGACTCAATACAACCGCTCTATCAGAGTGAAAGTGCTTGTATTCAGGAAGGTGGTGGGGGCCGACTAAATACAGTGTAGGCTCACGTGAATAGCCATACAACCGGTAAGCTTCAACATCCAGTACTACTACACTAAACACACAAGCAGGCAGCTCAGCGGTCAATCTAGCAGGCACTAGGCAGTTAGGCAGTAAGTCTGATCATAGCCACAGAACCGGCACCTAACTAGTTAACCAAGTCACTCTGGTTATAAAATAAAATTCGTATTTCTTCGCAAGGGCTGGCCGTACTTCGGCAGCCCCACACAGACTCCGGGTATCTCCGGTTTTACTCCGCAAATCCTGCCGCCCCGTGGGATCCGTCATTCCTCCTCCTAGACCTACCTGGTAGATTATGTCGCCCACTGCCCCCCGTGAGAGGCAGCGCCGCCCCAAGACCTCCCAAGACGAACGACAATGTTCCATTTGCTCGCAAACCTTCAAGAAGGCCGAACACCTGGCCCGCCATATCCGGTCGCACACGAAAGAACGCCCATTCACTTGTGACGTATGCGGCAAGTTCTATGTCAGACAGTATGTGAGCCATGTATACAGTGTAGTGTGGTGTGGTACGACCTGGAGCGAGAGAGCTATATTAATTAGTCCTATAGAGACACACTATTGCGCCATACAAGATCACATCGCGTGAATGCTCAGCCAGCTAGACAGACTAGTGAGGGCAATAATGGGTCCGTCGCGGAATGGAGCCCGCTCGATGACACGAGTGACCATCAGGCCTGCATGATCCAGCCATCCAACGCTGCACAATCAGCATCATCTGCTCCTGAGCAGGAGCAGATGCTGTTGGATCTCCCCCTCCCACCTATCCCGGATCTTCCAGCCGAATTGACGGCGTCGAAATTGGACGCATCAGTGGAAGACGTACCAGTTCAGCAGAGCCAGAGTGATCAACCCACGAACGACCATGGTGACGCCGTGATGCATTGGCCCTTCACGGAGATGAATGATATTCTCACATCTGAGACAAGCCCGTGGGAGACACTACCAGACGGACTTAGAGAGCTCGACTGGATGCCATGGTTAACAGGGCCTAATTTTGATCTTGATGCACTGAATCAATCATTAATCGAGACGACCGACATCCAAACAATGGATCTCGTACGAAACCCAGACGAAGCACAGGGGCCAATCCAGAGACGATGGCATACCTGCTCCGAGTCCATCATATCATCTGGTCAGACGACGCCAGATCTTCGGCGCCCCGGCAGCAGTGACCGTGACCGCGGTCATATTCACATGATCCCAGACGAATCATACCGGCAAACGCTGGCCGAGAGTCTTCAACAACGTGTACAGCCAGGGATTTTGCCATCCACTGGATTCTTGGTAAGTGCTTTTTTCTTACCCGCGTCTAAACTCAGCCAATTCTCACCTCTAACTAACCGTATTGATAGGACTTTTGCCTTCAAGCATATTTCAAACACTTTCAACCCATATTTCCCCTCATCCATGTGCCCACATTTCGTCCGTCGAAAAAGAATGCCCTTCTCCTCTTGTCCATCTGTTCCATTGGTAGTCTGTTTCTGGGGTCGCCGCGAGCAGTGGCTCACGGCATAAGCATGTTTGAAAGGCTGCAGAAGTCAATCCTTGCCTCGGTATGTTATGCTTATTGAGATAACTCATGACTGGAAAAGGTGGGCATCTTACTGAGAGTCCATTCAGTGGGATGCACATATAGCAGGGACGGGCGACTCATCCATCAATCCGCTGCAGGCTTCCGCGATAGGTCAAACATTTGGCCTTCTAGTCGGGGTAGGCGCACTATTTCACATCCCTCTACCGCAAAGTGCCTCCTACTGACCGATCTTTAGAGACCCAAAGATCTAACGGGAATCGAGGTGTTCCATGGTAGTATAATTGCGGTGAGGCCCACGCATTAAGCGGTTAGGTCACGAACTGATCGACAAAGTGGGCACGCAGCGCAAAGTTGTTCAAGGTAGTCAATGAGGCTACCAAACCCTTCAATATAGAATGCAGTGGTGAGGAACTAGAGGCATCATGGAAAGCATGGGCCCGCTTGGAGGAAAAGAAACGGTACCATTCAAAATAACCGCCATACAACACAACACTAACGACGTCTTCCCTAGTATTGTCGTAGGAATCTACATCCACGACGTGGAACTGGCTAAGCTGCACAATCATGAGCCCATCCTACGACATGCCATTGAGAAGATCCCAAAGCTATCCCCGCTAGGCGTATTCACAGCGCCCAACGCAGTAGCGTGGAAAAAGCAGCACCTTCTCACACAGCAACCAAATCTCATCCCTCCCTCACCACCGTCCACCGACCCCAAGTCTCTGTTAGTCGAAACCAAACCAACCAACGATTTCGAATCGTACGCCATTTTAGAGTCCATCGGATCATTGGCTCTGGAGGACCGAGGGTCTGCTGGCATGCAGCACTCAGCAACAGTCGAAAAATGCCAACGGTTACTCATACAGTGGTTCTTACAACGGCAGAATCACAACACAGAAAATGCCCCTCCGTCTAGTAGCACAACCGCGGATCCCTTCTGCCTCCGCATCCTTTGGCATTCAACCTTCATGCACCTATACACACGGTTCGATGACCTGGAATGCGAATGTGGCCGAGAAGGCGAGATGCTATCTCAGCAGAAATCCACGTATGCCGCATCCTGGGCCAAATCAACAAATGCCAAGCGTGCGCTTCTGCATGCGGCTTTAATCCAGAGAGAGTTCCAGACGCACGCGCTAGGAGCAGAGCCAGCCATTCACGTCCCAATGGCACTTTATTATGCAGGGCTAGCCTGGGCCTCTTTTACTCAATTTGGTGCGAGTGAGGACGCTCATATTGATCGTAACGCTGAGCATCTCGACTCCCCCGAGCTGAGACTCCTTGGGATCAACCAGATGAAGTTCTTCGCCGAAGTTATGGGCAACATCCAAATGGGAAGACCGGCGTCAGGCCCGCTGTTCAGGGCGATTGATTTGCTTGGGAAAATCAATCATTGGAAACTGTCGCAGAATCTTTCCAGTACCCTACTAGGGTTTGTGGAAAATATGCCGGATTTATTTTGATTATTTGGCTAGGCAATATTTTCATTTAAGACAGAGTTTGGTCCTCCGAGATGCTTGTCGGACTAAATTGTACTACTATAGTATATAAACCGATAACAATTTGCAGGTATCGCCTTCTCAAGCTTGGAGGAGGGTGTCGGACAGCTCGTCGACTGATTAATATTGATCGCTTACATGGCGAGAGCTTTTCAATTAAACTTATATGCCGCTATCGAAAGGTGTCTAGGTAGCTGTCGTATACTTCCCCACACGAGCTGTAAGGACTGCGGGGCCTATCTGACTCTCGAAGCACATACGTCAAGTTGACAGTCCCCACCTGCCCGGCTACAGAAACTTCATCGTGTTCTTCACCGTCGCCATACCTCCCACCTCGACCTCCACCACATCTCCATCCTGCAAGAATTCCTTTCGGAAGAAGCCCACTCCCGACGGGGTGCCAGTCATGATCACGGTGCCCTTCCTCAGGGTCGTCCCACGCGACAGATGACTAACGATCTCGCGCACGCCCCAAATCATATCACTGGTATCGGTTGTCTGCTTGACGTGCCCATTCACCTTGGTGACCAGGCTCAGCTGCTGCGGGGCTTGTACCTCTTGGGCGCTGATTAGAACATGTCCGATGGGGGCGAACTGATCGAACGACTTGGCGTAGCAGAATTGACCCCCCGACGCCTCGGGGAGCTGGAAGTTGCGCGCCGAGAGATCATTCCCCGCGGTGTATCCGAGAACGTAGTCGAGAGCGTTCTCTGTAGACACATTCTTCGCATCCTTGCCGATGACGACGGTTAACTCGCCCTCGTAGTCGAGGTGGGATTGAGCGTCACGGTGGATGGGGATGGTTTCAAAGGGACCGGCGAGGGCGTCGGCGGGTTTGGTGAAGACTGAAGGGTAGGTCGAGACATTCAACTGTACAGGTCGTTGACTCAGTGAAATGGTTCTGTGTGCTTTGGAAGGGGAGGGCTTACACTGGCCTCCTTCGCGTGTTCTTTGTAGTTGAGCCCGATACAGATAACGACGGGAGTACTTGGGATAGGTGATAGAAGCTAATTGATTGTCCATTGTGAGATTTGAGTGAGAGTGGTTGCAAGGCTAGCATAACGCACATCATTCACGGTGTAGACTTTGTCTGTCGAAAGCAATTTGTCGAAGGGAGTACCATCGAACTGCTGCACCGTATACATATTACCGTCGGTGTTGATCAGCTCACCGTAATGCGTCTGATCGCCGACTGCGAATCGAACCAGCTGTTTGAACGTAGCCATGAGGAGTAAATGGAATCCGGGAGAAGGAGAAGTATCCAGCAGAAAGGTTTGAAATAGAATGGATGTCAGTGGCCTGCACGATGATGGACGGCCGGACTTGTCACGCATTTTGATCCCGGCGACGAGCGGGTGGGATCTATGCCACGATGTGGGGACAATCGCAGAATGACGGCACCACAACTGACGCTTATAAATACCCTACCCAGTATGAGAATAGGCCTTTCCAGCTCTCGATGGCTCATATCAGCAGAAGTCATCATTGCAAACAGCCAAACATGTCCCCACCGACAATCTCAGCAAGTCGCGGAGGCACGCTGCCCGACACCGAGGCGATGGGAAAAGACCAGGAGTCCCAGTCCAGCTGGCTGCAGAAGCGAAGCATTAGCGCGGAGACTCGTATCAATCTCAAGAAGCTATCACATGTCCGCTACCAACACCCCAACCTAGATGAGATCCATCAGTTCATGCTGGACTTTGGACTTCAGGTTGCGCACCAGACCGCCGAACACATCTGGTACCGCGGATACGGCCCCGATCACTACGTGTACTATGCGCAGAAGGGTCCCCGCAAGTTCCTGGGAGGCGCCTTCGAAGCGGCTAGTCTAGAAGACTTCGAACGGTAAGCAACCGCACGTCTGACAAGCAACGCCCTATAAAAACCCGTCACGCTTATCAGGTCCCAGAGCAACGGCTTTGCCCAACGCCGGTCCCGTGCAAGAGCTGGCAGATGCTCCAGGCGCTGGCTCCCTGGTGACAATCACCGACCTTGAAGGATTCCCCATCAACGTGATCTATAACCAGGAGCCCATCAATCCTTCCCGCGAACAGTCACCACGAGAGAAGATCGTTCTGAACTTCCCGAGCGAGAAGCCCCGTGTAAGACAGTTTAACCGATTTGAACCCGGACCAGCTGCAGTTTACAAGGTAAGAACCCAGGATCTCAAAATGCCGCGGGGATAGAAAGCTAACTCTGCCCTTCAGCTGGGTCACTTCGGCCTTTCAACGCAGGATTTCGAGTCTCAACTCCAGTTCTACACCTCCACCTTCAACATCGTGCCAACGGACTTTGTCTATATTGAGCAAAATGGCCAGCGAATCCCCGTCACGGTGTTCATGCATCTTGATCTGGGAATGGAGCCCGTAGACCACCACGCGTTCTTCCTCGGCGCCAACCCGAAAACATCGCGCATCCACCATTGCTCATTCGAGGTCCATGACTACGACACACAGCAGCTAGGCCACCAGTGGCTGGTCGAGAAGGGATATCAGCCAGCTTGGGGAGTGGGTCGTCATGTGCTGGGATCTCAGATCTTTGATTACTGGTGGGATGTCTCGGGCAATATGGTCGAACACTACGCCGATGGTGACTTGGTGAATGCCGACACGCCGATTGGATACGTGCCTGCTGGGCCGGATTCGTTGGCGATTTGGGGGCCTAAAGTTCCCGCTGCGTTTCTGGAGTAATGTATAGCGGTAGATGGTTTTATAGGAGAGAATTGAGTTATTGAGTTCTGGTTTTGGGCTCTCTGACACCGTTCGCCGTAAATCCGTATAATGTTGGCGGTGTACGCTAAGCCTCCAGTTCTTCGAGTAGGTCCCACATTTAGCAGGGCTGAGGAATCTGGACCTGGACATGGACCTGGTTCGCGGCCGTCTGTTCCGATCAGCCACTGCGGAGGAGTTCGTGCAGTTCCCGCTATGTGCCAATCGTCCGGAGCCCCGTGGGTACAATGACCATCTGTGGGACAGCCTCGGCGGAAGGAAGCATGTCGTTCTGAGAGCCGACCGTTTCGTTTTTCCGGCCTGCAACAGCGGCGATGAGCTTGAGAATGAAGCCAGCAGAGTAAATTCCATGTTTTCCTAGGCTATATAGATAATGCATATAACTATGAACAGTGTATTACACCACATACTGGACCGCCGTAATTCCGGCCCCGTCACGGATAGATCCCGCATCGCGGACAACTTATCTGAGGTATATACGCCCGGACTCCACCCATATAATAAGGCAGCCTGGCCATCCCTAGAGGTTTCCTCCTTCCAGAACACCAGCTAGTCACCTACTTCAATCCCTCTCTGTCAATGGCTGCTCAAGACACTCCACGCATGCTCTGGAAACATCCGGACCCGGAGTCCACCCACATGGGACGCTTCCAAAAGGCTCTAGAGCAGCACATTGTGAAACATTTCAATGTCAGTGAACCAGATGGACAGGCACCTGGCCTTTCTGAAGAGCCTTAACTCAGGGATGGTCAATAGGGGTACCATGACCTTTACGAATTCTCCATCACACAGCCAACGACCTTTTGGGATTTCTGTTGGAAGAACTTCAATCTCATTCACGAGGGAAGTTATACCGCCGTTGTAAATCAGTCGGCTCGAATGGACAGCACCCCCCACTGGTTCACCAGAATCCGACTAAACTTCGCCGAGAACCTATCATTCTCAGCCACGCCGTATGGCCCATCCACGAACGGAAAAGAAGATGCGAAGATTGCTGTGGTCGGGGTCCGCGAGGGCTTCTCCGAATCACCCATGTATCTAACGTGGCGCGAGCTTCGAAGTCGCACAGGACGTTTGCTCCAGGCCATGAAGGCCAATGGGGTGCAAAAGGGCGATCGCATCGCCATCTGTGCAAGTAACAGCATTGACACCCTGCTCGTGTTCCTAGCTTCGACCGCGCTGGGGGCCCTTTTTTCTTCCAGCTCTACGGATATGGGCGTGAAGGGGATCCTGGACCGGCTGGTACAGATCAAACCCCGGTTCTTGTTCATGGACGACCAGGCTGTCTATAATGGCAAGACGATCGACCTTCGATCCAAGATGGAGGCGGACGTGAATGGGTTGCATTCCCTGCAGGAATTCCGTGGGGTGGTCTCCCAACCGCGCTTTGCTTCCCGGCCATTGGATATCAGCCAGATAACCAAGGCGCAGCTGCTTGAGGATTTCTTGGCCAAATCTAACGATGCGAGGCTCCATTTTACACGCATACCCTTCTGCGATCCCTTTTTGATCGTGTACTCTTCAGGCACCACCGGTCAGCCCAAGTGCATTGCGCATTCGGTCGGCGGGGTGCTCGTCAATGCGTATAAAGAAGGACACTTACATTCGGAACTGGATGAGTCCAGTACGATGTTGCAGTACACCACAACCGGCTGGATCATGTATCTTTCTGCTATCCAAAGCCTTTTGTTCGGGTCCCGGGTTGTCCGTTATGATGGCAGTCCATTTATGCCGCGGCTTGAATCGTTGATTCGGCTTGTGGAGCAACAGCAGTGAGCATGATATGTTTCCGTCACACACAGCTCCAACAAAGGCTGACCTCCCAGGGTAACTCATTTCGGCACATCCCCGCGCTACATGTACGAGCTTCAATGCGCAAGCATCCACCCGCGACAGATTGCCGACTTGAGCTCGTTAAAGATGGTGACCAGCACGGGGATGGTGCTCCCCGACGCTCTGTTCGAGTGGTTCTACGACCAGGGCTTCCCACCACATGTCCGGTTGAATAACAACTCCGGAGGAACTGATCTGGCCGGGTGCTTCGGGATAGGCAACTCCCTGCTCCCTGTTCACGTCGGTGGCTGCGCTGGAATGAGTCTCGGCATCCCGATTGACGTCTACGATGCTAGCATCGAAGGTGCTGGAGCGAAGGGAAGGTGTGTAGAGGTCGGGGTCGCGGGCGAGCTGGTAGCCACTGCCGCTTTCCCCAGCATGCCGGCTTCTTTCTGGGGTCCCGATGGGGGTAAACGGTACCATGATGCCTATTTTGCTCGGTTTGATAATACGTTCGTTCATTTCCTGGAGTCAAATCTCCTTCCCATCCCAACATTCTCTTCCTTCATCTTCCTCTTACTCACCAAAAATACTACCAGATGTCTGGACGCACGGTGACTTTGTTTCCATCCACCCCGTCACCCGACAAATATTCTTCCACGGCAGGGCAGACGGCGTTCTGAACCCGTCCGGAATCCGCTTCGGGTCGTCGGAGATCTATCAGGTCCTAGAAGCCGAGTTCCCTGATGAGATTATGGACTCAATCTGTGTCGGTCAGCGACGACCTCAAGATACGGACGAGCGGGTGTTGTTGTTCTTATTACTGAAGTCAGGGACCCGTTTCACACCGGAATTAGTTGCCAGGGTGAAGGCCGCCATTCGCCAGAAACTGAGCAGTCGCCATGATCCGAGCTTTATCTTCGAGACCGCCGAAATTCCGGTAGGTACCTATCCAGATTTGTGACGAGTACTGGCATATATGGTCAGCACTAACAATTCACTGTCAGGTCACCGTCAATGGAAAGAAGGTGGAGCTCCCGGTCAAGCAGATCGTATCGGGGAAGCAAATTAAGCCTTCTGGCACGCTACTCAATCCGGGGTGTCTCGAGTACTATTATCAGTTCGCCGAGGATGAGCGGCTGGTTGCCGCGCGGGACAGTAAGCTCTGAAGCAGATGGGAATATACCTACACGGACCGAGCGCGTGTTTATTGCACCTGTGTAAGTAAGCAGGACCTCGAAATAGAACATAAACATGGCATTTCATAGCACTCTTGGTATGGAATACACACAATGGCGATAGTATACTTCATATTCGCTACCTGGAACGACAATAAATATAATCGTTCGCAGGAGTACCTCAATGTGTCCCATCTACCTTTTGACAGTTTCTTGTATAGAGATTACATTGTTCTTCCCGCAATGTAATCTGCCGGGATCATGCTGGGTCAAGTTGAGGCAGAGAATCTTTACATCCTTTTTCTCGAACGCGCCCGGACTGACTATGGTATCCAGCATGCCAGTCTCAGATGTAGTGTTGCGGCTTACTTGAGAAGATGATAGAAATCCAATCAGAATGTCTTAGCATAATGATTGGTCTAATGGGTCGCGATCTCAGATCTGCGGTCCTTACCTCAAGATATACACAGGCCTACTACTAGTAGTAACAAGGTTCAACACTGCTCGTGCAAGGTATGGATGAGCCCCCTCTTTTGTTAACAGATCAAAGAAATAACCTCCTCCCCCGGGGGGAAGAAAGAAAACAAAGAAAGAAAACAAAGAAAGAAAACAAAAGAAAAGGAACCTGTAACCTGTTCTCTGTCTCCTATTTTATGTAATTGGAAAAGAGTAGCAGCATTCCCCCTAGTCTGTCCCTATTCTGGGCTATCCAGAAATTTATGGCTAGCAAGTCTGTTCTAATATTAGGTGAAAAAGACGGTCTGGGAAAGCCTTTTGTGTGATAATAGGCTTGCATGGACGCCATACCTAGTCAGAGTGCAGATTCACAATGAGTGACTGATACAAGGTGAGTGGCGACTAAGGCGTCATATTCCGTAGCTGCCCAGGCTGTCTGCTGAGTTTGTCAAGGGCGAAGTAGATCTTCCAGTGGTGGGTGAGAAGGTAAAGCAATCAATTCATTAGGGAGTGCAGCGGCGCATACGTGAGAGGACTGGTAGCTGTCGCTTGGCTCCAGCCCTCGAGGTCAAAGGTACCTTAAGGTGCCTCCCCATAAATAGATTACCCGCCCGGGCCGAAGGAAGACGGGAACCCACCTACTCCTGCGAAAGTTGGGGGTCAGAACTGGCTGCTACGCGATAGTGTATTCTCTAGGATGAATGAAGCCCCATCTCACCTAATAGACTCCACCGGCTCTCACTCAACGAATCGATCGAATTTATCATTCCCACCTGCTTTTCCATACCGGTCAAGCAAGGCATTCTTGGAGGTATGGGGATTCCTTCGCCGTTGGACGCATTTTAAGCGCCGCGTGACTGACCATTCGTACTAGCGGCAAAAGGGCATGTCCAGGATGTGGCATTTTTGTCATTGGGTGAGCCCATGCGCCAGATTTGAAAGACGACCATCCTCTTTATCTGTGGGTCTTGGCAATACAGGGCTGTCATGCAGGTCGTGTCACAATCTCCTGTCACAATTTCCGAGGTCCTGCGGGAGACCTCTTTTCGGTGCACTCTCCAGCTCCGGGAAAGTAGGCAAGGCTAGCATACGGCAGAGACGAAGTCAGAAACGGGCGCAGTGTGAAAATACAGCAAATAGAACCCTTTGCTTTATTTTTTCTTCCGCCTCTGCAGTCCCGCCTCTTATATTACCATCAGGCGCGACAACAATGGCATCGACTCCCCGTCTTCGAGTTTCGTCCCCGCATCCACCAATGGCAACCCAAGAGCGGGAAAATGATTCTCTCCGTCCGCGGCTTCTGCGAAGCACATCCAAGGCCGCCGACGGACGCAACGCCCTTCTCTCGTTTGGCGAGCTGCCAGAATGGCATCAAGATAACCAATACATTCTTCGTGGCTATCGCCCGATATCAGGATCGGCTCGGGCTTCATTTCGCAGCTGGTCATACATTCACAATGAGTCAGTAAATATATACTCTCATTTGATACCAGCAGTGGCCTTTCTGCTCGCCGTGTGGTATATAAAAGAGTATCTTACAAGCAGATATTCGAATATCACTGGCCCTGACTTTTTTATTTTTACCTTCTTTCTCCTAACTGCCGTTATCTGCCTGGGTCTCTCAGCGACATACCATACCTTAATGAACCATTCCCACAAAGTTGAACAATTATGGCTGCGACTTGACCTGATAGGCATAGTAGCCTTGACATTAGGCGACTTTGTATCGGGAATATACATGGTCTTCTGGTGTGAGCCTTTGCATCGCAAGATTTACTGGTCTATGGTGTGTTAATACCGATACATCCTGTTTTATTTTATCTGGTATCTAATACCTTTTGTTGGCAGATTGGAATTCTGGGGTCGCTTACCATCTTTATAATGGTAACCCCTAAATTCCAGGGCCAGAACTTTCGCATCTTACGGGCGCTTACGTTCGTCTTCACTGGCCTGTCTGGCTTTGCTCCATTAATACATGGAGTCAAGATATTTGGCATCTCGCAAATGATGAAACAATCCGGAATGCCCTACTATCTGGTCGAAGGAGGCTTTCTCCTACTTGGGGCTTTGATTTATGCAGTAAGCTTCTTGAGTTCGTGCATGGAAGTTGATTCTGACGGTTCTACAGACCAGGTTTCCTGAGAGTCGATATCCTGGTAAATTCGACATATATGGCTCCTCCCATCAGCTCTTTCACATCCTGGTCGTCTTTGCTGCTGTGACTCAATTAATTGGAATATTGGATGCCTTCGGCTATAATCACGCGAATCGGACATGCGTATAGACGGTGGTAATTTGTTTGTATATATCTTCTACTCTATAGCCTAGTGTCCTGGTTAAAAGCACCTACAATAAGATCAAATCCAAGAGGAAAAGGCGCAGCTAACTTCGGTCGCATTGATAACCCAGTGCTAGTAGCCTTTTCCAGTTCTGAACAATGGCCAGGGCAGATGTCGGACGATATAATTAGACAATTATCTCAAAGTTCTGAAACAGTTGTTGGGGAGCAGGGGGAATCGAAAGAAGGGGCTAGCCATGAAAGGAGTGTGGAGATACACAACGGATGGGATGCAGAGTATATATTTAATATCCAGGGCCTTTGGCTTACTTCAGCTGGTGATCGTCCTTCCATATTTTGGTCTCCTTTGTTTCAGGTTATTTTTTTCTCGGTTTTATCTCCGACAGCCTGTAGCTTATTTTCCTTGCTTGTGTACCAGATAGAGCAAGACAGTTATAACCGACCACTAAAATCTAAACTCCCATTAATTTTTCTCGCCGGCACTAGTTTAGAAAACCGATAATTACTTCCAAGGCCTTGTAGACTAGGTCCCAGAAATGAACCGTGATGTAAGCAACGGGATCCGCACAATTGTAACCCTTGATGCTTGCGTTTTACCGCATGCAGCCATGGAATGCCGGCCGCCGTCATGGAGCAAAATAGAGCGTAACATTAAGTTAAGGTAATTGAACTTATCATTAACCGGTTGGGCCTGCGGGCACCTTTATTCCTCCTAATTTCTCTCTCCATTGCCATAGATTGTGCATGTTCTAGGCTGCTTTCCTCCGGTAACCTGCTGCCTTCAAGCAAGACCTTACGGCTAGTGATAATGCACAATGCAGCTCACAGATAGATTGCCTGATTCCCCTTTGTTTGTGAAGCTTCTTAATGAGGCCCAGAAAGATTTCGATCACGTTGCCATCCATGATCCGGCCAGTGATGTTGCTGTCACCTATCCTCGTCTTGTAGAGGATATTCTCGTATACCGACACATAATTCGAGACAACCTCCCTCAAGAATTGCTCAATGAACAGGGCATAATGCGACATAATGAAACCTATTTCGCTTTGGTAGCTTCTCAGTCTTACGAGTTTATCGCGGCCTTCTTTGCCATTTTGGCCCTTGGTGGTGTTGCCATGCCTATATGTGAGTTCGGAATTATGTTGCGATTAGCGTTTAAGTGAACCCAGCCCACTGATAACAAGCAAAAGCGCCATATATTCATCCAGAAGAAGCCAGCTACATGATGTCAAGAGCAAGCCCAGTCTGTGTTATCTCAACTGCCGAGAGCATCAAGTTCGCTGAAAAAGTCCAGCAGCAGTGCGCTTCTGGAGGTATTGCACCAAGTCTGATTACCATTTCGGAAAACGCAAGCTCTACTAGGCCAGCTTCTGGTGCCCACCTTGAAGTTGACCGGGGAGTCACCTTCTCATCTGACAGACCAGCGCTCTTGGTTTTCACCTCCGGCACCACTGGTCGCCCGAAGGGTGTGCTCCATGCGCTGCGCCGGTTGCTGGGGAACTTTGGCGCTATTGGCACATCGAAAGACACTTATCTCGTACATCGCCCACTCGCGAATACTTCCATCCTGACTGGAACTGTTACCGCGTTGTTGAATGGCGTGGCAGTAGAGCTATCTAGAGCTACTGGGCAGGCCAGCGAGGTGTGGACCAGGCTTCGCAGTGGGGGCGTTACCATTCTAACCGGGAATGGTGAATTCTGGATGAACCTCATGAGACATTTCTATGATCATATCAACCTTCTGGCTCCGGAAGAAGTGTCGGAGTATCTGAAGGGTGCGCAGGATGTCCGGAAAGCGACTTGCGCGGGTGTCATGCCAACCCCGTCTGTGAAACACTTTTGGAATAAGGTTTTCGAAGGACGTCCTCTCATAGTGGCCTATGGATCGAGCGAGATGGGCGGGGTGCTATCAACAAAGCAGGATGCTCCGCAAATCACCGATGTACGTCTTGTCGCCCGAGTGTGCGTCATCCCTTGAATGAAACCCTTTACTAAGATTTCCCCAGCCCTCACTGGGAAGGCCGCTGCCTGGGGTAATACTCAAACTTTCTGATGGCGATCACGGTGAGATGTTGATCAAGACACCCACGATGCTTCTAGGGTGAGTGCCTTGAGTCCTTCCCGTCAGTCTTGAAAGCTGTGGCAAGAGGCTAAACACTCCAAAGGTACCTGAATGACCCGCAGACCACCAGTTCTGCCTTTGATGAAGAAGGATTCTTCCGGAGTGGCGATCTGGCCCATGTCAAAGAAGGTCGTGTCATCCTAGACGGTCGGGCAAATACCGGATGTAAGTTCCTCTGCCGTTTACTGGTGTATTTCCTTTGAGATTTTTCCGTGCTCGAATAACTCGCGTAGTTGTCGACTATTACAGCGAAAAGGTCTCCATCCTCGAAGTCGAAACAGCGATACAAGATCTGCCGTACGTGACGGAAGGCTACATCCTCGCTGTGGCCGACACAGCATCAAGATATCGCGTGGCCGCTCTGCTGAGGGTCAAGAACAACAGGTTTCCGGATGGCTCACAAGGCAGCCCTACGCTTGCGACCCTTCGCCAGGACCTAGCAACCAAGCTAGAGTTGTACAAGCTGCCCACAGTGCTTCGAATCCTGAGGGACAAGGAAGTGATTCCTTTGACTTCGTCAGGGAAAGTCAAGCGACACGAAGCCACACGGGCGTATTTCCCCCAGTCAGTAGATAGGGATATGACTACTTTGCCGACGGAGGTTGAAGTCTGGCCTACAGAACAGCTGGATGACCCTCGCGGTCCATGGGATTGGCCGCTACGGTTTCCTGGACGAAGTGCGAAGATTTCCCCTTCATCGTAAATCCTACATACGAACACCGCCAGGGTTCCTTCCACATTAGGACACTTTGAATGCACGCCAGGCTACTATTTTTCCAAAACCCTTGAAGCCGCGCTCTGCCACACCTGAATAAATTCATTATCAAAGAGGGTTCTATTGCATGTTATGTCATCTAAGATTCTGAGCTACTTTACTCTTATCGAGGTTAACGCAAGAATTTTCGATTCAATGACAATGAATGAATTGCATCGATACTAGCGTCGATTCTAACAATAGAACCGTATCTAAGCTACTTCACCTAGTGTATGAAGATCCGCAGGAGCTGGGGGTGTTGGTTTCGTATCTTGCTCCAGAGTAGCGGCACTTGAAAGGTCTTGGCGAGCATTTGGCGTCAACTGACGGCGGTGGCTTAGGATCAGAAAATAATTTGGGATGTTTTATGTACATATTACAATCCCAGTCTCACCTCGGAGTGAATATCAAGCGACAATTCCGTGGAGCTAGTACTGAGCGCTATATATATTGTCAGTCTTGCATTGGGTGAGTGGACCGAGGCCCGATCTTACCGAAGTGGTAGAAAAATGATACGTAGGATCCACCGTCCAGGACACTTTGCGAAGAATCTCCACAAGGGCCACCTTCATTTGAACGATAGCAAATCCACTCCCTGGACACTTGCGGGCGTGCGCATTAAAGGGGATAAAATGTCCTCGCGCCTGGGACCGACGAAAGAGACTGTTGATCGACTCGATATCACTGCCCCAGCGTGAAGGCTGGAAGACTGTCGCGAATTCTCCCCAGAACTCCGGGTTTGTGTGGACTCCGTAGCAGTTCCATCCCATCCACGTGCCCTTGGGAATGCTTATTCCCGTGTCGAGTTGGAACTCTTCCAGCGTCAATCGATTGATGAGCTGGCTAATAGGTGGGTATAATCGGAGAACTTCATAGATGACCGCCGTCAGATATGGCAGTTGGTCGAGCTCGTGGACCGTATAGTTCTCCGGGAGCTTCGAGGCTTCTTCGCGAAGCTGGCCTTGAACCGACTGATGGACCCCGATTTCCCACAGCGCGGAAGTCAATGCCAGCTGCACATTCTCATGCCCGGCAATTGTCAACATCTTCAGATTGGAACGGTAATGAAACTCTGTGAGTTCGTTTTGGTTCCGTGCTCGGACCAGGCGATGGGCAAGCTTCTCCTTTTCAGCAGACGCGGAATATTCGGACGCTGGGCTTTCAGCCCAGCTGTCGACGTGTTTGATCAGCAGACGTTCGAAGGTCTTGATTGCGGCGATTGCCCGGCGACGCTGAGGAAATAAGCAGGAAGCTTTCTCTAGGATAGGGAACTCTGAGAAAATAGGCCCTACCACGTTGGCCTTTACCGCGGTGAGAGCGTTTTCAAGCGGATTAGCGGCATCATCCAAGCAATTTATCTCTGAATCCAGGAATAATGTGCCATACACCGCCACGGCCCAGCGTTGGATCAGGGGATCGACCATCACACCTTGGCCCGACGGCGCGCTCTTTTGAGAATCCAAAAGCAATCTGGCGAGCTGGGACGACTTAACACGTACCGGCTCGGTGTCCGTCGGCTTCTGGATCCCGGGCTTGATGATGGAGCTGAACTGGGCCCATGTCGGTCCATGGGAGTCAATAATGTTTTCGCCAAAGAGCATCGCGAAGGATCCCCAAGGGACCTTCCGATAAAAGCCCCCTTTGGCCACTGTGGCCTCATTGCGGAACATGCGCATGAGGTATTCAGGCTTCGTGACGAGGACTGTCCACCGTCCTGCATTCCAGACAAAGACGGCGCCATGTCGGTCCAAAAGAGGCTGGAGACGGGTTTTATAAAATTGCAGTCTGCTCACGCCCCGACACGCATCATAGAGAGAAACCCACAATGGAACTGCCGGGATGGAGGTTCGTTTAGGAGCGAAAGGTGTGATGAGAAGGAAAACTAAGAATGTGATGATTCCTAGCGTGCCAAGTATGGCAAAGGGAATCATTTTCCTAGAAGCTTCTTCTTTTCCAGTCCGTTGATTCTTGTTGGTGTGATTCTTGAGTGCTGTATGTGCCATGAGGATAAATTCAAAGAACCACCAGACGCAAGGCAGGCTATAATGCATGCCAAACCATTTCGATACGTATAATTCAAAACCAAAAAGGAGGACGGAAGTCAACCGAGACGTATGAATGGAATGCGACTACATACCAAATCCGGCCATTTCACTGGGTTCCGAATTGCCGAATGCAGCTTCTACTAAGGAATGTGGACATCATGTCAATCAGATGGCACCTTGCCGTCCTTTTGAAAGACTAATAATTACAGAGCTGTTGATTATTTACCTGTGCGACCGTTGAGCTTGGTGGCTGATTCATTGCGTCCTGGAAACCCAATGAGGATCGGTGGACCATGTCTTTCCGAACGCTCCTTAATTATGAGGCGTCTTAAACTTCGCATATATCGTGGCCCGGTCGTAGTTTGTTGGTCTTCATGGATGTTAAAAGAGCTGTATGCACCTCTAGGATATAGATTTTGGTCAGCAAGTAAGAATGAATCTGGACTCTAGGCTGTTTAGTGGGACCCCTTTGAGGACGCGTTGAACAACCGTACAGGCATTATATAGCAGCAATTCAAGTTACGGTGAAGTTATTTTCTCAAGTCATCGAAGGTTCTCGATTCAACTTTTAACTGAAGTGGTCACATCTGGCATATCCAACAAGCTTCGTCTGGAAAAGTTTTGTGAACCTTCAGCCTCCCAGCCAGCAGACTTCGGTGCATTTCTCACTTTCCCAAAGCCCAGCCTGCCATTTCCCTGAGCAGGAATGCATGCCACGGGCTAGTTAGAGTACTTTATATGCTTCTTCCCAGGCAGCGATCTCCGAAACCGCCATATGTGGAAAGGATGGAGGGCATCTGCATACCGACTATCAGATTTTGGCCCCGAACTTTGTTCGCTAAGAGTGCTCACTTACGCTTTGTTTAACTGTTCCCTGAGTTTATCCCTGACCTGTATCAACCGTTCCTTGAAAAGGGTTCCCTTGTTGAGGTGAGGGTAAGGAACTCCCGGTGGGGGGTCAACACCGAGAAAGTTGCATATAGGTTCCCATCCCTGCGAGGGTTCAAAAACCAACAGGCGATCCCGTGGGACCGTTGCGCACACGTAGGCAATATGCTGCTTAAACTGTTCGATCATCGCCTGCTTGTCTGCGTAGAGCTTCAGCTCCCCTTCCTTGACAATGGCCCGGGCCATCTTCCGGGATCTCATCATCTTGTCTGGCCAGGCGGAGCTGTCCTCCATCGGCCAGTCCTGGATTGTGTTTCCGACAGATTTGTACCACAATTCGGGATCCCGCACCGTCAGAATCACCTTGGCGTCGGGATACTGCTTCATCAAGTCCTCCCAAAAGGCGGCCGCCGGCCAGTCAACGGCTGCGTCGTATCCGCGGAACATGTGGTCCCAGTCGGGCTTGGAGTTGGACTGATAGGCTTCCTGGAACAAGGCTGGATCTTGGGTGTCGTCGAGGAGCATCTTTTCCATATGATGACACGAGTACCTTGATTGCCGTGTTAGCGTCTTTGGGGGCAGTCTAGGTCACGGCTGGGACATTTACCCCAGTATATCGAGGGCCCTGCAGAGGCTCAGGGTGCCTGTTCGGCCGTACCCTGCTCCGATGATCTTCAGCTGGCCCATTTCGAAGAAAATGGCTCACAAGTAGAGTGTTCACGATTGATGCGGAAGCAATATACAAGATTTGCGATATACGCAAGGGAGAGAGAGAATAGACATATCGATTTCACAAACTTAAAAGCAGCGCCTCCGTTTGACGTAGCATGGATACAATTAAAATATCCTGTAATCATCTGTTTAGAAATGGAACGCAACCCTCTGTCCACGAGGGGGTCATTCTCCGCATGCGGCTAGCATTCTAGTCAAAGTAAAGTCAATTATGCTTAATCTATAGCAGCACCTAGACGGCTTTGATGCCTCTGACCTAATCTCGGGTAGCTTGTGGCCAAGCAACCGCATTGGGACAATTTGAGATTGCGTCGTACGTGGATTCCTACGAGGTTACAACAAGGGCCGCCAGACGCAACTCTTAAAAGTCACTGTCAACACACCTGGCTGTCGGACTTATAGACCACGTTGCAACGCTATAAAACAGTGTCAACGACAACCCATACGTAATATTTTCCCATTCCGGATTGAGATAGATGGGCATAACAGGGTCACAATATAAACCCTGAACCGCACCCATTCCTAGGATTCCCTTTCCCGACACAAGAGCAAGAACGATCCAACTCATGCCACATCTCGCAAAGAGAGCCTACCATCATGACACACACAACCGAGCAAGTCTTGGATCACCATCCTCATCTTCCCGGGGGGCCCAATGATGACGGCGTCGAGGTGACTCCGAGCGGCTATCGATACCGCATGCTGAATGGGATAATGATGCCGCCGCATGTCACTCCGGAGTGCTACGAGCGATCACGCCGCGTCTCGACACGACCGAAAGATATCTGCTTCACCTCGTATCCCAAGTCCGGTTCGACGTGGTTGTCCTATATTCTGGTGCTCTTGACAGGCCGAAAGAAGGACTACCTCCGTGACGATATCCACTGGGTCGAGAGCAGCCGCACATATCCACGCACCGACCAGGAGCTGAACAACGCGCCCGACTGCCGAATCTTCAAAAGCCATATGCCGTATTCGATGGCCCTGGCCGGTAACCCGGCCGAGAACCCCTGCCGATATATCTACATCGCTCGCAACCCGAAAGATGTCTGCGTGTCGTACTACCACTTCGAGATGGGCAAGACCTGGTCTGGAATGTGGGATGGCTCCTGGGAGGAGTGGCTGGAGATGTTTCTCCAGGGCAAGGTCCAGCGGGGCGACTGGTTTGACCATGCGCTGAGCTGGTGGGAGCATCGAGATGACCCAAATGTGCTCTTTTTGCGCTACGAAGACCTGCTAAATAACACGGCGCGGGAGATCGGGAAGATCGCCCAGTTCCTCAGCCTCGAAACGGACGCAGCCCAGATTGATGACATCGTGACCAAGGTGGGCTTCCGCGAGATGCAGTCCTCAGAGTACAGCTCGTTGTCGGATATTAAGCAGTTTACCCATTTTTTCCGGAAGGGCAAGGCGGGCTCCTGGAAAGAACAGTTCACCGTACAGCAGAGTGAGGCGTTCGATGAGTATTTTCGCAGGAGAGTTGGTGCCTCGGGCCTTAAGTTTGATGGCAATTAAATTAGCTAGTTACAGGTTGAGTTTGACCTTCTATAATATAACCAAAAGGTCGGTTAAGTTTAAATATCAATCAATCAATCAAACAAACAAACTTCTATTAACCCGATAAAGCCTATCTATTAAAGCAACAGGCTATGCAGGTGCTTCTCTAGCGAAGTAAAATTTCGCAGCCATATGCCTCATATAAATCCTGTAATTGCAGTCGACAACCAAAAAGCGAAACAAAACTAAATCATAGCTGCCAGTCGCCTGCCGTGTGTCTACTGTGCCATCCATGACGCCTTCGCTCTTTTTATATTCCCCTATTTAGGTATTCCATCCCTAAGTATATCCCCGGGAGTGATGCGAGATCTTTGCTCCTCCCCCTAAAGTTCTGTATAGCTATTGTCTTTGTTGTCTAGTCTGAGGCCTTCTAATAGGATGCTTAGGTCCGGTACCTCCTCTGTTTTTCTCCCCATACTAACCAAATCAGAAGTTCGGAACTGCTAGAGAAAGCCAGTTTGTTATATGAATTTGGCGATATAGTGGATTGCCGTCGGGTGATTATGAACTACATGATGATGATGATGATGCTGATGGTTGCATTATACAGGAATATCGGCTCCTTTATAGGACTCTTCCCGGGTGCCCAACGGCCGTCAAGCCGCTGCAGGTTCTATTGTTTTTGATTTTAAAATCTTAATCCTTTCTAAATGTATATATCTACTTATTTATCTTTGTCTCTATTGTTTAATTCTTCTCGTTCTTTATGGTAACAAATGCTGGTGACAGCTTGCGTAGCTGTGAACGGAGGACGGGAGTCAACATCCACTGCCGGATTAGGGCAGGCACCCGCTACCGGTGACCGATGAATGCAGGTACCCTCAGGATTATGTGCAATGTCGTATTAGAGAAGACATGTGGTACTGGATGAATTAAACTTTGACATTTAATATGTACGGTTTACCGGTAGTTGATCTATCCGTCTGAGCCCATGGCAGTCTACTATGCAATAGGACTAGTTTTCTATCTGGCGCAGAGGAGCTAATCTACTGCTTCTAGGTCCGAGTCCTAGCGACGATCCTCAGCAACAATGTATTGCCACTGCGAGTAATCGTAAACTCATAGAGCGAGTCACGCCGTCGTCTCGGAAGCCACGCATGTCATGTCTAGAGCTGGATAAGCAGGTAGGCTCGGGAGCGAGCCGAGTAGTGTCATCACCGTGGCCGCGACACCGTGAGACACCTGAACCTTTCTGCCTGAAAGGCTGACCCCCTCCACGAGGCGGAATCCTAATTGTCCTGTTCATAAGACAGAGGAAAATGAAGTGGGGCAATCGGCCTGGTCGCTGGGAGTCGGCGGGAGACCAAGGTGCTATCTAAAGCACGCCCAAGCTTCACGCCGGCCGGTTAGTAGTTGGCTGGGTGATCACCAACGAATCCCGGCTGTTGTATGCTTTTGTGTTTTCTTTTTGCCTGCTCGGGCTCCATTGAGTCATTCTGATAAACCATATTATCATCACATTGGTCTTCAATTAAAAAGGGATGTGCTCTGGGCATGTTGCACATACTAGGTACAGTGACCACGGGTGACGGAGAAGCGGAGGGATCACACATATTGACCGGTTAGGAAAGCAGAACACAAAATAGCAAGTTCAAATTGAAGATAATTATCTGTAAATCTTTTTATATAGGCAGGCACTTTGACTTCTCAAGATTCACCTAAAGCCATGGCGCTGTTATGAATACTCCGAATTAAAGTAGGAAGCTTTGCCAAGAGGGAATTATAATTTTCGATAATATCACGCCAGCTACTGACATTTTGACGTATTCGAGACAAATTATATCTAATTTCCAATCAAACAGATGGTGAAAACATTCCTTCGCTGCGACCGACTAAAGCCATTCCAGTCACATTCCATATTAAAACAAAACTTGTAAGCAGCAGATTGTACGATGTAGAAATTAATTGTTCCTACTAGAGGTTTGTTCATTTAGATTTTCTAAATAAATAGCCTGCAGATATGGATACGATATACGGATGTATACTTTCTCCGCCATCCGAATCTCGACAACTCTTTTGCGTGTACTCCGTAAGCTCTGATCGACGGAACTGGTTACTGGGCCAATAATAGGCTGGAGCCCGAGTAATTGTTTTGGCTATAACCTAATGAGGTACTTCATATTGTGAAAGAACCATGTCATGCCCGTCTGGGCTGTAAGAACATGACGACTATATAGATCAATCAGTGGTTATATCACGTCAGGGTACATAGTTCCTTCGTTAATCAATGTCAAATGGCCAGATTGACCTTAAAGCCTTCTCGTCTTTTACCGGCTCCTCACCGTCTGGATTAGCGTTTGTTAAAACAGCCTCTAATATCGCATCAAAGAGTTCCTTGTGAGCTAATTGTGTTTCTTCCTAACTATCTGGAGGTACCCATCCGGCTGATGCTATATTTAGTAGGCCGGACAAATTAGTTCGCAGCTGCTATGCTGCCTTAAAAAGTCTATACTTTTTCTTTTGGTTCTTAAATTCCTCCTGGGTAGGCAGAGGATAAGGATATTGGCCTTTAAATCTTAGCTAATTCTAAAGCTTAACAGTCTTAATTACCTTATGACGCAAAGCTACTGTACTATCTTTCTATATTTAATAGTAATAGCGGAGCTGGCGAAAGAGGGTATTATCCATAAGTCTCAGGGCTGAGAGTTTTGGCGTGAAATATTGCGAAAATAATTTAAAAGTATTAGTATATACCTTACTTCCCGTAGCAAGGTCCGGAACCTCATTAAAGTACCAGAACGCTAGCTTAATACTAATGATTTACCAGTCAATAATACTAGTAATAGTAGAAAAATCATCTTCTAACACGAATATATTCCTCATGTGCAAGTCGGGATAGAATAATAAGGGTGTGGCGGAATTGCTGATTCGAGTATCTATAGCCATTCGCTTTAGCACAGAGCAGGTACGCTCTAGTAGAGCCAAATGCGTTTTAGACAATCCATGGTAGATCGGCTTCCTCTCGGGTTCAGTGTCCACTGGAGGTACTCGTGACAGACCAGCGTCAATAAAACCCTCACAATATTGGTCAATGCTTAGCCCTAATAACCTCGCATGATAAGTAAAGTCGATTCTTAAAGAGGTTTGCGGTATCTTACATGGCCCCTGATTTGCTTTCGCGTGATAATAGTACCTTCTTTTCCCAGCACCAGTGCCCCAGTATCTAGTAGCGCAGTGTGGCCCAATACAGAAGCCATCACCTAAGAGATGTTTACTGGCAGAATCAAGAGTATCATCGAAGTAAATGCTCCCAAACGCTAGGAATTCCAAATCGACGATTTCCCTCATAGTCCGGTAGATTGCATCTATACATCTAACTTGCCGGTCACCAGCCATTTCATACCATTTCTCGCGTAGTGGAACGCGAGTTGCATGCTCCATAATTATATACTCGCTGCCGACGGTATTTGTCCCATCCCTTGCGTCATGATTATAGTCAAGAATCTTTGGTATGGGGATATTAGTGTTCAATTATACTAAAAGTATGGCTTAGTAAGCATGGGTATTCGCTGAGAGATGCAATGGATTTACAGTAACGAACTGTAGCGACTTCAGAAAGAGTGGTTAGCTTCGCAGGCCCTGCCAGGCGAAATAGGAGCTTCACTATGATTATCTTGGCGTTGTCTAGGGTGAAGATGAAGACCCTGTTAAAGCCCCCTTCCACTTTTTAGTAATTCTTTAGAAAACTTGCTCCGGGGCAAAGCTGGATAATCTTTTGGCAGAGAGTCTTAAATCTAAATTAGATGAAGCGCGAATTAGTTTCCAGTTTATTATATCGTAACCACCGGCCGCTCGTGTAGGCATGAGGCTCGTTTTCTAGTCCGTTAACGCGAAGGTTAAACTTGCTAGACGAGCAATGGACTCACCGAGTCTCAACACTGAATTCATCTTAGTCGCCGTTGAAATTGTCGCGCTATTGGCAGGCTGTATACGAGAAGCCAAAGAGGGCGCGGAAAGGAAGGGTGGTGATGAAGGGCGGCTAAGTTGACTTCGTAATGCCCAACATACAGAATGTCTCAATGTCGGAGGCATTGTAGAAATGGATCTCCGTCCAGAGGTTGCCCATGGAACAATATAAACTTCCCCCTCTTGCCATCAGGAACATGAGAATTATCGTTGGTCGCAACCAGGGGTCGATAACTTGGCAGTCACCTGACTCTCAGCCCCGGTGAGGTGGCTTCGTTGGTCAAATTGGATGATTCGGCTAGAAATCATCAGCCCTCGATCAAAAAGGACGCTTCTACTGGTTGAGATGGGCTTCTCTGGACCTGCAAAAAGGATAATTAACACCATTTGTCGATGACGCAGCGATCAACCTGCCTTGCCCGGCAACCTTCGAAGTTCCAACTCCTTCCTTGACCGACCATCTGCGACATGATAGCCCCCAAGATGGCATCATGGGCATGGCGTCCATCCGCGACCACTCCATCTCTTTTGTTTAATACATGTAATATGCCCTCCTCAACTCGTACCTTTCAAAAGGCTTCAACGATGGATGACAATCGTGGACTGTTCGAGTACACGTCTGGTCGATGGATGTGAGTTCCTCAGCGATGCCCCCCTGCATCGCGACTTTTATAGCCTATACGCGCAGATACAACTAAAACATCCGTCTCGCTGAACGCCGTGGGGAGTTTAACGTCGATGCATTAAAAAGCGCAGCTGCTCGCTCATTGCAGCGAACTGATGGAGATATTAAGAGCATGTCAAAGCTGGCCGAAGGAGGTTTCAACCGTGTCCTACAGATTACTATGGTCGATGATAGCCAGATTCTTGCCCGGCTACCGTATTCCTCAACTAAACCGAAAAGCTTAGCGGTTGCTAGCGAGGTGGCGACCTTGGCTCTTCTCCGTGATCATGGTTTCCCTGTTCCTCGCGTGCACGCGTACTCAACAGATGAGTCAAATCCCGTTGGTTCGGAGTATATTATCATGGAAAAACTACCAGGAACGCCACTCGCTGGTTGCTGGTTTGATTTGTCAGAAAAGCAACACCTCAAAGTGCTTCTGCAGCTTGTGCAGTTAGAGGCAAAGCTCCATACCATCGACCTCCCAGCGAGTGGAAGCATTTACTATGCCAAAGATCTGCCATCCGACTCGCCACGCATTGTCATTCCTGACTCAGATTTCTGTATTGGCCCCAGTGCAGCTCTCAAATGGTGGTTTGCAGAGCGTTCCTCGCTTCTTATTGATCGCGGTCCTTGTAAGTGCCTAACACTTTCGCTTTCCTCACCCCTGACCATATAGCAGGTAAAGACGCGATCGATGTTCTCCGCAGCCCTGCCTTGAAAGAGCTGTCCTGGTTGCGTGCGTATGGCCGATCTCGCTTTCCCTTTGAACGTGCGTACCGCGAATCAATGGAATACCGATTGTCCACCCCCAGTGAGCATATTGCTTCGCTCGAAGCGTACCTCGAAATTACTTCTGAACTGCTTGCATCGAATGAATTTTTGCGGCCACTCCTTCGCCACCCCGATCTCCAGCCGAACAACATCTTTGTCTCGGATGATCTTGATATTGTCGGCTTGATTGACTGGCAACATCCATCTGTGTTACCGCTCTTTCTCGCCGCCGGGATCCCCGAATTCGTTCAGAACTATGACGATCCTGAATCACTTGCTTTCCGCCCACCACCTTCTCCAGATCTAAGCGGCATGGACGACCAGGAAAGGGCCGACGCTCTTGTTGATTTTCGGCGTCGCCATACTCACTTCTTCTACTTGGCCTTTACCCAGCGTTTCAATGAAGCCAATTTCCGCGCCATGGATCAGCATACGAACATGCTAACTCGCCGCATCTTTACCCATGCTGGCGAGCCTTGGGAGGGGAATAATGTCCCTCTCCAGGCCGATCTTGTGCTGATCACCAAAATGTGGCACGAATACTCAACCCGCCCGTGTCCGATATCATTCCCCGCGGCTCAAGCTGATTCCATTATGGACTTTCAAAATATGCAGGAAGAAGTTGATCTCCAACTAAAACGCATCCGCAGTTTCATTGGCATAGGTGTAGACGGATGGACCGCTCCGGGTGAATATGAAGTTGCCTGTTCCCGTGCTCGTCAGATAAAAGCTGATGGCCTGGCTTCTCTTGACACCGACCATGAGCGCAAGATGACAAGTCGTCACTGGCCATTCGATGACCATGATGAAGACGAATAAATCCCCCATTGCGCATAATACCAATTACAAATGGGATGCCTGTTCGCTATATAGAGGGCTCGTATCCTGATCTTGGCACTATACGGATTCGATTGGCATTAAAAGAATATATAAAATGGTTACTAATAAGTCAATGAGAACAACCTCCCAATCCCAAAACACTAGAAATGATTTTCAAAGACTATAAGTTATCACCAACTTCTCCTATAAAAGTACCCTATAAGAAATGGTAGCAATAAGACATAAAAGATACTATAGAAGTCTTATAAATACCCGTAGTCAGATAAAGCTCGACATGGGTAGACCAAGGCCAAACCACTCTCTATCTACCTCGAGCCTTTTTCTACGCACGCTGAGCTGAGCCCGCTTGTGCTCTATCCAGTTTCTGCTGCCCTAGATTTACATATATGTGCAACTTAAAGATAATAATACGATATGCCATACTGCAGTGCGATAGCTCTGAATGTGCCAGTGGTAACTCATCCCGTGAGAAGGTTTTGGATATTGATATAAAGCTTTGAGAAGCTTCCAACACCACCCCAGAAGTAAATTTTGGTATTACCACCGTAACGCCTATTTCTAGACCATCCCTTGCATATGTACCAACCAGATATGTCTCTTAGCGACAGCCATACAAATTTCCTTTGCCGCTTTCTCCTCATTCTACAGAAGTTCTCAAGGTGGGCCACTCTTCACCCAAACAGTAATCACAAAAGATGACTGCGCTCACCTTTAGAACTCCAACCAAAGACATGAGCAATGCAATTTACAGCAGAGCACATGTTTCAAAACATGAAGTGAATTGTATGCCCGGCCAAAATCATTCGCTCGACCCAGGCTCCCTATCCACCTCATTGTGTTTATACTGCTCCAGACTATACTTGGCGAACGAGCTCATTTCCCTGATCTTTCTTCCGTAGCAAACCAACATCACTGGACCCACGCAGAACACCGTCGCCAGAGCTGCGAGTATAGAGGTTGCCACGTTGGGCGTGATAGCCGTATACATTCGGTGAGTGAAGAGAGGAAAGACAGCGCAGCACAACGCGCGAAGAAACGCAATGGACGCGAACGCGGACGCCGCGAACACCGTGTAGCTATCGGCAATATAGCCCGCCAGGGTACAGTCGAACTCGTTCGTTGCGTAGCCCACCAGGAAGAGCGATAACATGGACACAATCCAGTGCACGCCGGAGACCTGGGGTGGGATAGTCCATGCGAACCACCACAGGCCAATCGCCAGGAGGGGAGCTCCGATGGCGAATCCGGCGAGCTTGTCTTCCGGTTCGAGGGGCCGGGATTGCTGGAGCCGGCGATTGTAGATGCGCTGGTCGTAAAGGCGGGTTAGGGTGCCGCTGAAAATTCCGAGAGCGAGAGGGATGAAGGAGAGAGAGGATTGTCCGGGTGTGAAGCCGAAGGAATCATACACCACGGGCAAAGCCTCAGTGAATAGATAGAGAAGACCAAATGCTACTGCGCTGAGGACGGAGCAGAGGAACACGATGGGCTCGGTGAAGAAGAGGCGAACGGGGCGGATTAGGGCGACTTGAGCGAAGGTACCGAAATCAGGGGCGTGATCGGGATTTCGAATCTGCAGGTGGATAGTGTCGCCAGACTCCTTGCGCACGTCGTCAACGATCTTGCTGAGGAGCTGACTCGGTCTGCTCTCTTTGATGGCAAGCAGTAAGAAGAACCAGACGCCCGTCACGATGGCAGAGAGGTAAAAAATCCATTTCCAGCCAATCGATGTCGTGACGAACGTGCCTACTATCGGGCCCATGCAGATACCCACGTTTGCTGCGACAGCCCATAGGTAGATCATCCAGATTCTTCGACCGACATCGAAGATATCCTCGGCACTGCCGGCAATGACAATAGTTGGCAACGCAGATGCCAGCCCGCATACAAAGCGACCGACGATGATCATGCCAGTATGAGGAACAGTAGCAATCAAGATACTGGAGATACAGTAACCTGCGGTTGAGATCACAAACAGGTTCTTTCGACCGAAGGATTCTGAGTATGGAGGAAAGAAAACTCCGCCAATGGCTTGCGCTAGCATGTATATCGTGACAAAGCTGAAGAGCGAAAGCGACCTCCCTATTTCTAGCTCGTGGCGTGCCTGTTCGCTGGCCGGAGTTCCCGCCGTGCTGATTACCGTAGTGAAGAAATCCAAGAAGATCAAAAGACCATAGTCATATGTCTTTCGCCATGCAGCCCAATTTCGAGGATGCGCTGGGTTAGTCTTTGTCCAGCGGACATAGTCTTGATCTGCTATCTCAAGTCCATACTTCTCTAGGTATCTGTATAGAGACTGTTGCTCAGGTGGAATCTCAGTGATTGGCAGTACATCGAGGGTGGTGGCATCCTGCTTTTCGGTACTCATGTCCATGGACTGCTGGTGAGTTGGAACTCAAAATTTCGTAACAGAGAGTCTGAAGCAAGTTAAGCTGGGTACGATCTTGAGATTTTTTCGTTTCTCTCATTTCTCAATTTTTTGACTTATACTTTTCTCGGGGCATGCGGGTAGGCCCAGTAAAGAAGAGAATCGAATCGAACAAAGACGGGCCCGGTAACAGGGGTGATTATGAATTTATCCGGGGCAACCTATCAGGCCTTTTTTGAGCCGTTTATTTGCTCTGGGTGGCCAATAATCCCTGCTTAGCTCCGAGTTAGACATATAACAGATCTCGGAGTATAGCCCCTCTGAGAGCCGAATCAAACGTGCCGAGACCGTCGGGCAGTTTCCAAGTCCCAGGCTAGTTAGATGGGACCAGTGAACAAGTCTACCATTTTTGAGGGGTCTAGCGGTCAGCAAGGACATGTCGTCGGCAGTTGTTCCTCCAATCATTTCGTCTACAACTTAGACGCTAAGAAACATGCATGCAGCCTCTACTCCAAGATGTAACCTTTCCCCGGGCCCCTTTTTGATCCTACATTATCCAAGGTTATTTCTCCACCAGCTTAGGTACAGGAAGACTAAACTCTACGCTGATCATTAAGGTAAATTGGTCTTCAACCTCTGAATATGCGTTCGATTCCTTACTCTGTAGCTGATGATCACTACCTGTTGACTTAAGGTCAAAGGAACCAAGAACCTCTCACTCGCCCCAACAGTCCGAAACATTCCTTAGCAAGCGACTGGCCTTGGTTTGCCCTGTCCAACATTCCTAGGAGCAATGTTAGTTGCCTTCTGGTAATTCCCGGGCGCCACTAATCACACTCTGACTTACAGTCATCATAGGCAATCTTGGCGCTGTCGTCGTAGGAAACCTTAGCCGATTCGTCATAAGCCACCTTGGCGGATTCTTCATACGCGACCTTCGCAGGCACGTCTCTCTCGTCATACGATAGCTTGGCCGACTCATCGTAGGCAATTTTGGCCGAGTCGTCGTACACGATCTTCGCGGGCACATCGCGCTCATCGTATGAAAGCTTGGCGGAATCATCATAAGAGACCTTCGCCGATTCGTCGTAGGCTACTTTCGCGGACTCTTCGTAGGCGATCTTTGCGGGGATGTCGCGCTCGTCATATGAGAGCTTGGCCGAATCATCATAAGAAACCTTGGCCGACTCGTCGTAAGCGACTTTGGCCGATTCATCGTAGGCAATCTTAGCTGGAGTCTCGTCTGCCAAATATTATCTTCTGTGTGGATTAAGTCATGGAATAGTCGCTACCAACTTGCAACAGGCAGGGCAAATGCACCTGTCAGGAGGGCAGCGATGAGGGAAAGATTTTTGAACTGCATCGTGAAGGTGTATGAGGGTATCAACACTTGAGGATTTGTATTTCGAGATTTCTTTTTCAGTCAACCTGGGTGTGTAACAGTGCGCTGATGATGGGGTTCTGTCTTAACGCTACATTCGAGGGGATTTGAGCACCTATATATACCTTTTTTCAGGTGTGCTGAACGGGATAATGTCATTCAAAAACCATTTTGCTATAAGCGCAAGCAATGAAATCATGATTCATCAAGACTGGGCATCGTCGGCTCCGAAGACCTGAAGAAACATAGTCAACGCACGACTACCATATTCTCCAGGTCTTCCTCGGGCTCACTTTCCTCTGATAAAGAGCGTGTGATACAAAGAAGCCTCATAGACAATTTAACCGCCAATGGCATTCACGAGCGCACTTCAAAGCACTTCTCCGATCGGCTAGATTTTTGTTTGCTATTCGCCTTCAGCCTCATACTTCAGCATCCCCGCCCCTTCTGACCCCATATTCTATCTGAATGACATGGCGGCCGCCTTCCGGGTCTTCGGCATCAGCACTAGGAAACTGCTGAATGCATGTCAGATCATTCTGCACCAACGGTAGCCCGGGGTCTTGGGATGATAATCATACCCGGCTGAAATCTGCATCAACGTGCAGATGCAACATCGTATAAACCTTGCACATTGCATTGGACATCATTTCCTATCTTTCCATTGGGGAGACGCGCCCCGTAGCCGGAAGGCGTCATAGTTGTCGGGTATGCTTCATCGGCAATATTTACTACGTGCCATCGAGAGCCCCTCCCTCTCTGTCTGGGTGGCCTGATGAGTCCTGTTCAGGCTTTTCCAAGTCCCCTCGTTTCAATGATTTTCTTCTTTCGGTTTCTTCTCAATGCATGTGGCAAAGGCGACTCAGCAATATCAGAGCTCTGGAGAACACAACCTTTTTTATCATCTTTCTTTTGCTATCTATACTGAAATATAGACAGTCATGCTTGCACAAATACCCGACGAGAGCAAAGGCTATCACCACCTTCGCTCATCAGACGATTCCGAAGCCCAACCCGATGATTCCAGCTCCCAAGCCCTTCTATTTGACGGGAATCGGGAAAGCCGCAAACGCACTAAGATATGTCCATGGCCCAGTCGCAATGTCCTCAAAAGCACCGCCTTTTTCCTAGTGACACTCGGAAACGCCGCCATGTTCTTCTCTTCACTTCTCATATTCTCGAAGAGCGACTACTTGTGCATGCAACGTAATGCCATATGGTCTCCGGTATGGGAGGATGTGAGCACTGCCTATACGCACACCCGGTTCAATGGAACACTGGATGCACCGAGCCAGTACCGTGGGCCTCCTAGTAGCGCCGTCGATGAGGCTTGGAGTGAACTAGACAATGGTATGCGTTGCCTCCGCCACTATACCTAGGACGTCAGGATGGTCTAGCTCTCCTGGCGCATGGTCTAATCATATTCTACGCGTAGTCGGTTCCGTTGCCCTTGACGAGGAAACCTTCTTAAGGGCAGGTGGAACAAAAGAGAACGCAAGAATGCCCGATGATCTCGGAGGTACGATTATCTTCCTTGTTATACCTTATGGTTGGGGAATATAGCTGACCATTCACAGGCGGCTATATGGCCGACATTGAAGTTCTCCACCAAATGCACTGTCTCAACTTTGTTCGCATGGCAGTCTACGCAGAGCATTATCGTGATATTGCGCCTGAGTGGCGAGACTCCAACCGTACTTTCAACATCCATCTAGGTAATCCAGCCTTCAGTTTAAAATGACATAAATTTAAGATCATTCGCTAAGATATCGAAATATAGATCATTGCATCGAAATGATTCGCATCAATCTACTCTGCCAAGCAGACGGTGGAGTGATTCCGTTCCGATGGGTGGAGAACTACCGGCGCCCGTTGCCCGACTTCAGCACCAAACATAAATGTCGGGACTGGCAGGCTGTGTTGCAATGGGCCAAGGATCGACAGGTGACTGTTCCTTCTCATTACCCGTGGAAGCCCCAGTCTTGGGAAAAGGTCTTTCCGAAGCCTACGTGGATGGTGGATGGGAAGGCAAATGAGCATGAACATGGGCATAGAACAGAGGGGATGTAAATTCATCGTAATTATGTCTCACAGTGCACGGATCCTTTTAGTTTGACAATTACGCATTCTTTTGATAGCGTTATATAGATATGAGGCTGCCGGAATTGCGGCGTTGCGCATCGAGGAGGAACTTCGACATAGACTTAGAATCCTGCGCGATCCCAAGTAGCTATGCCATGGCTTACGAATGGTAGGTTGAATCTAATTGGTGTCAACTTGAAGTGATCAGGCTTAATATTTTGAGGCAGCATAAGCAATATGTACATGTACAAACGTCCCCTCTCTATCCAACCCTTAGCGTAGTAGCGCTGTATGACACGTTTCCTCCAGATTTACCATCCACCATGGTGCTAAGGAGTGTTAGCAATTTCAGGTTCATGCAAAAAAATCACAATTGCACTACTTACTCCGCCGGGAGGTCCATGGTGACCATGACCGCCATGCGGGCCTCCAGGGGGGTCTCCAGGGGGACCGCCGTAAGGACCACCCGGAGGACCACCAGGAGGGCCACCGTGAGGGCCACCGTGAGGACCAGGGCCGTGAGAACCAGGGTGACCGAAAGAGCCGGGAGGTCCATGATGGCCAGGGGGGCCGTGGTGTCCAGGAGGGCCGTGGTGTCCAGGAGGGCCGTGGTGTCCAGGAGGGCCGTGGTGTCCAGGAGGCCCCTGGGGACCTGGGCTATTACCCCAAGGACCTCCGGGACCGCCTGGACCAGGTTGGCCCGGTTGCCCCCAGCCTTGTGGATTGGGAGGGCCTCCTTGAGGCCCAGGAGGAGGGGGCCCTTGGGGCTGGTGGTGATCAGAGTGATGATGGTGATGCGAGAAGAGGCCCATTGTGAGTGAGAGGGTTTCAGTGATTTATTGCTAAAGGAAACGAATCTGGTATGCCTGGTCGCGGTCTTGGGTTGATATAGGTCGCTGTCTGCATCGGCTCTGCCCTACAGGGTGACTAAAGCTGTGGAGTCAAACGTCGTAATGTGGCGGATTGATTAAATCTGGCTAAGCTCAGCCTCGAATTGCGTTGCGCCTTACGAGATGCCAATTATGAATATTGCTGCCTGCTGCAGACCATCTCTACTTCACATTATGCATTTCCTGAAGGACGTGTTTGGATGAATTGGGGTCGTGCATTGTTGATACAGACTGGGGCGTGGTATCGATGCTGGTTACCAAATTTCAACACGACTGCATTCTCGGAACCCCTCTGAACCTGGTACAGTTGCTCCCTACATACATGGCTGAGTCCATATCCGCCGTTTACACTACCGGAGATGGATTGCGCCGATGTGGATAGAGGAATACGTATGTCTTCCCAAACAGGCTAGCGCGGACACGCCCTATTTATGGATCTATCTCGGACAAACCGTCTTAATTAATTCTAACTGTTAACTAGTGGCAGTAGTTTCAAGGCTAACCTTTCTGCAGCCTAAATTAAATCTGTGGGGACTATGGCCAGTCAGCCACCGTGGCGATGATATGATCACTTTGTTGGTCAAGTGGTATCAATTGAATCCGTTCACACTTCCTACTGCCTTATTCCTCCAGGGTCGCATTTGAATATTCTCGCCAAGGGCTTTTGCGTATTGCTTGTTTGGATCACAATATCTATCTTTTGTGGGACCTGTTTGGCAGCATCATTGTTGGTAGCAATTGAAATGGCCCAGGTCGAGAATACCAAGGTCCATTTTTACTCCCATATATCAACTCAGTCAGTACTAAGTGAACCGCCATGGTTAAAACTCCTAACGGTCTTTCCAATGTATTTCAAAAACTTTACGTGTTTTTCCTTGTAGTATTACATATAATCGGTCATGATTGCCCTCGTTTTGTTGACATACCTAAAAGAAGGGAAACGAGTAACGAGTATCTATCCAATGGGCACAATCGGAGAGCCCTGTTCTGTAGTTGACCTTTCTGATATAGATGAAAAGTTAACATGGAAAATACTGATAAGGACGATGACCGTTCGTGACCAACGTATGCCTGCGAGCCGGATTTTGACATTTTGCTTTGAATCTCGCCCATTACAGGGTCTCGAAAAACACCGAGATTTACGGTCAAGTGCCATGTGCTGAGAAACAGATTTCGAATCCAGGATCATTGGAATCTCTAACATCGCTGGAGATGACTAGCTCATTGTTAGAATATCGGCCATCCAGAATCGAGATTACGTAAACAGAAAGTTGTTTTCAATCTGCTTACAATAGCAAACTGACAAGAGGCTGTAACTGTATAATAGCAAGCGAGGTCCAGTACCTCATCACAGGTATTATTGTTGTAGACAGCAAACAAGGAATTGTAAGAGCGAGGCCTTTTATGCATAGAATTACCCAGTAATGAGGTTGGAGATTACTATGATGATTGAATATACATGTAGCTAAATATTCTTCAATTTGAATGGCTTGTAGGGCTACGATCCGTCCTATGTTATGTTTTAGTGACCCGTGAGACTGGCTCTCCACATATCCCCGTCTTCGCAGACGACAGGACTAGGAATGCCTAGTGTGCAAAAAGCCATGCAACAGGAAAGATAACCTGAAGGAACATATGCGTCGAGTGCATCAGACAACTCTTTGATATTGTAGAGAACTGATCCTGCCACCTCTACAGGCTGTTCAGAGGGATTAGGGGACACAGTTAGTCTGCACTTTTGCGGTTCTCTTTGCGTTAGGGCTTCGATTGCATGTGACTTGATTCTAAAATTGGTACCGTGTTCATGAACACAATAATCAAGACAAGTTCTTTAATGTTTCATTTAAGTCTAGTACTATTATTTCCTTCTCCATAGTTACCAAGTTACAAACTATTTCTGTTGACAATGGTATTCATTTCTGATCTGCTTGTCGTGATGGCTTTTCATATGTACGGGGGAGCGTTGGTTTTTCTAGGTCGCATATCAATCTTTGGGCTGCTTATTCATTCGCCTCCGGTAACTAGTTCCCCTTTTCAGGACTGCCAAAGCTCGCATAGGCAATAGGATTGTGGCTTTCTACTTTCTGCTTCCACTCGGCTTAGTGCTTCTACGGCTGAAAACCCCGCAGTGGGTTCTTGTATATCTCCACGATGGCCCTACCCGATATTTGTGTTGACAATTGTCCCGAAAACTTTCACTCTTCATGATCCGGCTATTTAAAACTATTTCACAGACCTAATACGATTCAGTTGAGGGATCTTGGCATAAATCGCTTGGTACGAGCCCTTGCTTTGCGAAGGCGTAGATCTGCCCCCTAAACGGCAATCAGCTCGCGCAGGAGTGCCCGGCGGTAGTAAGGGGGCCTGCTCCGGCGACACAGGCGGTCTCGTGGTGGATTCAGCTGGTATTCTGGTTGGAATTATACCTCATGCCAAAGGATGTGCTCAGGTCAGTTACCCAATTGTCGATGTTCGAGTCGGTGCTGACCCGGATTCGATCAACTGTAAATCGGCTTAGGCGTCTTGTGAGATAGGCCATGGAGTTAGTTCAGTGGCTCGGTGCATTTGGGATTCAATCGGTCCAGGCGTATTTGTTTGGTGCTTTCTGTTCTCTTCGCTATATGTGTTAGGAAATATTAATATTATCAGCGTGACCTGTACGAGAAAGTGTATGCTGCAGAGCATGGAAATCATGACAGGTCTTGAACATCATACTTAGACCCTTAAACTAACTAGCAAGACACCAGAGTAATTAATAATCACTTTATTCCTCCTGCAGGTAAATTCCGCACTACTATCTCTCTCCGGCACTCGCCACCGGCAGTCCACATCTCGCCCTCGATATACGAACGCAATTAACTCCGCGGTGGGGCTCCGGAATTATGGAAATAGACTAAAAACAGCGACGCTGGCCCGCCACTGGATGATTCCACGGAACTGGGTCCGGATTTAACTCGAAGAGCGAGTGTCAGCTCCACCGGGGATTTCTAACGTCCAGTCGGAAAGGATCTCGGGACTGGGGGAGTCGCCATGTGGAGAGCGCTCCCGAGTTGGATTTAGGGTTTCGTGCATAAGATCTCTCTGTCGAGAGAGAGAGGACTTACGCTTTTTCAAACTTCTTTCTTTGCTCCTGTTTCTCTGTCGCATTTTTTGGGATTTTATAGTGAAGCACGGTTTTCAGATCCGAAGATGAAAGTAACGCCTCTTCTCATCCACGGAGAAGATACGCTTCTTTCTCCCCCCGACAGACTCGACTCATGTTCCGCTTCCACGACGCCCTTCCAAGGCGTCACTCCTGATTTAGCTCTCCAAGCTGTCAAATCCTCCGAACAGGCGTTCCCGTCCTGGTCCAAAACACCTCCTGCTCAACGCCGCCATCTGCTCAACAAAGTCGCCTCTTTGGTTGAGGAACGATCAGATGAACTCACCCAATGCATGCAAGAGGAGATGCATGCGCCGACGCTCTGGGCCAAGCTCAACGTCCAGGCGGGTATCGACCTGCTGAGAGAAACGGCCGGCTTGATTTCGGATTCTATGGCCGGCCATGTCCCTGTCTCGCAGGGTGATTCGTATGCGATGGTGCTCAAGGAACCCTTGGGAGTTGTCTTGGCGATGGTTCCATGGAATGCTCCTGTGATATTGGGGCTAAGGGGTGTTGTGGCGCCTTTGGCGGCGGGAAATACAGTTGTTCTGAAGGTAATCCCCCTTTTCGAACTGCATCTGCATATAATTGAATAGGGACTCGACGAGCTGACTCCTTCAGGGCTCCGAACTCAGCCCCCGAACCCACTATCTTCTAGCTTGTCTATTCCGCGACGCTGGCGTCCCCCCTGGTGTCGTAAACTTCATCCTCCACCGTCCAGAAGACGCAGCTGTGACCTTCGAAACTATGATCGGTCATCCGGCCATTCGCAAATGCAACTTCACTGGCTCCACGAACGTGGGCCGGATCATCGCCTCCAAGGCCGCGTGGGCACTGAAGCCCGTGCTGCTTGAGCTTGGAGGGAAGAACTTTGCGCTGGTGTTGAACGACGCAGATAGTGAATTCGCAGCGGGGGAGATTGTAAAAGGTGCGTTTTTGAATGTATGTTATCCCCATCCCATGTGCCAGTCGAGCTGTCGATGAGTACATACTAACGTGACCGTCTAGAACGGCCAAATCTGCATGTCCACGGACCTGGTCTTCGCTGTCGGTGATATCGCGGACACCCTGGTCCCAGGGATCCTGTCACACTTGGAAACCATCAAGGACACGCACACTGTCATTTCGCCCGCTAGCAAGCAGCGTCTGCAGCTTCTTGTCGACGACGCTCGCGCAAAGGGCGCATCCATCCATCAAGCCAAGGTACCTGCGTTGCAGGACGCCCAGTTCCCAGCGACTGTCATCGAAGGCCTTACTCCGGACATGGAATTCTTCTCGAATGAGTCCTTTGGACCAGTTGTTGGCATCGTGCGAGTCCAGACGGAGACGGAGGCGATGGATCTGATTCAGCGGTCTACGTATGGGTTGTCGGCGGCGATATTTACCAGGGCGCATTTCAAGGCCCTGAAGCTGGCTGAGTCGGTTCGTGCAGGCGCGATTCACGTTAATGGGATGACGGTGCATGATGAAGCGACTTTGCCGCATGGAGGACAGGGCGAGAGTGGATGGGGGAGGTTTGGAGCGAAGTGGGGCATTGAGGAGTTTTTGCAGACGAAGACGATTATTTTGAATCCTTAGTTGCATGTATCAAGCGTTTGAGAGGTCAGCATGTAGATTGTTTGCATGAAAATGGAAAGTTCTAATCATATCTAAGACAGCCAAGGAACTGAATATTCAGGTCATGGTAAGAGAGACGCCAATACAGAACCTCACATATGGCTTCTAGTCTGAAGCTCGATCTCATCACTCTGCGCGGGCGACAACGGCTCTTTTCCCGTATCCTGTGGTAAGAACCAGCCAGGATGAATGAAGTTGAAGACAACCACCGCCAGAACCATAGTGATACCATCCAGGCCGATAAAGAACCACTCGGTTGTGATCAAATACCCCTTCCAACCTTCCAGCAGCTCGATTGTACGATAGATACTTCGGATGTAGATGACGACAACCGAGAAAATGGTCGCCACAACCAAATAACGCATGCGAGCCGTGAACCTTCGTCGTAGATGAGGCTTTCGCGAACGACGAAGAAAGTCCGCCCCGCAGATCACAAACGCAGTGATTGATGCCATCTGGAAGACAATGCCCGCCACCATGATGTAAGTTCCTGGCTTGGTGTCCCCGTTTATTTTGCTGGCTTCTGTTGCGGCCGTTCCACCACCAATGGCCTGGACGACAAGCGAGACCACGTCGCAAGTACAGAAGACCCAGAGGTAAGATCGGGGACGGAGGAAAGAGCTTTCTGGACCGACAACTCGGATGAGACTGCCAAGGAGGACGTAGATACCGGCAGTGAAAAACGTAGGCGCTAGAGATGTTAGGTTCAAACATGGAGATAGGAGCTAGGCTTCTGGTCTGCGTACCTATAACGAGGGTGGCCAATTGCATCAGAAACGCATCCATCGCGTACGGACACACGGCCGACCAAGTTCGTGCTCCCCATCCCAATACCTCAGCTATATCCTGTCAGTGGGGGTCTAGCGCCGTAGTCATTGAACAACGTACTCAAGCAACCCACTGAAAACACGGCGCACCACCATTGACGCTTCCAGACGAGCTGGATGGTATGTACCACCATAGACAGTCCGAAGCATGTCAGAAAGATAATCCCCGCGGGTAATGACGGCTGATATTCATAGGGCGTGTCGATGCCTTGAACCAAAGCATGGCAGCCTTTCTGGAGAGATTTCGGGTCCATGATTGATTGTTTTTCAGGGGAGGTTTAGTCGCGCGTGTATAGATGGGCACCGCAGGAAATAGTATGCGAAGTTCTTCTATCCTGGTTCTGGGAGGGTCTCGAGTCATAAGTGCGGAGCTTTGAAGAATTGAACGACATTGTATTACGTCGCTGCCTGGTTACACCAAGGGCTTTCCACGCTAGGGATCCAACAGCATTGTCTGACTCGTGCATATAGAGGAGGATTCCGCTTCACTGATGTCTAGATAGGATGACTCAGCCAACCCCGAGTACCGAGGGCCCGAGACCGACCACCGAGTACAAGAACAGGAAGCGAAGGCCAAGTGAAGGCCAAGTCGTCCTTCGAATAATGGTGCCTGGAGCGGAGTTAAGTCTCGGTGGTTCTTCAGTCATATTTTGGCCTCATCAATCACTGGAAATTTCCTTCCTGGTTGTCTTTATAAAAGCGGTGCACGCCTTATGGTTAGGAGGATGGCAAACGCGATCACATCACGTAGCCAACCATGAGTTCTGTGCTGACAATGGAAGGGCAATCATCTGAGGAACTGAGCGATGCGGATCATCGATCAAGGTTTGTCTCAGGACATGGAAATTTCCACGAAATGCTAACCTCGCCACTCCTGACAGCAGCTCGATTAGCGACGTCCCAGCGAACAAACCCTTTTTCATCGCCCACGCTCCCCCACCGAAGCTCCGTCAGCGTCTCCGTTTGAAACCGCGACTACTCCTACAAATACAAACAGCATCGGCGACCCGTCATGCGCGTCCTGTTCTTGAGCTTTGGAACCCCGGTGCCTTCGGTCCTCGAGTCGCAAAAGCCATTGGGCCTGTCAAGAAATTGGGCCCTAAAGACCTTTACATATTTCGATGCGATAATAAACCACATGATGGTATGCCGATTAGCGAAGAGGGTTGTATGGTTGCGGCTGTTCGACCTTTTCGAGCCAATGGCGCAGACGGCAATGCCTTGATAAACTTTTTGGGGGGGTGGATAGGCCGAGCATCAAGTTCTGGCGAAGGCCAGTATCAATGCGTTTGGGAGAATAGCGATGGACAACAGTTGACAATGGAATCGTGCCTTTCTGGCGGGAAAGCAGCTGAGGATAGGAGACATGACATCCGACAGTCGGGAGCTCGTGTACATCATCGTGTGTTTGCTTTTATGCACGATAAGAGCATTTCTGTCGACTGCGCAGAGCTCCCGGGAGACGCTCACTCATCAATGCTGCTTGACCTCGCTTTAGTCTTTATTCTCTGGATATCAACACAAGAAGCAAGATTGCTATACTCCTGGTCTTTTCATCGGAGCCTCCACTATAGAGTGGCTGTGCAATTTCTAGTCGCTTCTTTTCTGCTGTGACTGCATGATCGAATTGCAGGGCAAGGCTAGACGGTGTCGAAAAGGAAATACTGATCAAAAGGAACGGATGTTCCAAAGAGATCCATTACATTAAACCCTGGAGGAAACCCAACTTCCGGTGTCATATTGTCAAACGAAGAAAGATGAAGAGGCGTTGATTCTTGTGTATCCAATGGGGCCGAGATTCCGTTGGCGACCTAAAACAATGTTAGCATGATCGACAATGGAACATGGCAAACACACCTGAGTTTCCAATGCATATGGCCTCGACTCGAAACTAGGCTCTTCGTGAGGCAGAGGATGACCCGCGGTGGTGGACACGGATTGATCTTCCTCCTTTTGGCATTGGTAGCTGCGAACGAACGTCCGAGCTAGATAGGCAAACTCAGCCAGTATGGAGCTAGGTAACGAGCCTCCGGTGACATATTCAAGTCTACTGAAATGGCCTCCCGCTACCTCTAACAACGCTAGGTTGCTAGATGTCTCCGAGTGCGCTGGATTGTGAACCACGAAGTCGAATAAGATGAACATTGCTGTTAGAGGCAAGAGAGCAAGTATGCTTTTGCATATTAGTTACAGGTCTCGATCAAGAGCAGGAAGCACTTACTAGACTGGTGTATACGATTCCATGTCGATGTGCCGGCATAATTCAATGATAGATCGGGTCGCTTGCATTAAAACCTTCTTGCTTCTTATCTCGCGCGGCCCGTTCCGGCGCTTCCCCAGCTGCAGAGTTAATCGACATAGCGCAATCAGTGCATCATAGTAATAATAGTGCGTTCGCAGTGCAATATGTATCTCAGACGCGTTATGAAATGACTGAGCTCGGAATTTCTCCCCTGGCCGGAAAGGTAAAGGGATCGATTGCCGCCAGCGCTGAAGAAGTTCATTCATCACATCCAGTTTTTGGTAACAAATCTCCTCGCTATTCCGAGTTGCACTAAGAGAAAAGAGACCTTCATATGCCCTTGAGGCGATGCGGGCAAAGCCTGCAGAGGCAAGAAGCCAGTTGTAATCACCGAATATTGCCTCTGGGACGGTGGGAATAGGACATCCGACGTTACAATCCATAATAACCTTTCAATGTAAGTCCACATGCCAACACAGTAACTATGGATCTTAACATACCGAGGTTTTCGAGTGGGTAAATGCTAATGTTTTCTCCAGTATATAGATGACCCAGAATGTGCGGTACCTGGCATCACGATCGGGCCTTTTTGAGGCCTCATTCATCTCCATACTTTGGGCTATTCTAGCTGCCTCTGTGATAAGCAGACTATCTATGTGCATGTAGGAGAGGTTGAGCGCAAATATAGCCTTTTGAGATTAGCTCGAAAATCATAACGTTGGAGTGGTACGAACCATCGCTGTAAGTGCCTAAGTTTGGTTAGTGAAAGCGAGACTCAGGGATACTTCTTGTCACTTACTTGCACGCTCACAAGACTCTTTTTACTAATTATTATATCTGGAAACAGGCTCAGGGCCATTTGATAAAACTTCCACGCCTCTCCTTTGCGTGGCTCGAACGCACCACCTCCATGATACTGACATCCTAGAGCGAGGACCGTATAGTATAGTGCAGTCCAATGTTTATCTGCTGCTAGGTCTTCTGCCATCTCTGGTAGTGAAATCCTCTGTTCAAAGACAGCTCTATCCAGAAAGGGATAGACTGGGTGGACTTGGCTAAAGTATGCTGGTTGAAGTATCTGATTTCAGTATAGTTATTGGGATATCAAGGCTGGTGGGAACATACTGTTGACGTATACTCTTGCAGTCTCCGTCGAAACAACAGGAAGTTCATCTGGCTTAGCCCACATGGTAGCAACAATCGGATCGCTTTGGAAACGCTCATAGCGATCGTCAATGAATCTGGAGACTCTTTCTAGTACTCGTTCGAGCCCATTGTTACCCAACTTCTTTGAGATTGCCTGGATTCGGCTCTCTGAAAAGTATGCTACACTCGCACTGGCGACTGTTTCAAGTGTCAGAGAGGAACCCTTGACAAAGCGTTCATAACTGCTTACTATGATTTTCATCTCCCTGGTATGACATCAGAATAGGTTTAGGATCAATAGCATTACGATGGGCTTACCTTGAATGGTATGTCTAAATCATGTGCCTGGCCTGTGGCTTCTTGATTCTCGATGAGGTAATCTATATAGAGCGACGGTTGGTCGACCGTCGCTTGTGTGCCGTTGCCATGGGGTGGCGGTAGTGTGGGAATTGGATCTAAATTATCAATAGAATGATGCAGGAGTCCCAAAATCCGCGAACTGCTACTTACTGTGTATTGACGAAGGAGCTGCATCCTGGCTAGCAATTACATCATTTTCACGGCTGTCGCAACTCTGAAGTCTCTCGGGCGAGCAATTCTCCGAGGTAATAAATTTTCTCTTGGAAACCCTGAAATTGCATCTTTCACCTCGTTTCTAGGCAATGTTAGGGCTGGATTGGATCGAGCAGGTAAGTCCTACCATGCAGTTGGCACACTCCGCATCAGTTTCTCCTGATCCTATCCATTATTAGTGACACTTTCGCCGTTTCATCAAAGGGGTTTGACATACGTATACAACGGACTTTACGGGAGCGACAACGATCACACGTCTTCGTCAATCTCTCGTGGAGAACTGTGTCGGGCATCGTTTCGTGGCTCAATTCGGAGACAGGAAGCGCGCGGAAGCGATCATCGCAAGACGGCTGTCTCATTGCGGATTTCACCGCCTTTTTCATGCCTGAGGCTTGAACATAACGGCAACCCACTAACTCACTTAGGAAGCTTTCTGCCTGAACCCAATGCTGGCTGCCTTAGACATCTATATTCTGGATTTGATGCAGAAGTTTACGTTTCATCCTCTCTCAACGTGTTGAATCTTCTATTTTCATATGATCTCATTATATCAAACTCACTCTATCATAGCACCTTTTTCTGGTTTCAACTATAAACAACTCTGAGCCTTCTTCCTTCTGAGGAGTCCACTCCGCAGAACCCGACACTTCCCAAGTCGCTGGGTGAAATGAATTCTGTGCTACATATTGAATTCCGAGGTCAGCTCTGGAAGATAAACGTAACAGATGCCAGGCATTAGAGCTGAAATTAATCCTTCAGACAGGTGTAACAGATAATCTTCTCGCTATCGGTCTTAAGCAAATCCAATAGCTTCATTTCGGCGAGTGAAAACCTCATCATAAAGTAGAGACATTGAAACAGAAATGTCAACAAAAAGGGAATCACTCACTGCCTTACTTGCTTGTATGAACATATTTTTATCTTTCCTTCTGTGTACTCAATTCTTTCCAACAGGCCAGCTCCTTGAGATTGTTCCTAGCCCTATTTATACCTCGGTCATGATCTCCCTACAATCACACTTGAACATGAATTCATCTCAGTACGACCGATTAAGACCAATAATCAGATTCATTCATTCTTTTGATCTAGCTTCATGACTCACAATCTTCATCCGAGGTGAGTCAAGCGCTTGTGGAACATAGTAACTTCTCGGCACACAGGCAGCTCGTATTTGTTGGCTTTCAAATGGGCAGTATTATCTTAAGCTCCACCGGGAGGTAGTACATGCTACAGAGTAAGATGCGGGCACTGCTTCGGGAATATGATCGACATATACAGCCGTTGACGCCGATGGGATATGTAGTTTCAAAAAGATCTGCATCGCGATACTATGCATACTACCAAACATCTCACGGATCTTGGAATAGTAACTCAACGTAATCGAATATCGACGTTCTGCACCCAGTTCCCCAGAATCATACAGTTCAGCATAACTATAAGCTCACATTTTCTTTCAACACAAGATTTCCACCCGCCCTTTCACATCATATGCAAAGAATAAAACTCCGCATTGTCTTAACAGGACACGTGCGTGCCTTCGATTAGGGCTTATCGATCAATCCGAGGACAATAGATAAGAGCATTTTCGTATAAACCGACCTCTTATCCTCTTTCCAGAGACCGGAGAGAATTGTTGGCTCTGTGGCTGTAAAGACCCTGGTTCTACCAAAATGCAGCTGTGAGGCGGAGTAGGTAGGGTTCGGCGCTCGGTGTTGGAGTCCACCTAAGGGGAGGCTTGGCGGTCCCGAGACCCGAGGATCCACTCCGTACACTTGTGGTATTGCCCACGCGTTTCATGGATAGCTGGATCAGGGTCTATGGGGTCTAGAACTAAGATGTATTTGCTCGTGGCCTTGTCTGTTATATGAAAATAAGCTACGGTTTGTTCTACAGATATTATCATAACGGCAAAATATAATATATAAATAGACACCTCCATTGGATTTCTACCCAGTCAAGTAGGATGAGCAGTTATAGTCATGTTGTCTGGACATTAATGCCTCCAGGATGTATTTTCTTTCGGCTTTTCTCTTTGTTATGGTATGTTCAGGTGTTAAGATGATTAGGATAGTTGAAGCACTACGAAAGTGTCAATAGTCTCAATTTATATAGCCACTCACCGGGTATCTAAAATATACATTTTAACTATCGGAATTCGAAAGAATAACCAAACCAGTCTTTTACAATGCAGAGATAGTAAAGAACATATATCACGTATAGCTCACAACTCACCCAAACTAACCTCCACCCCATCCAAACCCATTGTTGTTACAATCTGATCCATCCACGGCGTGATAGGCGGACGCTTCGTCTCAGGCGTAATCAACGACTTGATCCGCAACTGGGCCTGACCCGGAGAATCGGGCGGAGTTAGCAGCGACCTATCACCCTCTGGAGATAATGAAGCTGAAGAGGAAGCGGACGGTGACAGCGATGGCGACGGAGGGATCTGATCCTCCAACAGCCGAACCTCGTCCTCCACAGCCTCGCGCTGACTCGGATCGAGAATCATAACACAATAATTAAGAATTCTCAACCCCGACCGAATACCCCTATCGAATAGAGTGGAGTAGCGATCGAAAAACACATGAGGCAAAGGGCCGATAAATTCCCGCGTCGAGGTGCCCTGCCGACGCTTCTGTCCGGATCGCAACATCGACACCGCGACGCCGAATTCCGTGCGTATGCCGCGAAGAGCTGCGCGTGTCGCCTGCACCTCTTGCAGCAGCGCCGGCCGAAGCGCGGTTTGCTCCTTGCCAGATTTACAGCGCAGCTCGCGCACTTTTTTCACGTGCCCTGGGATTCGAGTCACCACGAGACTTCCGCGCTCGACGACGTCCGTGTATAGCGACGAGTCGGGTAGTTTGGCATTATCAGAGATGATCTGTTCGTTGAGAGCTTGCCATTTGGGTTCCTCAAGGAAGCACGCCTCACCGGAAATAAGCGCGTGGGTAATCAAAAAATGTCGATATGCCAAGTACAGGGCGCGCCCAAATCCGTGGACGTGCGCAGCGGGTCCGCGGAGTTTCATAAGAGTGCGGATGCCGGCGGCGTGGCGCAGCCAGGCGTCGGGCTCGGTGCAGTGGTGTTTCTCGTAGATGGCGAGCGAAATAGCAGTGGAAAGGCATTCGTCGGATTTCGCAGTGTCGGGGTCGCAGAGGAGGACTGCGAGGCCACGCAGCGCGCGCAGGTAGAGGTCCCGTCCAGCGTGAGTGAATCGCGCATCGTGATACAGAGCTCCCATGTAGGCAGACGTGCAGGAACGCAGGGCCCAGTCAGCTGGGGAAGAGCCGGGGGAACCGCGGCGACGGTCGACATATTCGATCCAATTGACGGGGACTTGTTTTTCGGTGCATTTGAAGTAGCAGGGGAAGCAGGCGAGGATGTAGTTGGTGAAGACTTCGGTTTGTTGGTCGGCGAGGGCGGTGGCGGTTAGCGACGGAGAGACCGTCTCGTCGATGAGGAGCGAGAGCGGTTGGTAGTTGGCGATAATGCGCCCTGTGCGAGGAATCTCAGCCTGCTGGGTGGACTTGGGAAGGACATGGGATGAGGGTGAAGGATCTCGCGATGCGACCGAGCGGGTGCGACTCGGGTCTTTGCATCGCGAACAGGCAGCCCGGCCGTCACACTAAATCCCAGTTAGATCAGAGTGCGATCACAAGCATTAGGCATCTGCCGATGTGAGATATAGATTCCACGATCTGATTGCCGGCTCCACTTCTCTGCACGTCAGATCCTGGAGTCTTGGTCGGTGTCTTCGGGTCGGACAGCGAGAGCACGAATTTGCCACGCCGTCGCGATCGGACTGAACCCTGGAACCTCGAAGAAATGTGGAGGGACCGAGTGGAAATCCCAGAACAAATGAAAACAAATTACGCACCTGAGCGTGCACGCAGTTTTGAGAGTGCGGACCTCTCCGCATACTGGTCGCTCATATAGTAAAAGATGACCAATGTCCTCGTATCCGGAAGCGACGGCATCGAGGAAATCGAATCCAGCGATCCGACGGGAGAGGAAAAGGAAAAGAAGGGCTCAGACGTCAGGGAGTCAAGCTTGGTGGAGACTTGGACGAGCGAAGGTTCGGCCATCGACCCAACGGACCATCCTTAAGGTGGTTTTAGCCCCATCGACTGCAAGTGACTGGAAAGAAGAATAAAATGGGCCGCCAGACTAGAAATCTCAAGCGCCACTGACTAACACCACCGTACATTTAAGGGCCGTCTTATACAAAGTGCTATCATTCTCGATCTCCATGGCTCGCGCCATCGCCTGCCTATGCAAGTACAAAGCCAATCAAACAGAGCATGCCACCGGATTTTAGTCTTTCAGCCAGGAATCACAAAGCGAAGCAGATAAATATAGAGCACAGAAAGTAATATATCAGGTCAATGTAAAATGTAACATGTCATGCAACCGTAAATCGCCATCAATCTCAGAGACACATGGCGGGTCGTGGCACGGGGGAGAAGAAACAGTGATGGGAATCCTAAAGACGCAAATGACCAGGAAGGAAAAGGTGATGAAAGGAAGCCGGAAAAGGAAATGTTCAAACTGCGCCGGATTCGCCAGGATAGAAGAGAGGAAGAAACCAGACATACCAACTGGTCGTCCGCTATACCAAGCCGTCATACAGCGACAAGGCACTGACGATCGTCTCGTCCCGCTTGCTCCCCTCCTTGAATTCCTCCATGTCGAGACTGCCGTTCTCGTCCTTGTCCATCATGCGAAAGATCTTGCGAACGCGTTTCTCGGGGGTGTCTTCGTCCTCGGGCAGTTTCACCATCGAACCCACCTAAGCCGGTCAGTCAAAAAAAAGTCTAACACTCGACCCGAGATCCACGGAAACATACCATCTTGTAAATCGCCTCCACAATCGCCAGCATTTCATCGTACGTGATCTTGCCGTCGCCGTCGATGTCGTATAATTGGAAGGCCCAATCCAGCTTATCCTCCATCTTGCCCCGCGACGTCACCGACAGCGCGCAGATAAACTCCTTGAAATCGATCATGCCACTGTTATCCGAATCGAACACGCGAAATACATAATTTGCAAATGATGACGGATCGCCGAAGGGGAAAAACTGTCGATAGATCTTCTGGAATTCTTCCTTGGTCAGGGTCCCCGAGGGGCAGTCCTTGAGAAAGCCTGCCCGAATGTTAGCCACCCACATCCCCCATGTATCTTGAGATCGGACCGTTCAGACTCTAACGCACCCTTGTACCACTGCTGCAACTCCTTTTTATCGAAATGGGTCGCCTTCTGGAGCTCGTCGAGCTGCGAGGGGGACAGTTTTGACTGACTAGAGAAAGCGATCGTTAGCCAGCCGGGCGACTTGGAAGCGATCGACCGCGCGGGAGAATATTCAAGGCCTGCGAGACCGGATCGCCCATTTCGATCGGTCGCAGCGTCCCGGCCGCATCGCACATGGCGCATGCGTTGCTCGCGACCTTTGTTTCCGCCCTTCCCGAACGGGTATGCGGAGCGACCGGAGGGCCAGTTTGAGCACTTACGACTTGCCCATTGTCACAAACGCAACACAGAAACGAACAACGGTGTATTCCGAGCGAGAATCACGAAGAAACGGCGCAGAAAAACCGACAGATCGAGGATCGAAAGGCGGAAGATGTCATGCGCCCACGCAGGAATCAGCTGAAACGGAGCACGGAAGAGGCGCGGGGTAGTCGAGGTTGGTTGGGATTGATAAGATGGTGCGCCGCTGGGCCGAGGGGCAAAAGTGTCGGACACTTATGCAAAGGGACCGGAGGGGGGCAACGGGGAGAGTTGATGGAGATGCAGGCGGGCGAGTCTAGTGCAGGGGAAGCGATCGAAGAAGCGGATTAGTGCACAGAAGAAGAATGGAATCAGAAAGAGAGTCGAGGCGATTGCGAAAGATCCGCCCGTGGCAAGGCGGTCCAGACCTCCGCCGGCCTTGGCACGGATGGCATTAAATGGCTTAGACGATAATCCACGACGAGAATACAATGGAATGAGATTACGCAATGCCCTGAGGATCTCCACCCTGGCGAAAAACTACTTTCATGTTCTATGTACAGGCCACGCGCTATTGCTCTGCAATCAAACAACCCAATCCAAACAGTTCACAAACTATACAGGGATATCCGAAGACACTGACAATTCATCATCGTTCTATAGGAAATACAACTCGGTCTCGCATGCAGATGCCGATAGTCACCGAGTCCGATCATACAGAGACCGAGATTACAGATGTTCATGCTGAAATATGTTACGATCTTAATCGACCTTGATCGAGCCGTAGATGCGCTGCACAAACGCCCAGCTGGCAAAGAATCCAATGGAGCCTGGATGATCGGTCAGTAACCGAGCCTCTCGGAATGAGTAGTCCTGGCACATACCTGTCAAGATGAAGACTATAAAAGAGATCAAGGCCGAGTATCCGAGGTACAGAACCGCTCCGGTGAACCCGCCGAAGCTCACTCGGGTCGCCCAGAAAAGCAGGGCGTTGAGGAAGACGAATCCACCCGTCATACCCGCGCCCGCGAACGCGCGCCAGTGCCACCGGTAGTTCTCGGCGCAGAGCAAGAAATACACCAACAACACCGTGGTGGCAGCGGACGTGATGACCATCAGTCCGTAGCACAGGAACAGGAATCCGAACATGTAGTAGATTCGGTTGGTCCAGAGCGATTTCGTAATGAGGTACAGCTCCACAAAGATGGCCGCGAAGGGCAGAACACCAGTCAGCAGCAACGACGGAGCAGTTCGGAGGGTGCCGGTCATCGGGGGTACTTGGCGCGGAATCTGGTTGGTCTTGGTCGGACCTTCGATGGCCTAATGAACAGTTAATAAGGAAGAACATTCAATCGATCGGCTCGAAACATACCTGCTGCTTGAATCCAAGCCAGCTACCCGCGAAACTCAACGGCACGCTAATGACGAACCAGATCAGAACCAAGGCGAGCATGGTGGTGAACGGAACGGCGCCGCTGGATCCCTTGCCCCAGACGAACAGGTTGAGAAGGAAGAAGACGCTGAAGATGAGCCCGGGGACCAACACCGGGGTCATGATGATGTTGCGCTTCCACGATTCTCCACCAAACGACTTGTATACTCTCGAGGAGACGTATCCTCCAATGAAACCGAACAGAGTGTAGATAAGAAGGATCGCAGTGGCCAGGAACCCGCGGTTCGAAGGAGACAGCAACCCGAGGAGAGCGAAAACTAGACGCTGGTCAGTAGACACCGGGAAGGGCTAGGCGGTTCGAAACTTACCAACGGTAACGCCGGTCATCATGAAGAGCTGGGCACCGTTTCCGACAAGAACACTCAGCAGCAAAGGCGATTGAGGGCAGCGGAACACGTCGCCGTGGACAAGCTTCCAGCCAGAGTCCTCCTGAATGCCATCCTCCACGGCAGCAGACGTGCCATCCAGATCATCCAGGTTGATCATGTCCAGTCGGTTGTACCGCGCAATGTCCTTCTTCAAAGCTCTCACGAGGATCATGCTGACCATGCCGACCAAGAAGACGACGAAAATCGCCGAGTTGATGAGGGAAAGCCAGTGGATCTTCGGGTCCTCGACGTACAGGTATTTGTCCCAACGAGTGGCCCACGGCGTGGTAGATTCGGTCCAGTAGACACTGTAGGTCCAGCTGACGGGCGTCTCGCCATCCTCGTTCAGAACAACGGGCGTCTCGTTGCTACCACAGTCCGCCGCGCCATCCTCGAGCACGTGAGAGGTCCCTCTCGACTCTGGCTTGACAAGCACGCCGACCACCCGGAACTTGTCCTTGTTGCCGAATCCCACACGGTGATAGTCGATGTAGATGTTATAGTGGTTGTGCAGGAGCGACTGTCCGTTCTCGTCCAGGGTGCCCAGAGCAAACCCGGGGCTGTAGAACTTGTCGCCGGTACCGGAGTCAATGTTGATCTGCGCTCCCGGCAGACCATCCACGAGCCAATTGATGTTGTAGCCCTGCGCGATGCGTCGGTTGGTGAATTTGGCGCTCCGGGCGTCGAACTTGACCTCCCTGCACACGGACTTGCACGTCTCATTCTTGGCCATCGACAGCTCGAACGACGAGGTCTGGATCCGGTCGCCAAACAGAATGCTTCCTAAGGATTCTCGGACATCTTTCGGACCGTCTTCCGGGGCACAGAAGTGGAAGGCCTGGTGGTAGTAGTCGAAGGAGAACACGGAATGCAGCTGGTCGTCTTGCTGCGCTAGCCCCGGCGTCAGATGGTTGACGTACAGCGGAACGGATTGACCTTCATCGTAAGAGGTGGGAGCTACACCAGGTAGATAGAAGGCGGCGGAGAGGGAAGGAAGGGCGCCGGCGAGGAGGGTTGAAGCGGGCAGGGTTCGTGTGTTGAACCGCATGGTGAATGTCTGACCCAAAGGCGCTGTATTAGCTCTAGTGAGATACTGGGTCGGGTCTAGGGATTAATAGCTTGTGGGTGCCATACACGTTCTACAGCAGCCACACCACGGACGGATTCCTCAAGCTCTCATGGATTGGGCGTTAGGGATATTGACAGATACCAACTCAGCGGGCGACAACGCGGATTCAATGAGCAATCCAGAGAGAAATCAGCCTTGTGGACAGGATTGCAGGTCACTTCCAGCCCGGAGAGGCCAACTAGCCACTCTTGGCACACGTGATGGGACGCGCGGGCTGAGTCAGCCGCTTTTTGTTCTTATCATCACGTGATGATAACGATCTAAAAATTTCCCTCGAGGGTTTGTCGCCGGCCGCTCGCTCTGCAGTTTATCAACCCAGACTATTTAATATTTATTCCCACCACAATGGCGACGGCAGTGTCGCAACCCGAAGGCCCGGGTCTTCCCAGCATCCCGACCTTACTGGAAAGCATCACGGGATGTCTCAACACCGTCGGATCATCCCTCCCCAAAGCAACCCGCGATGAGCCCTCCGACGTTTCGATCGAACCGCCGCAAGATGGCATCTCGCTGTTGGACACCAAGTCCGAACTACTTCTCTCCTACATTCACAACCTCGTCTTCCTGATGATCCACGAACTACGTGGACTCTCTGCGAACAAGAGTGACGATGCCGAAACCGACCACTCGCTGCGGGAGGACATCGTGAAAAAGCTTGTCGAGCTACGTGTCTACCTCGATCGCGGCGCACGACCATTGGAGGGACGGTTGAAGTACCAAGTCGACAAGGTGGTCAAGGCTGCAGAGGACGCTGAGCGGTCCGAGAAGGCATCCACTAAGGCCAAGGCCGCGAAGGAAGCGGAGGGTAGCGATGACGAGGAGGGCTCCAGCGACAGCGAAGCGGACAGCGACGAGGACGAAGAGGACGTCGATGAAATGGCATTCCGACCCAATGTGTCCGCCTTCGCCAAGAAATTCGAGCCTGCAGAAAAAGCCGACCGGTCTGCCAACCGAGACACTCCCAACGACGGCATCTACCGACCGCCGAGGATCATGCCGACGGCGTTACCCACCACCGAATCGCGTGAGCGCAAGGAGCGCGGACCCCGGAAATCGAACGTTATCGACGAGTTCGTCACGGCCGAGATGTCGTCGGCTCCGATGGCAGAACCCAGCATTGGCAGTACTATCACGCATGGTGGAAGACACACGAAATCGAAGAAGGAGCGGGAAACCGAGGCCGAGCGGACCGCCTACGAGGAAACCAACTTTACCCGTCTCATGGGTGAAAGCAAGAAGGACAAGGCCAAGAAGAAGGGCGGCAGACCCGAAGCCACATATGGTGGAGAGGAATGGAGAGGTCTCACGGAAGGTGCGGATCGTATTTCAAGGCTTACGCGCAAGGCCAAGGGAAGCGGTGGTGCGCTGGACCGAAGCCGCAAACGAAAGACCACGGAAGACGGGCCTCGCGACGACGGAGCTGGAGTTGGTTCGATCTTCGAAAAGCGACGCAAGAAGGTGGATAGCTGGAAGCGGTAGCTGTGTTTATAGACTGTTGGAGATCTTTGCATTCTCGATACCACTGAAAAGTTGATTGGCATTTTGTAAGCAGCGTATACTTTGGAATTATTTATAGTAGAACCTCATCTTTCATAACCGATGCTTGAATGATATTTAAGTATACTCTGTTTCATGTCCAATCTCTCCCTTGAAATCAAAGTGTTAAAATTCATCCTGAGTTATTATCCAAGGTGAGGTTTAGTCTATAGTCTGATAACCCTAACTATATATTTACATGTCGGGTCGCGCCGTCGGTAGTACTGCAAGAACAAATGTCCTTCAAGCAAGATTTGTCTTGTTCAATTCAATTGCTTAGAATATACCTACCCACTATTTTCTATTTCGCTTTTTTCTTTTTCTTTTTTTTTTTTTTTTCCTCGTTTGTGATTTTTCAAGTTCGAGTATTAGATGTAAGCTGCCGGAAATACGTCCAACCGTAGGAATCTAGGCCCAATGATTTTCACATGCGCCCCTTAAATATATTTTAGATAAAAATAGATCATTGGAGAAGGACCCTCGGATCAGAGGACAAATTTTGGGACTCCATGTGCCCTTCCCACAGCTCCAGGGCTGGATGATCTGGCCGGGTCTGACGTCGCCGGTGCCTGTGCCATGACGTCATTGCCCATCGGCCAACTCGGAAGGTGCGTTCTTTTCACTATCGATATCGGTGTTTTTCTATGGGGGAGATCCATCCAGAAACACTTTCGTGTCTTACACTATCCACAAATCCCAGCACGATGGAAAATCCAGGTTCGTTATCCATCCTTTACTGTTCCTTCCATTCGAAGCCTCGGTCGCAATGGATATCCAGGAGGGCAGCCTAACGCCGGTATATGATGAGCATTAATTGACTTCAAATCAGTCGCCGAGATTCCGGTCGTCATCCGCCTGCTCACGCAGGGTACTCCGTCCATCCAAGAAAAAGCGATTAACCGATACTTCACGTCGTCGGCTTCATTCGTCCACCCTTTCTGCCATGTCTGGAGCTACAATGGCAGCCGCTGGGCCATTCAGAAGATCTACCAGTGGTATAAGATCATGTCGCCGCGGGTAGAAGTTGAGATTCATTCCGTCGGTAAGTTTACCTCTATTCTCTTGCACAATCCTGTATGGCATTTGCGGCGGAAGAGGCTAACCAGTAATCCACAGCGTTCGACGAAAGTAACCTCAAACTCTACGTCAATATGTCCCAGATCTTCACCATCTGGATCGTCCCATTCCATGTGGCCCCCGTGACCCTCACGACGGTGCTCGATCTCACGACCGAATCGGGCGACAGGGGGGTGACGAACGGCGAGAGAACGCTCTACTATGTCAAGCAGCAGGAGGATCTGTATCAGACGACGCATTTCGTGAAGTTTTTGCTGCCTCACATCGGCGCGTGGATGGTGTCGTTCTTCCAGTTCTTTGCGACGCTGTTTTGTATCTGCGGGGCGTGGCTGCTTTGGCCGTTGATTTGGTTGGAGGAGAACGGATATGTTCCGAACTATTTGCTGACCGGGGGGAATATCGCATATGATATCCAGCAGAAGGTCGATGAGATTAAAAAGGATTGAATTCTTTTCCTTTTGCTTTGCTTGTATTATTGTTATTATCAAAATATGCGAGGAGTCTAGGTTGTTTTTATTTAACCGGGAAGGAGGCAATCCAATCTTGATATCAGCACATGCAAAGCACATGCAATTGATCTGGCGAAAGACATAAGACGTATTCAATGTATACCGAGTCATACTAGGCATAGATGAACTGACCACCCGTTCTACGGATACTGGAGTATGCGAGGAATGACGATGACGCCTGCGGACCCGCCAGGCTACTGCAGTGGCTCCACCGGGGATGGAATGCATTAGTCTCGAATGCCTTGGCTGCGCGGGGCCTAACGAGGTTTGAAGTTGAAGTTCTCCGACAGCCACAAACTTGGTCTTTGTTCTTGCATACTACCCTGCTGGATTGGGTCATACTGGCGTACGGCGTAAATCTCCGACCGTTGTCGATCCCAGTGCGCCGGTCCGCGCGCATGTGGTTCGGAGTATACGGGGAACGTTGGAAAAGTCAAACTACCACGAAGTTTACCATGGAACCACCGATAGTAAGAGCATGGCGAATTGGTCAGAGCAATTGTAAAAGTCAATATTTCTCAAGTGAAACATGCCCGAGTCAAGAGTAAGGAGAACGCGAGGACGAAAGAGAGCGAAGGGAGGAATCACATGGGTCTGGCATCATCGGTCCACATCGACGTCATCGGTCGAGAACTGGGAGACCCGTGCCTTCTTCTCTTCTCTCCTCTCGGATCTTGCGCGTCAAAAGGCCCTGCTCGTCCGGACTCGACCTGAGAATTGCTCCTCTTTTCTTAGCAAACTCTTCTACCCTTCTTCCCCTCTCTGACCCATATCCATCACCCCAGTCATCACCGTGCTCAACCGTTGATCGTTGCTTCCCCATCGATGGCGGATATGCAAACACCGTCCACCTTCGTGGACTTCATCAAGCATCCCATCGTCAATACTTTCACCTTCTTTTACTTGGTCTTCCAGTCCATCATCAACTATGTCTACGCCCCTGCTCCGCCCCCGCCTTCCTCAGTCACCAATGACCTCCCTAAGAAGAGAGTTGCCGTGATTGGCGCTGGCTTAACCGGTGTCTCGTCGGCCGCTCATTGCGTTGGCCATGGCTTTGAGGTGCAATTGTTTGAACAGCGATCCAAGGAAGAGGGTTTGGGAGGAATATGGAGTGTAAGTCCGCATGTTGCCCAAGAAAGAGCCACTGCTAACGGTTTTACAGCGCGTCAACTCCACCTCCTCACTGCAAATCCATAGCCTCATGTATCGCTTCCATCCCTCGGTCCAGTATAACACTGCCTACCCCACCCAGGAGGAAATCAAAAAGCAGATTGTCGATCTGTGGAAGCGCTATGGCCTTCAAAAACACACCGTCTTCAACACCCCAGTCACCTCTGTCAAGCAAACCAAGAACGGTAAATGGATCATCAACAACGACGACAAGTACGGCCGATTCGACGGAGTGTTGACCGCAGTCGGAGTTTGCGGAGACCCCAAGCAGCCCCCGTTGCCCGACCAGGACAAATTCAAGGGCAGCATCTTCCACTCCTCCAAGCTAGATGGCAAGGATGTCGAAGGCAAGAGAGTTCTCATCGTGGGAGGTGGCGCCAGTGCCATTGAAGCGCTCGAATTTGCGGTCAAATCCAAGGCTGCAGAAATCGATGTCTTATCTCGGTCGGACAAATGGGTGATTCCTCGGAATGTCTTGGTGCAATCCCTTCTCGCAATGAACATCTTCGGACAGGAAACCTCGCTGTCATGGATCCCCGAATGGCTCCTGCATAAATTCTTCTATCGCGATCTGCAGGATATTGCCCCCTCTAGCGGCCTCTACACCACAACTCCCATGGCAAACGATGAGCTGTTCGATCAAATCAGAGAAGGCAAAGCTCGCTGGCTGCGCGGTGACATCGTTTCTGTCAAAGAAGACGGCATTATGTTCAACAGGCGATCCAAGGGCGTGCCGAAAGGCGGTCCTGGCAAAGAGAACTTGGTTCCTGGCGATGTCATCATCATGGCTACTGGATTCAAGCGCCCATCTCTTTCCTTCCTGCCCGATGAGGTGTTTGAAGAACCCTACGGTCCTCCTAGCTGGTATCTCCAGGTCTTCCCGCCCAAGTACACTAGCATCTGCGCCAACAACAGCACCTACGTCAACGCCATCGGAACCGTGGGCAACATGCACATCGGCATCTACACTCGCTTTTTGCTGATGTTCCTGACTGACCCCTTGACTCGCCCCACCGAAGGTCGCATGAAGACCTGGATCGATTTCACGCGCTTCATGAAGAAACTGTCGCCCGTTGGTGCCTTCGACTTCTTCACCTACTCCGAACTTATTTGGTGGTTTGTGTTCTGCATCGTGGTCAACCCCTTCCGCTGGAAGTGGGCCCCCTTCGTCTTGTTCGGCATGGGACGAACCCTTCCTTTGGAAGTGGTCAAGCATGAAGAGGCATTCCGCAAGGAGTTGCTCAAACAGCACCAATAGATTGATACATCGCATCGTTGCCCCAGTCATATCGATAGGACACTATCGTACGCGATCAAAATGTAATGACTTATGATTTTAGTTCCTGTATAAATTATGTTATGCACATCAATGGATATGAATCTATGCCAAGTTCTATACTTGGAATCAATAGGGTAGAAACCTTTGTTGGTAAGAAATCTGAACGAGAGAATGGTTCGCGTTTTGGAAAGACTTTGGTTTAGTTTCTCTAATCTGTAGACGGTGATTTAAAATGCTTATCATCTCCCATCGCTCCTTCTCATTCTGGCGCACCACCAGGCTTCGTGGCCATACCTAAACAGGTAACCACCCATTAATCCTTCCAATCCACTCTCGTCGTCTTACAACTACACCCTTCCTCATGAAATCCTCAAACGTCGTATAATCACCGACATGACACTCGGCGAATGACTTTTTCCCGCTCCGGCGCCAGATCGGGATATAAGAAGTAAATACACAAAGTAAGCAACACGGCATTGGTCGACTATCTTCACACAATCATGGTTGCTTTTCAGAAAGCTCTTATCGAATGAATTATAACCCGAGGGTTGATTGGCGTCACGTTCCACATGTATCCCCTGGAGGTGCAGCCTTGCAGGCACTGCCACTCTGGTTAATGGGACTGAATTCGTGGCCGATATTATTCTTTCCTATCCATAATTGCGCACTTGAAAGCATTTGTGCTAGTTTCAGCATCGACACCTTCCCCAATGTCAGATCCATTATCGATTGTCGGCAGCGGCGTCGGCATCATTTCACTGGGATTGCAAGTGTGCAAGGAAACTGTCTCCTACTGTGAGGCATGGAGAGTCTACGATGAGGACATTCAACGGATTGCGACCAAAGCTGACGAGCTGCGACTGGCTTTGAAGCAGCTACATGCGTTGATCGAGGACCCTCGCCTAAACGATCCAGACACCCAAAAGGATCTCGAGGAAAAGGCGTTCAGTCTGGAGAGTACGGTAATCAGGCTCCATAAAGCTGTCGGACAATTAAAGCCTGTCCTTTCCAACAGCGTTCCAGACAAAATCCGAGCGCAGCTGAAAAGGGCCTCGTATCCGTTCCGAAAGGATACCTTACGCATTATTGAAAATGACCTTGATGGGATGCAGATTGCTCTTCAAACCACATTGGCGATGTGAGTACAGAATGTGACGGGGTTGGCTGGTTGAGATCTAATCAGAAACTTGATAGGTACTCAACTCGAAAGATCACAGAGATCGGGACCGTGTCTGAGACAATCCTCGGGAAGGTCGAACAGATTGTACCACTCCCCAGCTCACTATGATGAATATTACTGACAGAGATTGTGGTATCTTACCTTGTGCAACTATTCGGTTAAATGCCCACCTCCACCGGAAGTACTTCGGTCTTGCTGTGATTGCCAGCATGAATGTGACAGGTGGATGACACAACATCAATTTCGATTCCGATCAAGGCCTGCAGCAAGAACATACCGGTATTACAGTCGCCTTTTGGGACTTGCCTTCACTGTATCGTTTTCGCAGTCAACTGGAGCCGGGGGGTTTGCGATTGCCCCACCCTTGCATCTCTACGCTATGCCGGTGGTAGACTTCGGAGAATTGGAACTAGGTATAGATTCTGCAATGATTGAGTACATGAACACGCGTGAAGAGGACACGCTTGATTCACTGACCACTATGCTTCAACAACAATTCGCCAATAACCACTATACACCAGCTTATAGCTTTTTACACACTGATATCTACGGAAGAACCGAACCGATTTCGATGGTCGATGTGAGTGCATAGATCGCTCCCCTGGTTTGAAATAGACACTCAAATTGAAACAGTATTTGGCGTTGATTTGGAGTTGCATTGTAGGACCGAATTGGGACATAGTGACCAAATCCTTGGTGAAGCTTGGCTCAGTATCCAGCAATACCATGCAATTCGGAGCACTTTATCAGGTTTTGGTCAGGGAAACCTTTGGAGAAGCAGGGTTTCTTCTGATCTCAGATCTTGTTCAAAAAGGAGGGCCGATTGAACTCTTCTGTTCTAGTGGAACTTTCAAGAAGAATATTCGATATATTATTGCAGAGATGCTGAAAGTACGTCAGACAGTGATCATCTTGTCAAACAGTAAAATGCTAATATTTGTTTTCAGTGGTGTTATTCCCCGAGATTGTCAATATCATTCTCCGCGAATTCGAGAATGAGCTGCAGCATGCACTTAAATCAAAAGAATTCTCTATTCAGAGCACATTCTTTGGAGAGAGGTCGCTGCTTGATGTGGCATTTGGATGGCCGCGAGGGGTACAGGTGCTCCCCGATTGGGGCCTCTCCCCGGATTGCACTCTGAACATCCACACACTGAGTAATCTGAAAGATACGAGTGACGGTTCCTCAGACCTCGATGGCTACTATGAGTCAGCTAGGATCATGATCAACGCTGGTTGGAAATGGCACTTAGCTGGTAGAAGAGATCTACTGAATTGCAAGTCCACTAAGAAGCTCCGTTCTCTATTCATCAATGACTTGGTCGATCAGCGCACAGACCTTTGGAAGCAGGCCCAACAACTTTTGCCCCCGGATGAGCTTCCACATCTGAAGAAGGGGCCAGTACTCGATTTCAATGCTTCGAGGGTCTATGAAGCTCTTGTGGCCCAGGGATGTAAAGTGGATTCACGCCTTTATATTAATCCCCCCGGGACTTCGGTCTACCACCATGTTTGGGCTAAATCCATTGGAACGTTGGACGCCCTCTATGAAGCTGGATTTCGAGATATTGACTCTATTGACTGTCAAGGAAGAACCCCAGTGATGCGTTTTCTCCGGACCATAACTGCAATTGATTATTTTACATGGTTTGTTTCAAAGGGCGCCGAACCGTTTCGAAGACTACCACGATCCAGCATAACAGTTGCACACTTGCTCGGTATAACCCTGACCATTTACTCGTATCTTGGCGGAGACGCACGCCTCCCGTCAATCGATCGAATACTGAAAGGTAGAGAATTTCTTCTGTCTCCTATCAAGGATGATTGTGTCTGCGCATGTTCTGCAGGTGGTTGCAGTATCTTATCGGCAGCTCTTAAGCACGCCTTCAGGTTTTTATACATGATATATCCTGTATAACGTGCTGAAAAAAGCCCAATCCTGTTACAGTGCTTTATTTCTTTGCACGGAAGTGGATCTGAATTGGATAAAACAATCATCAGATTTTTCACATTTGATGCTCTCGGGGTGAAACATACTTGCTGTATCGGCAAAGACCTGGAGGCCAGAGAGCGCAACGGGGTTCAAGAGATTCTGGAAGAGGAGAAGCCACTGCGAGAAGTCCTGGAGCGGCTTATTGCTCAATTCGAGGCCAAGCATGCGGAGCTCGGTCTGCCAATTCTAGAATTCCTGGAGAAGCACTGGTACACTCGCATGGTCCACTTTCTTTTGTCGCCTGATCCATACGATGAGGCGCATTAAATGGAGTGTAAGAGGATCGGTATATTCCTCGAGGCGGATGAAGGGGGTATCCCTGATAGAGTGTCCCTTGACATAGGGCCACGTCTTGCAGAGATTCAAGATGAGATATCCGAGTGTCTCTTTTCTAGAAATTGAGAGTGGGGGTATTTTCACAGTTTCCAGATACACCACGGATTGGAGGCAATATTATTACTTTTTGTTTGGGGTTCGTTGATGGAATATGGATTCCAATGCTTGGATATTGTAACCATCACACCAGAAACTCTCAGCCATCATAGGAGACATTGCCCTGACTTCATTCCAACTATAGACAATATCCACGATCTATCTGACAAGCTAATCTGCAAAGTCTGCCCTAATCCAACCCGTTCATAATGCTTCCTAGCCTCTTCCAACTTACTAAAAACATCCTCCACCTCCATCGGCGCCCCATCAACATCCGCATAAATATACGCCCCCGTAGCATGAGACAAGGTATAAATCTCCTCCACCTCCAGAACCTCCAATTTATGAATGTCACCTGGTGGCTCAAACGCATAACCCTCTTCCTCAGCCCACCATGAATGCTCCAGGTAGTGCCATCGTCCTCGTAGCACAGTCGCATGGACGGGACCGAGAGTTGCTTGTCGCATTCTAGATCCATTACGCCTGGAACAACCAGGTCTGAGGGGACGTGCGCAACGCCCGGCACGAAGTCCGGGGAATGAACACCCCTCGGCCCGGCGTCAATGAAGGTAATATACAGTCCCACGTCATATGACTGCTTATTAGTGATTGAAAGTGTTATAGATTTCGGGGTGCTAGCTACTTTCGGGGCCTAAGCTTATCAAGAGTTAGCTGCAGAGGAGACCAGACCTTGGTACAAGGGGTTTGTGTCATAGGACTTGACTTCCACGAGAGTGGCTGATGACCTCCAATACGCACCACATAGACATGGTGTATAGTCATCTAGTAGTGACCTACCTCCATCCCTTGTTAATCATTTGTAAAGAAAGAAAGCGCTATTGGGCTTGGGCGTGGTGAGCATGTAAACCCAACTGAGTGTATCTTTCTTTTTTTCTTTCTTCGTCTTCTCCTTTTTTTTTTTCTTTTTTTTAACCTTTCACGATGTATCAGAAACGTAGCAGTATAGGGTGGCTTCAACTAGTATCGTCAACTTATCTGCGAATATATCTGTATAGGCCCAACCTTTATCCAAAACGGACAGCCACCTGTGTGATTCTTCTGCAAAAGGAAATGTCAAGGGATATTTACCCCGATTTCCCGGCTTGGCGTATGTTATGCTCCCGAGAATGGCGTTTCTAATGCGCACCACGAGGAAAGAAGAGCACGAAAATAAGACAGGCCTAGTCACTAATATCCTCACTGCAAATGCCCGGGGACGAGAGTTGAGTTCCTGATTAGTAGTACCTCCGTCGTGCATTATTTGGAGTATGAGCCAAGTCAGTTTCTTAAGGACCAAGCATTCCGAAAATGCAATACGTCGACCAAATGGAGCCATATCGTTGAGATAACGGCGGGATATCGGGACAGCGAACATAAAGTTAGCGGAACAGCTATTATTTATTGGGAAAGTGGTCTCGAACCGGACAGCCCTATCTTCGGCTAACAGGACTAAAGTAAACTAATTTAGATAGGCAGTATCCCGGGGGCAATTGCTGGTTTTCTATCCCCCAATCCAGTTTTTATTATATTTATTAAATTATTATTTTAGAATAATTTACGTGGCTGAATCGCCTTAGTACTATTGAAGTTAAGATAAAAATTTTCTGCCCATCTCTCTAAACCGCTTTCCACTTTAGGAAAGTCACTGTCGCGATATCCCGCCCACTATCTAACTAGTCAAACGGTTAACTGATTAAACATTTGGGCTGAGCAAGGCGATGAAGTGCCGACTAAGTCTACTGCTGCCGCCAAACCTTCCTACTTCCGTCTCTCAGGAATCCGCTTGTGGCGCTGAAGTACAGATACGCTGGTTGCCACCAATGGATGCCAAATCGCAGCACAAACAGTTCCAATGCTCAACCTGCCATCGAGTATATTCCCGAATTGACCATTTGACGCGCCATATGAGGACACGTGGGTCAGTCCGTTGTCTATCAGACAACTAGAGTGCTAACAACGTCCAGATGTCCATGAGAAGCCGTACAAATGTGATACATGCAGTCGCGGGTTTACGAGACAGTAGGTTATCATATCAGAGTCCGGACGGGGCTACCCTTCTGCTCTCGAGTCATAACCACAATTTTGACCTGTTTAGGGATTTGCTTCAGCGACATTTGAGAGCCCATCGCACCACCGATGGTTCAGAAGACGCCCTGCAGGCTCATCGGGGCCGAGCAATGCGTGCCTGTGAAGCATGCGCAGCGGCCAAGGTGAGGTGCGATGACGTTAGACCCTGTGGTAGATGCCGACGTCGACGGATTCCCTGTGAGCATTCTGAAGGACAAGCATTTACGGAAAACCCCTCGATGCAGCTGGGTAATCCGTCCACGGGTGGCGTTCAGGTTCCAAATCTCCAACCAGATCTCATTGAAGATCCCGGTGTCGCCGATCTGCCAAGGGGAAACAACACCAATGACTTCTCGCTACCAATCCGGCCTAACCTCCACAACATACTCGATTTCTCATCGAACGCATACTTGCCGACCTTTGACGAAGATGGCCAAAGTGTACCAGATCTTCTAGGGCAGACAGAGACACTGATTGAGCACAGACATATTGCACATCAAGACGACAAGAACAGTTACGATCTACTGAGTCCCGACCAGCGCCAACGAGTGCTTTCTTTTCTATGCAGCATCTCTGGACCGGACCAGGCTAGTAGTATCCGGCGCACATTCCCACCCACTGAAGTTCTGAATACCCTAATCCAACGTTTTTTCTACAACCAGCAAACCTCCGAGTGCGCGTTCGTGCATGGTCCGACAATTTACTCCACGATTCACAATCCAATTCTCCTAGCTTCAATCATTGCCGACGGAGCAACAACCACCAACGCAAAACCTCTACAGTCATTAGGATCGGCGATGCAGGCAGTGATTAGTTCAGAAACCCACCGGTTGATTGGAGAGTTTCCGAGCCACATTCAAGAGCTGCAGCTTCTTCAGTCACACCTGTGTATGCTGGAGCTTGGTTTCTGGAGTGGGAGCAGACACAAAAAGGAGACCGCAGAGAGGATGGCAAGATCCTTATACGACGTCATCCGAAGCGCAGGAATCTTCCGACGGTCATATGGAACGCCCCTTGCGGTTGAACACTGGGATACTGGGAGCGTCTTGCATACCAAATGGCTTCAATGGATACAGCAAGAATCACTTCGCCGGCTTGCTTATCGTGCCTTTGTCTTTGACGCCCAAGCCTCATTCTCAACCCTCGTCAATCCCTCTATTCGCTACTCTGAAATGTGCACCCCGCTGCCCTGTTCGGCGGATCTATGGAGCGCATTAACTGCAGAAGAGTGGAAACAACGGTACCTGACTATATCTAGCTACACACCTCTTCGCCCGCTCTCTGCGGCAGACCTACTACGAGATCCTACCGCACTCCTTGAGTCAAGACGGGTCTATGACATGCGACTTTCTCTACTGGTGGTCCTCTTCTCTGCATTAGCCATGGTCTGGGAGACGCTTCAGCTGCTAGCCCAGACAAGTATCAGACCTGATTACTCGCATCTGAGTCTAGCTGTCCGACATCAAGAAATCCGACAGCTCCTGTCTCATGTATCTGATATGATCACCGTCTTAGAGCTGTCATCGTGCCCGGTGCTAGTAATCATGCTCAATCTGGTCAAGATGCACCTTCACATCCGGATAGAGGAGGTGCAAGAATTTGCCGCGGGCGATTCCCCTGCAGAGACCTGCTGTGTGCTCCCCCTCCTCCGGCAATGGGTCCTGAACCCAACGTCTCGACAGGCATTATGGAGCGCCGGTCAGATTCTACGCGCTGCCCGGGACTTTCAGCCAGGAACATTACGAGACTTCTATGCTATTGCGGTCTATCATACTGCGGTCTGCTTCTGGGCTTATACGGTCATTTCGAACAGCCTGCCTTCAGTGCTAGAAGGTCATGGTCTTTCTTCAGATAACGCCTTTGACCTGGTTTCAAGACGAAAGGACGTGCCGATGTTTCTTGATGGGCTTTTTATCGAGACGACTCAGGCTTTTCTCGATCACGACCAATGTCAGCCAGGCATTACGACGGCGACAGAGTCAGGCATGTTTACTGCTGGGTTTGTTCCTATCTCTAATGCTCCGGCTACAATGAAAGCTGTATCCGACACTTTACGACGCAATCACCTTTCCCAGACGCAAGATGCAACTCTCCCGCTTATGGTACAAAATATTATTAGTCTTATGTATGTTCTGGGCAGCTCAAGTTCCGTATAGGTGTCTTCTGCTGTCATAATCAAATTGCATACATGGATTTCTGTTAGGGGACGTAAAGAGCACTGCTTAAACCCTTGTAGCCACGCGACTGATCGAACGATTATTCAACTATTGACGGCACAACGGCAGCATTGTACCCTAGACCAATAGAAGCACGGCCCGCTTTGACCTGCTACTGACTAGATAATTTTACTTTAATCAATTGGTAGTCCAACGCTTGCTATAGTCAAAGTCACTACGTGTCAGGACTAGACTGATAGAGCTGTCAGAAAGCTTTATAAATGTAGACTTGGTTTGAGTATAAGCGATGCGGCTACTATATCAGTGTTGTTTCGTCCGGACCTTGCCTATGAACTGGTTGGGGTATTATCTGCTAGAAAACGGGATTACGAGGGCAGAAATTGTGAAAGTATATTGTAGTACTTTAAGCTTCAATCAGAGAGAAGACAAAGAATGTAGGATAGAATCAAAAATAATGACTGAGAATCTAAAGGCGTACTGCTCAGAGAACTTTGGAATGTAGCAGTATTGTATGTACACTCCAGTGGCAAAACTCACAAAGAAAGAAGCCACAATCTCGATGCAAGAACACAAGAATGATACATATTCAAACAACAAAAGCCCAGTGCAATCACCTGGCTGGCTGGGCTCCATGGCATGGTGATACCACAGGCGAGTGTGTTTACTCAACCGTAAAGTCGAGAGAGCCGGTTCCGGAAAAGCCTTCTGCGGTCAACATCTGGAAGACGGGATTGCCAGGCTCAAGGTTAAGCTGCTTCCAAGCATCAAAATGGGCTGAAACGTCGACAGTGCCGGTAGACCGATCCTCTCGGCGGACCGACCACAACTGGTTAAAGTTGGTAACGCCGTAGATCTCGGGAACGTCGCGATACGGAATCATGTAGACGTCGTAGACACCACCATCGGAGTTCACCTGGCCGAGAATGTTTCCGTTGCCTGGAGTTCCCGTGCCATGGGCCTCCACAACGTACCACTCGGTGACAGGATCGGTGGTCCAGCCATACACTGCCAGGGTATAATCGCCCTCAGCTTTGAATGATCCCTCCCACGTCAAAGATCTATGTTATAATCCTGTCAGCAGGGGTATCCTTTCTAAATTGTGGGTGGAACACGTACCGAGGATCACCGCCTTTATAGCCCTTGCCACCCAGAAACTCCGAACTGACATCCCAGGTGACCTGGAACTGGCCAGATCCGTCGAACTCGGTATACTTGGCACCAGCACCGTTGTCGTTGTAGAGCGAGTAATAGAAGCCGGCGGAGTTCACTCCATCTTTGCTGTCGGAAAATTGATTCTCGCGTTTTGCAAGCTGGCTTCCATCGGTGGAGTTCCCAGCCTGCTCCAACCACCGAAGAAACTCCGGGGATTTAGGATAGACGGTTTTCGATGTGGGATCCGCAGGGCTGGCGAACACTCCCACAAGAGGTAGGAAAGCAAGAAGTCTGGAAAAGGAGAGCATAATGGAACTCAATGTACTGTGGAATGCTCTCTGAAATTTGAACGATTGTTGTCTCTTGGAGATGGATTATGACAGCGAGAGAATCTGCCTTAAATGTTGTTCTGACTCCTTCTAGGATCAGCTCAGATTCGAGATTTCAGGAGGAATGTTTCAGACACGGGATCCGTGTGGAGACCGAGGTTCAGATTGCATGAAATCGCAAACCTACTGCCCATACGCGGTTGAACAAGGCACAGCTCTGAGGATAAGGAGTAGCATTGCGTAGTATCTTTACTAGGAAAGATGTGCAGAGGATCCAAGACAGGACTGCAGTACAGTGAAGCAAAGGAGCGTAGATTGAGACGCTGGCGGCGTCGAGATTTCACCGGTGGGTCTGCCATTTTGCCGAGGCTGTCCCTTTCCACAGAAAGCAGGATCTTCAGAGCCACGGAGATTGACCCGAAAGACTACCTTTTAGTAGTTCCCACTAGAGGCTCCACCCCCCGCATTCCCGAAGGCGACCCCCAACTTGCCGGCGTTAGTAACTTAGTCACCGATGATAAATGCTGACCACTTTGTACCCTTGTACGCTAGAGGCAAACTGGCGTGCCAAGGGGTCCACCTTGCGTATCAGTGCTCCATGTGATAATCCCTCTAACTGTCCAGCCCTGAACTACTATCAGCCTCGCCAAGGGGAGCACACCGTGCCCGGAGTCACATTCAAACATCTCTTACTTGGACGTAAACGAGAGAAGATGTCTGAGTTAAATTCCCTCGCTGATAAAGCCAAATGACGATCGAAGCATATTCAGCATGCAGACGGCGGCGCAACGTTAGTATCTCTCTCCGCCGCGCTGAACCTGACAGTCTTCTTTAACCCCATCCCGCAGAAGGTCTAGTTTCAGGGGCTTACTACCAACGCCAAAGATGGTATTCTTGGGGGTGAAGCCGAAGACATTGAGCCTTTCATGGAGTATGTGCTGCTGAGCGACAGCGTCAGGGATGATCTCTTTGCCTGAATCTCCGTAGCCATCGACCCTACCGCGAACAAGGAGCTCAGCCCTGCTGCCTATTACACCTATGGTGGCGGCGTGGAGAATGAAAACAGTAGCGTTGGCGGTGGCCCTCCTTCCGGTGGTCCTCCTTCTGTCACTGGTACACCGAGCGCTTAACTGTTGGGCAAGGATTGAACATGGCCTAGCATGTATCCATGCCGTTGGCTGTTAGTCATCATTTTGTATTATAGTTATTCCCCTAATCCTTCATTCAAGGCATGGGGGCCATTTGGAAATCTACAGAAAATTCAGGAGGAAAAGATGGCTTTCCCCATTTTCCCAGAAGACTGCGATTCAGACCAGAAAAGACCTAGAAATCTCGGACAAGTTAGACATCTGATCATGACAGAAGCTATTTTGAACTGAATTCACTGGCATAGGGTATTGACCACAAACTGAATGAGTAAGACTACCCTGTTTGATTTTCGCTTCGCGTGTACAAGCTCGATATCTGGTTTGGAGTGTTCAGGGCTAATGCCGCGTAGTATATCCGTTGTTTTACGAATTGAAGGAGAATGTATAATACGACTAGTGCCTTCCAAATTGACAAAACCCTCATACAAGTGTTTTGAAATTCGCGACCCGCAGAATGTGGCCGCCTACTATGCCTTGAGGATGCTCAGCAGCAGAGACTCACTCTATATGAGATCTATGAAAGCGGGAGCTGATCCTATTTACATTCTCCATGGAAACTCGGCTGTCAGCGAGATAAATTAATCACGCTGAAAGCGTAGAGTGACAGAATATTATCATGAAGCTAGTGTGAAAAGGTAAATACTCCGTAGATGTTCTGTGTGGTATAGGGCATGAGGGGAGGCAAACGAGGGAGCCGAGGTTGTGGCTACTTCGGCCTTCCTGAGACCCAACGACGGATTGGCATCGACAGTGGGTCTTGTCTGGCCCCTGGGCGCAAATCCCTTTTCACGTTAGTAATGCCATAACTCTGACTCGTATGTTACAAATAGATAGAGAGTTGGCTTGCACCAGCTAACCTCTTCTATACCCTAACGGCCCCTGCACAAGGCCTAGAATTTCATCTGCAGGACTGCCTCTTATCAAACTTTATTCTTGCCGATTTGGCCAATAGATTAACGAATGGTATAAGGCTCTCGGCAAGGAGCAGACCTCCCCAACTGCCGAGCGAATACATCAGGATCTTGGCTTTCGTTAACTAACTCCGTAATTCCGAATTTGCCATCCCAGGCCCCCTTCCTCTCGACTTGACCTATAGTCTGCTTCTTCCCCTTCTTCACTTGACAAAATGGGACCAAGTATGCAGGCCTTTCATTTCGTACGTCTCGGCAAGTTGCAGGTACCCGGAAACTCTACTAGCCAGTGCTACTAGGGACTACCGTCGCGGGAAAACATGATATCAGGGAACATCAAGCCTGACTTGTATTACCGGGTAAAGATGAGGATAAATCGAAGACCCCAAGAGAGCCCTGTCTGCTTTCGAAAACACCCTTAGCCAGCCCCTGATAGCTCAATTCCGGTGTAGCTCCTACTGGCTCATACAGTCCTGGTGAACACGAAAGTACAAACGCGAGCCCAATTTTGCCCTGAACGAGTGGGCCGTTCTCCATAAGAGCCATTTTCCCAGCCAATCACCTCATAAGGCGGCCCCAGTTTCTCGATTCAGGGTAGAATCTACGGTGTACAATATGTGCGTAGGCTTTAGTTTGACCAAAAAGAAAGATGCCTACACTGTGTGTGTTTACGGAAAGTATCGGCAGTCTTAGGGCTATTGGCTCTGGTGTTATTCTTTCAAGGCTGAGGGAAAACCACGTTTAAGGTCGTCGCTAGTATTGAGAAACCTTGATGTCATTTTCCCTTCCCTTGAGTCTGGCCGCCCAGTTTCAGATCCTGGCCCGGTGGACCTAGACTAAGGATGTCGCACTCCATTTTTATTCGTCTATTCCCTTAGGGCGTAGTGTCAAATAGGCAATATGAGGCATTTGAGATATAAAATTCCATTTTATGAAATTTCAAACTTTGGTTTTATTTACTAAAGATTGTCAGTTATTTCTTTTTCGTAATGGGATAGAATAGTCCAGCGTTGACACCCATCCAAACCCTGGTCTAGTACTATCGTGGGCCCAGGAGGTGTTGGTACAACATTTTCTTTTCTCATTCTTTCTTTCTAGGATGCAGGGATTTTTCATTAATGGGTTTTTCAACCTTGAAAATTCCAATTTCCTCCCCTAAGTCTTGACAGGTATCTCAACGGACTCGGCTTTCGTAACAACGCCAAGAGAAAACCGAGAACATTCACTGTGGGTAGAATTTGACATGTGGAATGTCAAAAGAGAGAAGAGGAAATGACCAAGGGAAAACGGTGACAGATGAAAAATGAGACCAGATCCACTGGAATGGCAGAAGGTAGAATGTGAATCGGATCTTGTGTGGGCCCTAGTCGGAAACCCTATCTTACCGTGCCTCCACAACGAGCAGTAGTATAAGTTGTGGTTGCTGCAGGCTCTTGGGTGGGCGTATCTATGGCTCTTGTTAAATGGAGACTATTGTTGCAGATTGATTAGTGTAGGATTCACAGTGGGATCTTCTTACTCCTGGAACTATCGCGGCTGGTTGACTGCTTTCTGTTTTACTATTTATAGACCCTGCAAGCCCCACCTGGAAGGTGAAGGAGCCCTAGTGTGAGACCGGCGCTAAGCAGCGATACTGGCCACCGTCGGACTTTTGCCTAAATGTGAGTCCCCTGGAGATATTCGAATATTTCGTCGGGATTTGGTGAGCCCAAATTCAGTAACCACGTCGCCTGGAGAGTCGGCTCTTCGAGTAGTATTCCCTTTCAGGTTGCGGTGTGCGAGGATGAACTGACTTGATATCGATCTTTACTTTCGCATGGCAACCTTTGTTGAATTCGGTGTAGGGGTTCTATTAAGCCTCAAGGATCGAAGGGGGGAATGATGGCACACCGGGCTTAATGGAGAAGAATTCCTCCTTACGCTAGGTACTCGAGCGAGATTCTACCCCCGGCTATCTTGAGGCATGTCGCTTCTAATTCCTCCCCCCTCTTCGTGCTTACCTTTGCTTGGCAGGGCTCCATTCAAACGGTGGTGACTTTGGCACTCATACGAGGTCCTGAATAAAATGAATTTCTGACTTTTGTTTCACCTTGAGCAAGGGAATCCCTTGGAAAAGTATTATGAAATATGGTTTTCTACCACTATATAAGAGCCCAATCATCAATGAACAGTGACTATTACAAACCATCGCTCCTTTCGTTTCTTTTCTCCCTCTTTGTACTTGAGCTTGACAGAGTCGCTTTCATTCTTTTCTTTTCTATACTCCATTGACTGGAAGTTTTTGATTTTTGCTTTCAAAATGAAGCTGTCTTCGTCCTCTCTTTTCGTGATTGCCAACATCTGGCCCCTTGTCTCTAGCCACTATGTCTTTAACAAGCTGATTGTTGACGGCAAGGCCACCCAAGAGTATGAGTACATCCGCAAGAACAGCAACGGATACCAGCCCACCCTTGCCTCGGACATTCTGAGCAACGACTTCCGCTGCAACCAAGGGTCCATGGACTCTGCAGCTAGCACCAAGACCTACCAAGTCGCTCCTGGTGCTGAGATCGGCTTCCAGCTCGGGTTCGGAGCCACCATGAAGCACCCTGGTCCTTTGCAAATCTACATGTCCAAGGCCGAGGGCGACGTCACCACCTACGACGGATCCGGCGACTGGTTCAAGGTCTACCAGGAGGGCGTTTGCAATGATATTTCGGGCGGTCTCAAGGACGAGGACTGGTGCACCTGGGACAAGGATACCGCATCCTTCACCATCCCCAAGGACACCCCCGCCGGGCAGTATCTTGTGCGCGTGGAGCATATCGGCCTTCACCGTGGCTTCAGCGGCAATTCCGAGTTCTATTTCACCTGCGCCCAGATCGAAGTCACTGGCTCCGGTGCGGGTTCTCCCAGCCCTGTTGTCAAGATCCCCGAAGTCTATCAGCCCGACGATGCGAACATCCATTTCAACATCTACAACCCCATCCCGACGTCTTACGATCTTCCCGGCCCTGCTATCTGGTCTGGCGGCGGTGATGCCGGCTCTGATGCATCTGTTACTCCTTCCGTCTCTGCCACTCCTGTCTCCGCGTTCGTCATCCCTTCGTCTCTCGCTCCTACAACCCTCGCGACCGTCTCTCGGGCCCCGACTGCGGCTCCGTCTGTTCCTTCCTCGTCGAACGGTTCGATCAAGAAATATAATCAGTGTGGAGGCCAGGGATGGACCGGGTCAGGCTCTTGCGAGTCCGGCACTACCTGCCGGTCGTGGAACCTCTACTACTCCCAGTGTGTTTAGCATTGAGAGTTGCGATCAATCGTTCATTGGGGACTTGACAAACAGGCTCTAGTCTGTTGGGTGCTCTGTGTGGGCAGTTTGGTTTGGTTCTATCATTTTTCTTTCGTTTTCGAGGTATTTGCCGTCGATTGCTTCGGCTCTATCTTTGTATCGCTCGGATAACTCGTGCGGCCTGTTGTCAGACTAGCTTTCAATATATTCGCTCATGGCTGGTCCACATTGAACTGGCGATTCGTTTGCCTTTTCTTTTACTCTCTCTCTTTTCAAATACACCCCCAACAGCATGGGCAATTTAAAGTCGATGTGCTCTCTCCAAGGTAGATAACTCTTATGGCGGGGGGTCAGCGCAGGAAGCATTATCACTTTATTCACTATATCGACATATTAGCACCTTTCGCTGGTCGAACTCAGTCTTAATATTGCGCCTCTGACGGTCACATATAGTAGGTTGTATCCGTAAAGGCTGATCTCGTCAATATCTTCAATATCGAAAACGAAATCCACGTGTCTTATGTTGCTTGCTACTTCCTCAATAAGCCAATGCCTATGATAGGAAACACTTCTAGAACCTGCGACCCCCTGGATGACAATTTTCAAAGGGCCGGCAGAATACGGTTTAGACAACTCGCTGGGGCCGCTATTCCCGAAGACTCCGGAACCATGATTAAGCTCCTTTGAAGCCCATAGATTGCCTGCTGGCTGCAACGACCAGGTATTTCAGAAGAGTCCGATATAGTGATTGATTTGTCGACTGACTTTACGGTGTGACAATTGTGGTTGCTAACCTTACTCGCTTCTGCATCAGGGGCCTCGTCTTGGATGAAAGGGTGTAATCTGATGTGGTGTCAGTCCAACATGGACTTTTGCGTGTGTTAGGGTATACATGCTCCGGCTACTGGCCGCGAAGGGAGATGATACTTGGAAGGCATTAAGGTATGGGTTGGGGCCAGGGAGATTCTGGCCTCTTGGGGAGCATGGTTTGGGTGATTTATGTATAGCTTTAGACGGGTTTGATAAAAGCCCGCATTATATAAGCCCGTTTTTCTGGCTTCAACTGATGAGGATAACTTACATTATCACTAAATAGAAGGCATAGGAGATATTTAGAAAATTAAGGGTTAGACGCATAGTTGCGCCTTGCGGGAAGACCATAAGTAGGAGGAATCTTCATACCGTCTCCCGAGGGCTCAGCTATACTTTAGGAAGGCTTAATGCAATATCATATACTCAATAGTATTTACTCAAGGGTCTTAGTATGTCTATAGTTGGTTCTGTGGCCACCGGGCGCTCAACCAATACATAACCCTAAACCGCCCGACGATATACTTCCTCAACCGTCGTTTTAATCGAAGCTTGAAAGTCTGCTTCTGTGTTGACAGGCTTCCAACCCAAAGTAAAGGCCTTTTGCGGGATGGAACTCGAACTATGACAGAGTCAGCAATCAAACATCCACAAATGATCACCAATAAAACCCACTTGGATGCAAAGCACGCCTCCGCAAATCCAACATCCCCGTCCGCAAATTTCTGCCCCCCTTCTTCCAAACTGATCGATCTTGGAACTGCTGATTTTAAAACTCCTAATTCAAACCCCACCTTCGCAATGACCCCCGCAACATCAACCCATCGGTGCGTCCCCGTATTTGCAAAATAAATCCCCTGCTGCCCCGAAGGGGCCGTCTCACCCGCACTTACCTTCGCGACTAGCAACACAAACAGTCGCGCGAGGTCTGTTACATGCACGTGGCCTAGCTCTGCCTCTCCCGAGCCTATGTACTCAGAATAGCCGACTTTTATGGCGCTTCGGATCAGCGTGGGAATCTGGTGGGACTGTTTCTTGAACATGCCGGTGCCGTTCCCGTATACAGTGGGCGGCATGATGATGTACGTTTTTGAGGCGAATCGGTGCCCTTCGTCGATGACGACTACGTCTGTAACGCGTTGGGCGTAGGGCTCTTTTTCGATGCGAGATTTCTCATAGCCGTATATGTCGTCGTCTGCATCTGAGAAGGTCTGTAATTGGTAGGGCGACGGCGTGATGGCTGGAACGGCGATGTTGGTGGTTCCGGATAGCTAGGTTTCAGGTCTTATTAGCCAACATGATGATCAAGCTCGGGAAAGGTCTTTGTATCTCACATGAATAAAGTGACAGTCGCGTCCAGTCTGCTCTTTTCTTTTCCCCAGTCCTCGGAGTAGGGCTTTGGGTGCGCCGAAGTGCTGCCCAGTCGCGGCGTTGATCACGATATCGTGGTCCCGCGCTGCGTTCTCGAGTCCGTCGGCATCGTCGAGTCCAGAGATCAGGGCTGTGTCGAATCCTTTGTTGGAGAATATTTCTGCTTGTGATGGTTGGCGGACAGCGATGGTGAGTTGGATATTTGCGTTCGGTCCGAAGGTCGATTCTTGTAGTTCTTGGAATATAGTTCCACCACTGTGATTGTTAGAGTCGGTAGATTTAGAAGTGGACTTGTTAACGCCGACTCACATGAAACCAGTTGCTCCGACGAGTAGAATCTTCAAAGGGTCCATGGTATAGGGTACACCGTACGAAACTGGACAACACGCTTGTTTGTCAGAGGAGAGCAGGTAGAAATGGATTGAAAGACGTCGGTATTGTGCACTTATTCTGGTGGGGGGGGGATGAGAGGCGAAAACGTAGAGAATTGAGTGGATGGACTCTGTTAGTGTCTTGAGTGGAAGAAAGATAGCTACTGTATAGGTACCCTATTTGCGGGACTTGACAAACAGAGCCTTCGATATAGTCATCGTTCCAGTGATGATTTCAAAGCACCTACTTTCTTGAAATTTCTTGGCTGTCTCTAACCATCGGCTTTGACCAACAGTTGGAAACCACGTGTTTTTAGTGGTAATTAATAATTGGCTGGGGTTCTACGAGGCATTAGAAATCAACAGTGAAGCCCGCTAGCGGAGGGGAGCCGAGCGGAAATTATATTCCGCCGATGTCTCCAAGATGGTGTCCCCATCATCGGTGGGTCTTCACTGTCAACGTTCATGAAGAGCTCAAGAGCAAAGAGGGGCGTATTTACTGTCGGTCTCATGGTTCTAGGCAGATTAATTGAAATAATCCAAAAATTGCATATAGTATAGATCTACTGATGCTTAATCAATCAGTTTGATTAGAAAGCGCCTAGGTTCGACAGCCTGGGAATGCTCAAAGAACATCCTTCCTAGTTACTGTCCCATTGATCTTGAAGATATGGCTCGAATCGGCGTCTTGCTAGCCTCAGGTGGTCTTGGGACCAGTGTTGTCAACCAGTTAGCCAAACTCGTACCGGTTACACAATTAACGCTGGTGGCTCGGCACTCAAAAAATTTACAAAGGCTTTGTGATGCAGGAGCAGTTGTTCGATTTAGAGACTAAGATCAGGCGAACAGACTTCAGAACACATTCGAAGGTGTGCCTATCCCGCTACCTATCTTATATTCGTCGCCGGAAGTCCATCGCCAAGTCAATGTAAGATTTGTGATCTAGGGTGAAAAGAATATACTTGCATCACCGTGTTATATCAAGGTCCACAAGCATGCTATTGATGAAGCGAGGAAATCTTCTATGCTGCATATCCTCTAGTCATCGTTGGCCTTTGAGAGTAATGTCATAAATGGAGCGGCCTTAAATCGCGAGGAATATAATTTCCGCCTTGGCCGGACCAGATACCTCGATCCACTTCGGACAGACTCACCCCGAGGAATATATATTCCGCAATCGGTTCTGGAGGAGAGACCTGCATCAGTAGTCGTTGAATGCCAGTAATCAACTGAAATTAGGTTGCCAAGGAGAATTCCTTCGGACAGACTCCGTTTATATGGTGGGGATATCTGGAGTATGGGGAAAGAATCTGGGGAATGCAGCCACAAGGATTGTGAAGTACGGGGAATACAGTTGATGAACGCCAATCGCTTAAGGTTTGCCAACATATTCAATATCCACTGGTCCTTGGCCCTGAGCCGTGTCTGCCAAATGCGGTGGCCATGAGTGCCTTCACTCTTGAGGTCAGAAACCTATATAAGGCGGCTTGAGCAATTGATAGCGCTGGAGTAGTTCCGTCTTTTCAAGTGACTTGTTGGATCTCTGAGAGTGATCAGGTATACAAAATGAGGCTTCAGGTGGCATGCAGCTGTCTCTCAGTTGTATTGGCTCGCGCTCAGGAATTGCACCTCACAGCTGGGTGCGCAGCGCCGACAGCTTCACCTGAATATTATTATGAACCCTTTTCTTTCTCTCTACATGAGACTGTTAGGTGAGCATGATTTGCTGTGAGAATCTTACGTCATAACAAGTGTCTAACAGAGCAAAGATATGCAACCTCAGTCCCGAGCCCAACGTCAACCAAAACGTATGGCCCAGCATATTCCGATGTTATCCAAAAACTCCCTCAAATACCACCCACCACTACATGGGGCAGCTGGTTGCCCAATCACACAGAAATCTTGGCAAATGACACAAATGGCCCCTATGGCCAAGCGGCGTGGTCCTCCCTTTGGCAGCAGGTCAAGCTTGAGGATTATACGACCACTGGTTTATACTCAACCACTGTCAGTGCCACGCCTGTTCCTACCAACGAACTTGTTCTTCCTCCACGAGATTACTTCGGTCCTACCGACTGCTACAAATTTCCGGAAGGCTTCATCTTCGGTGTTGCAGGAAGTGCAGCCTGTTGATCGTACTCAGCGCTCCTCCCTCGCTTCTATTGCCTAATGTAGCTTAGTACCGCCCACAGTGGCTTCTTCATAGCTAGGGACATCTTATTCTTATAGATAGGAATACATATACTTTATCACTAGCACGCTTATAGGTTATGAGCCCAGTTCTTGATTATTTTGCTTAATCAGAACCTTATTTTAATTTAGAGTTGGCATTCGGGACCGCAAAACCCGCATCCGCACCGCACCGAACCCTATGAGGTGCGGATTCGGTCCCTAGAGGTAGGATCCGCAATGGGTTCAGGTTCTAAAGGTAAAATCCGCAAAAATCCGCAGGGGACTGTTTTCTACAGATCTACAGATTTTACTACACCGAAATATCTGCTTAATCCATTACATGTAATTACTTTTAAAAAAATATATAAAAAATAAATATAATATATAGATATTTTAAAATTAAACTATGGTTTAATTTAAATAATAAAAAAGAAGTTAATTTATATTCTTATTAAGGTTTTTTATTTTATAAATAACTAAAATAATCTAAAGAAATTATTACTCTTACTCAACACAGTCTTTTACTAGGTATTAAAGATGCTATAATCTTAAAATTATTTAAATAAATTATATATAATATCCCTAATAAATTAAAAAGATATTATTTTTATTTAAATTTATATTTAAATTAAATAAATCCTTTTTATTATTAATGTCTTATTTTTTTAAAAGATTATATAAATTTAAAATATTCTTAGAATTTTTATAAAAATATTTATAATCTTTATTAATCTTATTAACTACTACCTAAAACTTTTTATTAATTTTAAATTAATTTATACATATTTAAATTATAATAGCCTTAATTATCTTAGAATATAATTATAAGCGTTAATAATAATATATATTATAAGTATTATTAAATAGATTCTTAACACTAATATTGTTTATTAAGATTATAAAAAAGTCCCGGGTAATTAAAGAAAGAATTAGATAATAAAAAAAATTTATATATTAATATTTAAAAATATTAAATTTTAGACTTTCTGGATAAAGGGCTAAATAAAATTAAATTATAATTAAATTTTTTATATTTAAAAAAAAATAAAAAATACTTATATTTATTAAAATAAGTATAAAGCTCGCTTAATAATAAGCCTGTATAAATATTTAATAATAATAAATAATATTAATAAGAATAAAAAAAAGCTTTTTTTAATTTATTAAAAATTATTACTTAAATTAAAATAGTTTTTAAATACAGATACTTTGCCTGGTAATAAATAAATACTTTTTAAAATATCTACTTATAAGAAAAAACCTATTAGTTTTATTTTTTAATCTATAATCCTTTTTTAAATACAAAGAGTTTATATCTTAGATTTAAAATTATTATAATTATATAAATTTATTTATAAAAGTTATAAGTCTTTATATAATAAGTTAAAAGTTTATTATATACAGACTATAAACTAGAGTAAATATATTACTTTTATTAATAGATTTTTTAGTATAAGTATTATATTATATCTTTAAAATAATTAAATAATTAAATAATTAATTATAAATATTATATACTAAATATATTATCATACCTTTATATTCCGAAAGATAGGTTATGTATATCTAAAATTTATATAAAAGTTAGATTAGATACTTGAGGTAGCGGTATTTATATAAAGTTAATAAAAAATAAAATATTAAATTATTATCTTTATTTTAAATAAATTTATTAATATACTTACAAAGATAGTAGGCCTGATAAAATATTAAATAAGTTAAATTTTATTAGATTTTATAATTAAAAAAAAAAGAAGAGTATTTTTCTTTTTTATAATATTAGTATTATTAATTAAATATATTTAAAGAAAACAGAATTATTCTTATTATTAGGGACTTACATTAATATACCATATCATTTTTTAAATCTAATAACTTATAATTAATTATAATTAAACTATAATTAGATTTATATATATCTTTTTTATAATCTTTAATAAATTAGATTCTTAAAGTGTAGATTTATTATTATACTAAATATAGTAAACTTTATTATTTAAAAATTAGATTTTAAGCTTATATAAAAATACTTTAACTAAAAACTAGATAATATAAACTAGATAAGAAAAATAATAATAAGATTTAAGATTTTTTTAAAAAATAAGATTAAATATTATTTCCTGAAGAAAGTTATTACTTTTAAAAGAAAATTTAAGCTATTAAAATAAATATTAAAATATAGTCTAGTTATTACTTATATTATTAATAATTACCCTAAGAATTCGTAATTAAAGTTAATATTTATATAAAACTTTAAAAATAACTTTAAATAAATAAGATCTAGTATATTCTCTAGAAAGAAAAAGAAATCCTAAGAAAATTTTAAAATATTTAAAATTAAAAATAATAAAATACCCTATAATAGTTATAAATGGCTTTTAATTAGGACTAGTCTAATAATTAATAATAATTAATATTTTTTTTTTCAGAGGGAAAACAGTTAAGTAATAATTTATAAAAAATAATAAAAAATTTAATTAATTAATCTTTTATATACTTTTAATTCAGAATTATAATATCTGAGGAGGTTAGAATTATTTTTAATATTTATTTAAACTAAATATATTTAATTATTAAAAACAGAAATTAATAAGTAATAATATAATAGAAGACTTAATTAGTAAACTTATAATAAAAATATATATTTAACTAAAAAATATAAAAAGCAAAATTAATAATTAAATTATAATTTAATTATAAAAATAAATTAATACTTACTTTACCTTTTATATATTTTATAATTATTTTTTTAGGTTTCCGTGATATATCAGATATACTATATTATAATATTAATATATAAGCTCTTATTATTAATATTCTTTTACGATCAAAAGACAGGTGACTATGTAAAAAAGAATAATATATATAGTAGATTTTTAGCTTACTATTTTTTAAAATAATTATTTTATTAAAATATTTCTATCCTAGTAATTATTTTACTATTAATTAGTTTTTTAAATCTTATAATTATTTTTTATATATTATTTTTTTTATTAGCTAAAAAAGATTTCCTAGAGAATCAGAAGGGATATATTAAAATAATTATTATTTATTAAAAATTAGATTACTTTATATTATTCTTTTGCTTATAAAAGAATTTAAAGTTAAAAAAATATTTTTAAAAAAGATAGTCGCGGATTAATATTAAATAGAACTCGTAATAAAAAAGGAATTAGTAAAATAGAAATCTTAGTAAATAAAAGAAATCAGAGATAAATTAAAATAATGTATTATTAAACTTAAAAGTAATAAGAAATTATATTATATAAAAAAGAGAAAAATATTAAAAAATAAAATATAAAAAAAAATATTACTTAATTCTCTAGACGAGTATAAATCTAACTATAGCTAGATTATTAAGTATAAAAGAATCTTAACTAATTAAGGCTTTATTTTTAATTATTTTTATTATTATTACTATTATTATTATTATTTCTATTATTCTCTTTATTATTATTTTTATTATTCTTTTTACTATCTTCTCTACTATTACTACTAATAAGATTACTTTAATTAAAATTATTTAAATCAAGATATATACTAGAATCCGAAATATTACATTTAAATAAATTATAATTATATTAAATAATAAACCGAATATTATCCAGATATGGAACTAAATATTTATTATAGATTACTAAATAAGTTTTATATATATTTATATATTTAAAAGCCTTTTTAATTATATTAAGATACTTATTTTAATAAACTTATAAAATTTTAACTATTTTTATAATTTTTTTAACAAAGTTTTTAATCTTATAATATAAAAAATAAAAATTATTTATTTTTTAAAATTATTTCGGATATCTCAGCTTAGCTGTAATATTTATTAGTAAAAATTAATTAAACTATAGTTAGATTAAACTTTGAGCTAGTAATTTATATATTTTAATTATATTATTATTAATTCTCTTAATACTAGAAATAGGTTTTATTAACACAGCTTGCGCGGCTATTTTTTTAATAAAGCTAATTAAAGTTTTATTAAAATCTTTAGCATTAGTAAAGTTAGGAGGCATTATTAAACAAAATCTGTATTTTAATTTTAAAAGCTATAAATACTTAATATTTTTATCTAGGAAGAAAATACTTAAATTTTTATTATAATTATTTATATTAATCTTATATCCGAATTTTTTCAGAAATACAGCTAATTTTTTAATTTAACTAATAATATTATAATAAGCATCCTATATTAAAAAATAGTTAGTAAATTAAACTATAGTTTAATTTTAATATTTAACCTATTTTATTATTAATAAGCATGCGGATCTGCTATCCTTTCTTATTTTTTCTTATATAAAAATAATTATACTAATAGATTTAGAGTATGACAGTTTTAAGCTCTTAATATTAAAACAAGGTACTAAATAGTTTTCTTTTAAAAATAAGAGTATTCTTACTTATAGGATAATTTAAAGCATAAACTTATTATAAATATTAATTTTTATAATAATTAATACTATATATAATCTTCTTTTAAAAAAGAAAGGCTATATAAGCTTCTTCCTATTATAATATATTAGTAAACTATTAATAATTAAACTATAATATAATTAAGGATACTAGTTTCTTAAAATTATTAAATTAACTTATATAACTATATAAGTTTAGTTTAGCAATCTTAATAAGATATAAAATAATCTATTTTTAATATAGGGCTTTAAATCGCTTTATATAAGAGAAGATTTTTTAAGTATAAAATATATTTATATTTTTATTATAATTATTTTTTAAAAAAAATATATTCGGAGATAAAGCTATTTATTATTTTTAATATTAGCTTTTAAACTAACTATAATTAAATTAAATAAATACCTACTTTTAGATTTTTTTATCTTATTAGATTTTTTGGGTTAGGAGTTTTGAATAAATAAAATTTAAAAATTTATTAATTTTTATATAGGCTACCTTGATATCTGAGTAAGTTATAAAAAATTAAATAAATAGGGTTTTTTTTTAATTAAAGGATTTTATTTTATTTAATATTATACTTAGGAATATTTATTAATACTTAACCTATATTATAATATATCTTAAGAGGCTTTTTATAATTTAAATTATATTTTTTTTAAAACTGCCTAACTATGTCTATTATTATTTAATATTTTAATTAAATTATAGTTAGTTTTCTTAGGTACTTACTATATAAGAAGTTCTAAATAAGTATTAATAAATATCTAGTTAAATATTATAATATACTAGCTATCTAATAATTCAAGCAAGAATCCGGGATAGTAATATTTAAATTTTCTTACTAAAGGATTATTTTCCTTACTAATTATATAAAAAGGCTTTCCCAGCTTTAAAAAATATCAGACTTTTTTATATAAATTATTTACTAGCTATATAGTTTTTTTCAGACAACTATTAGCGTGCTAATAATTATTTTATATTAAAATAAAAAATAAATAATATATAATATAATTATCTTTTAGTTAAGTCTTAAGCTTAATAATTTTTAACTAGTTATAATATAAAATATTAATTTTTATTTATAAGAATATTATTTCACACAAAAGTTTAAATTTATAAAACTTATTAAACTAAATCTAACTATAATTAGTTTCCTTTTATTCTCTTAATAAGCTTTATTAAACTTTTACTTAATTAATCTTAAAAGTTATAATTTTATTAGCTAATATCCAGGAAAATATTACTTTATTATATTATATTAAATAAAATTATAAAGATTTTAGGCGGAAAGTATTACTCCTAAAAATTATATAAATATAAATAAGTAAATTAGTTATAATATTATAATTTTACTAATACCAGATTTAAAGTTACTTTTTACTAAATAAGCTATCTTATTCTTGCTTTAATTTACTCTTAAATAATAAAATAAAATTATAAATAAAATATTCTTTATTATTTACCTAATAAGGGTACATCGCATTCTTAGTAAGTATTTAAAGGAATAAGAGGTCAAGCTTGCTAGTATTATAAATATTATATATTTAAAAATAATTTTATAATTAGTTTAGTAAGATAATTAAATTATAATATAGTTAATAATTACTTATTTAATTAATTAATACTAGGTTTAGATTACTATATAGATCTTTGTCAGATGAAATACTAATCTGGGCTTATAACTATCAGATGGGGTAGGTAGGTCACGTGGGTTGAATAGAAATTTCAAATGACTAGATACAATAAAGGAAATCGATCAGTCAGATAAAGTAAACAGTTCACCTAGACCACCTAGATCTAATAATAGACCAGAGGTCCTACCATTCACTATACATATAAATAAATGAAATTAATTAATGAATAAATAAATTAATGAGTAAATTGAATAGATAAAATCAACTTATTAAATTAAAACAATAAAATCAACTTATTAAAAAGAATAAATTAATGCAGGTCATTGACTGTATATTTATAAATAATAAAATCAGGGCTAATTCAATTTAGCCCTAAGCAAATATTGCAAACATAAAATCATTAAATCCTTCTAAGCCTTTATCTATAAATTATATTATTAATCTAGGCCTTTAAGATCAACCTCATAGATTATCATTAAATCAATATTTAATCATTTAAATGATTAAATAATCAGGATTTCATGATCAGAATAATTAGAACAATCAAGATTTAACACATAAATCATAATAAAATCATTTAAATGATATCAGAATAACCAGGATAGCAATATTCACTTTATAGCTTATAAAATAAATAAACAAGACATTCTGGACCCTTTATATTAATCATCTGAATAAAGCCATTAATCACAGTAATTAAAATAAACTTTTAATTTCCTAAATAAGAAATTTATCGACTTATGTTTTCTGACTTCTATAGGATTCTAGCAACTGGTGATTTCCCAAAAAAAAAAATAAACTAGTCTAAAATAGGAAATTCTTCAGAAATTTTTCTTTTTTATTTTCTGCTCATATTGAGCTCAGTTTCACCTCACTTTTCCTATATAATTTAGTAGTAGAAGTAAGAGTTCAATAAAGTGACAGTAAAGTTATAGTAAATTTTAAATAATTTCAGTTATAGGGTTAAATCAGATAATTCTGATAAATCAGGTGATATCAGGTAACCCTATTTGACACACCCCTTCAGTTTAAATCAATAAAAGTATTAATTAAAACTGTAAATATTAAATAATCAATTATTATTCAATAAGATGTTAAATATTAACTATATTTAGTTATTCAGTAAATTTCGCATGTTCCTGCTTAGTCAGGTGTTTAGTAAGGCCGTCTGCAATTATTTAATTAGTAGGGACCTATTTTAATTTAATAGATTTTTTCTTAATTTCTTGCCTGAGCCAGTGATTACTAATATCCACATATTTTAATTTAGTTTTATAAATTAAATTAGGCTTAGTAAGCAGGTCAATTATTTGACAATTATCACAATAAATATATAGTTTTTCTTTAGGGTTGAACCCTATAGCAGTGAATAAGCATTTCCACTATAGAAAATACTTACTAGCTGTAATTAGGGCTAATAATTCTGCTTCAGTAGTAGATAAAATAATTATTTTTTGCTTTCTAGCTGACCAATCAATAGGTCCGCTAAATAAACAGTATATAAAGCCTTTAGATAACTTTTTTTGCAATAAATCTGTATAGACTATATCACTTGCTATTTTAAAAATTGGTAGTGATTTTAATTAATCTATTAAATTAAGACTATATTAAATTAAATTAAATCGGGTTCTATAAATAAATGAAATCAGGTAATTTGCTGCATTTATATAGTTCGAAAAAGGTTTAACCATATATTCTGCAAGGATTTTGCAATTTTTTATAATATCTGGCCTAGAAATAATTACAGGATATAAAACTAAGCTAATTTTCTTTTAATAATCCACGTGATAGGGCTTAGTAAGCAACTGCTCTATAGATTCGCTTAAATTACTAAATAATAAAGGCATTTTAAGTAAATTCTGATTAATTAATTCAAAGCAATAAGCAACTTTTTTAATATAATCTGCTTAATTAAACTAAATTGTTCGATTCTGCCGGTTTCGAATGACCTTTATATTTAGGAATTGGTGAATTTTACCTAAATCCTTTAGATTATATATCAAAAATAATTGATCTTTTAATTCGTTGATTTTTAATTAATAATTTCGATTATATAGTAAAATAATATTATCCACATAAATCATCAAAATTATATAATTATTTATAAATAGGCAGGGATCTTCAGGCACTAATTTTAGGCCTAATTTTTTCAGAGTATTCCCTATTTCTTGTTGCTATAATAATAGAGATCGGTGTAATCTATATAAAGCTTGTTTTAGCTTAAAAACCTTATTTCATTAACCGAGTCCGGGAGGCGGTGAAACATAAATTAATTTATTTAATTTATTATTTAGAAAAACATTTATTATATCCTATTAAATTGTTTTAAGGTCAAAAGCAGTAATTAAGGCTATAATAGTCTTAAATATTTGCGTGGCTAGGATAATAGCCCTAGAATCAAGATCATTAATTGGTTAAAGGTCTCCACGGACATATATTTTTGCTTTAAATTTTAATAATTAACCTTAATCAGTAAACTTGTATTTCCATACCTATTTTAATAGTAAGATCTTTTAAATTAAATTATCTGTTTTAGGGATGGCTTCCTAGGTGTTTATTTTTATTAATTGATTATATTCAATTTTGCATGTATTTAGCCATTTATCATGAAAGGGCGAATTTATTATTTTATTCTAATTAGTTAGCTCAATAGGCAAATTATTTCGATGTAATTTATTATTGCTAATTTGAGCCATAGAGAATACATGATTTAATGTAAAGTTTCGAGGCATTTTTAAAGGTCCTGGGTTAGGTGATTCTGATCTATTTTTTTTAGGGATAATAGCTTATAAAAATTGTCATAATCATCAAAATTAAATAGCGAATTATTAATAATGACTTCAGATGATTAAGAATATAGAGTAGGAGGTTGGTCTCCTAAAATCTTATTATTTTAAGTATTCAATTGAATTAAATTATTTTAATTATTTTAATTATTTAATTTAATAATTCGATTTTTATATTCAGATTAATAGTGAATAGGATTATATTCACTAAACAGTTCTGATTTATTTTATTCAGGTTTAAAATAAATATTATCAATAATTTCATCCTCAGTAAACCCTAATTTAGTGGTTTTAGGTAAATCAATCAAAATTAAAGAGATTAAATTATTAATTTTTTTAAGACTAAGTAGTTTAGGATTTTTTAACCTAATTAGATCTAGTTCAAATATTTAAACATTTTATTTATTTTTATAGACCTTTATTTTATCAAAGATGTAATCACGTGCCGAAATAACCTTATTTTGACCGGATATCTATATTTTCTATATATTTAGGGCAATATACCTTATTAAATAACTAATCAGAGCTCTCGGTTTAAGCTTACTAAGTCTAGAGATATTTAAAATCCTTGTATAAGCTTGGTAACTATACTGTTTTAGGTTAGAGAGGTTTAGCAATAATATTATATATAATAGAGGCTGATTAAGATATTTAAATAAGGTTTTATACAGGGTACTCCACTTTAGTAAATAAGTAGGGGTGCGATTTAATATATATATTACTATATTTAATAATTCTGGCCATAAATATAGCAGTAATCCTAAATTAATAAATAAAATCCGTATTTTTTGCGTGATTAAGGTACTTGAATATTCTGTAAATAGGTTTTACTTAGGTTATCTAATCAGGCTAGTACTGTAAATCATCTCTTTAGATCTCGTGTAATTATAAAAATAAGCTAGATTTTTATCTTAATCTGAATAAAATCGTTTAATAATCATATAATATTAATATTTAATAAATTAAATTATTTTAATGATTAAATTGCTTATATAATCTTTTAATAAAATTACTTTAGCTATATAAAACTTTAAATAAGGGTAATATATATAGCTAATATATTATTTTTAGTAGATTCCCTAATTTAAATAAATAAGGTCCTAATGAATAGTTTCGAATGATTTAGTTCCTAATTAAATCAGAATTCGAGAAATTTAATATTTTAATATTAATAATTAATAAATCAGGTAATAATCTTTAGTTTTAGTTGATTTATCATTAATTTTCATTCTATTTACTACTGAATTAAGGTGTTTTAGGGCTTCAGAGCTTGGGTGCCCTTATCTTGAATACCATAGTTCAGCTGTTCTATGGGAGATAACTGGTTTATTCGAATTTCTTGCTGAATAGGCCTCTAATTTATTTATTTCAATATTCGGTAGTGAATTCGGTAGTGAATTCGGTAGTGAATTCGGACAGTGAATATGATCATCTTTAGGAGTTAATTCAGGTGACCATTGGATATGATCATTAGTACTCTATTTAATTAAATGAATGCCTGCAATTTCGAGGACTTCATAAATCGGGCGGTGATTAGGGCTTTCTAGGCACATAGCCCTAGAATTAAGATAAATACCCGATTGCCTTGCCTTTGAGGTAGATAAAATATTAATATAAAATCATAGAATATAGGCGCAATAGCGTAATTTAAATATTATTTTATCTTTATAGGGGTTTGAAGGTTTTAAATTCACTGTTTTAAAATCTTTAATTAATGTTTGTGTATTCCTTATAGAGATCAATATAGATGATTTATAATAATCACTGAATAAGGATTGATTATTACAGATATGGGTATCTGCCGCAGTATCGAATACTTAATTAAGACTAGTGTGTTTTTTAATTAATTCTATTAAATTTAAAGCCATTATAATTAAATTAGTTTAAAATTTATTATTTTAATTTATTACTTAATTTATTAATTTCAAGCGATTTTTTGTGGCTTTAAGCGCTATATAAAATTTAGGATTCTTAAAAGTTCTATTAAATTGTTTAATAGCCTCAGGATTATATGACTAATTTTCTGGTTTCTTTAAAGAATTATTAATATAAAAATATTAGTTAAATTTATAGTGGCCTCTATTAAGGTCTAATTAACAGGGGTAATTTTGTTCCTTTTTAGGAGTTCTAGGGTTAAACCTAGGGCTTAGGGTTTTTTCTAAGATATTTTTTTTAAAGGTTACCTGAGCGATTCGGCTGGGTTAGTTTAAGTATTTAAATATTAGGAATATCTTCACGTAATCTTTAAATCACTTAGTTATATTAAAAAATAATGGTATTTCATCACGTGATTTAATTTTATTATTCAATTTTTCGCTCTAATAATTTGTAAATGTTAAATAAAACCCATAAATAACTTTAATAAAGTCATATTAAACTTAGTGTAGATTATTCACTTTGCTTATTTTAAGCGATTTTGCTTTAGTATAGATATTTTCCTATAATAAAATATATAAATCAATTAAATATTTATTCTGCAGATTTTTAAGTATATAATATTGCTTAATAATATCGCGTTTTCTTGATTTATTGGTGGGAGCTAGTTTTGTTTAAAAGATCTGCAGCACGTGATATAGGGTTTCTTTATCAGATATTAAAACCCTATTGGCTAATAATATTAAGTTCTTAATCAGGAGTAGAATTAGGGCTAAGCCCTTATCTATATAATAATATTCTTGAAGCGCTAATTTATAATCACGTAGAAGGTCTTGATAAAGTGCTCGATTATTTTAGATTAAATTAATAATTAATCTAGTATTCTTATTAAGATTATATAGTTTCAGGTGACTAGGCCGTATAGGTTAATCAGGTATAGTCATGTGACTAAGATTAATGAATTCTTAAACATGTTTGCTTTTAGCAATTATTTTGATCGTGTTAAACTAGTATATCCAGTCATATAACTAGTTCAATTAAAAATTAAGCTTTATATCTATATTAGTAAGCTTAAATAATTAATAAAGTGATTCAAATTGTTTGACCTTTGTATCACCTTACTTTCACCTCACTTTCACCGTATAAATCAGTAGTAAAAGTGAAAGTTCAATAAAGTGAAGGTAAACTAGGTAAGTAGGGGTTAATTAAATCAGATAGGTAAATAATTTACTGCAATAGTGAATAGACAAGTAATTAATTAATTTGCGTGTGTGTGAATTTAATTAATAAATCAATAAAATAATTCAAATCAATCAAATACTTCAGATAGGTGAGATAAAAAACTTAAAGTAAGTACATAGGTTAAATAAATTAAATTAATGTAAATAGTAAATAGTTTACTGTAATAGTGAGTAATCAAATGATTAATTTATATGTAGGTTAAATTTAATCAAACAAACAAATAATTAATTTAGGTGTAGGTGTAAATTCAATTAAATGTATGTGAATTTAATCAGACAAATAAATGATTAATTCACGTGTATGCATAAATAGTAGGAACAAAGGGCTAGACCGGGCTCATAACTGTTAGATGAAATACTAATCTAGACTTATAACTATCAGATAGGGTAGGTAGGTCACGTGGGTTGAATAAAAATTTTAAATAACTAGATAGAATAAAAGAAATCAATCAGTCAGATAAAGTAAACAGTTCACCTGGA